TTCTTGGCAATATCTTTTTCAGCAAAGAAGGCTCTCTTATAGTCATCAATATTGAAGGGAGATGGGGGAAGTAAATCTAAAGGATTCTTCTTTTTTTCTGGAAGTGGTTCATCATCTTCTTAAGCTTTTTATTTTTATGCTTCCTTTGGTTTTTCAGCTTCCTTTGGCTTTTATTCCTTTTACTTTTGTTCTTTTGGTTTTTCATCTTTTGGCTTTTATTCTTTTGGTTTTTCATCCTTTGGTTTTTATTCTTTTGCTTTTTCTTCCTTTGGTTATGCTTCTTATTTAGGTAATGGGAAGGCGACTTTGCATAATCTCACTCTTCCGAAATTCTATATAGATTAAATTAATTTATACTTTTTTGAATTGGGGAAGTTCAGAGACAGCTGTGAACCATTTCATTAATGAAGGGTATGATTTTCTGGTCTTCTCATCAATCAATAATATGAAAAATGGAGCAATTCTTACAATAAGGATAACATCTGCAATTGTCAATTTATCCCCAACCAAATATGGAGAATTCTTGAAGTGACCCTCTAATTATTTTAATCTATCATTGATGATGTTTTTTGCAGTTTTGAATGTGTCCTCATTGGCTGGATAATGTCCCCATAATTATGGGAATGTAGTCATGAAATTTGGATCTAATTCATTTACTGTCCAATCAATCCATTAATCAACCTATGATTATTAGAAGGGAGTAGCACTTAATATAAATCTAAACATCATACCCATATAATCCTGATTCTAATTTTGATCTAGCGAGGTATCTACAGATAGCGTTACTCTCATATAGGAATCCATCAGTTGTTTCGATGACGGGAACTTTAGCAAATGGGTTTCTTGCTAAATGTTCCTTAGATTCGCATTCATGATATCCAACTTCAACTTATTCAACTGGAATTTGAAGAAGATCTGCTACTAGATGAACTTGATTGAGTCTGGGATTTGTTGATGGACCGTATAACTTGATTGACATATTTTAATAAAAGATATTAAATTTAAATCATTTTTTATTAATAAGAATTCTTTCATAAACTTTGTAAACTATTAATAATTTATTCGAACGTAGGCCTCTGATCAGGATTAGGATGCCAACACTAGGCCATTAATGCTTTCATTTCCTATTAACATTCAAATTAAAGGTCAGGTCTTTAATTCTGCTCTGTAACAGCCTTCATGATTTGCATTGGATTGGCAATATTCATATATGGAATCTATCTTGAAAAAATTTCATATAAAACAATCTATTTTATTTTTATTGAATATTACTCCATAAGAATAGACATCAGCTTTGTTTGTGTACATTTCTCCTCGAAAGACTTCAGGAGCCATCCAGTGCTAATTTTAGTTAATAAACTTACAAATGTTCCAACAACTGCTGTCATCCACTCAGTCTTTTCCAAAGCTGTTCTCGCCAAACCAAAATCTGCAATCTTTATGTTTGAGTCAGCACTAAATGGTTGATCTAACAAAATACTACCAAATTAATTAGTATTTACTTTAATGATTTCAGATCTCTATGCATAAATCCTAATTTATGAATATAGGCCATTCCTTCAGCTATAAATAAACTTAATTTCAATTTTGTTAATTAATCTATATGAGTCTCCCTATTTCTATGAATCAAATCAAAAAGTGAACCCCCTGAGCAAAACTCTGTGATTATATATAGTTTATTTTAATTGAAAGTAATCCCGATTAAACAAACTAAATTCTAATGATGTCTCACTTTTACCAAAGTAACTATTTCTCTCTTGTATTCTTTCATCTTTTATTCATCCTTTTCATTTATATCAATATCCTTTATTGCTACTATTTAATTTTTGTATTTTCCACGATACACCACTCCAGAACCTCCTGATGCAATTTGCTCATAAAATATTAATTCGTGGTATTATATAATGAAATCACTGATATCAACTTCGCCATCAATTATTTCATTGGCATGTTCCAAAATTTATGAGTGTATTTTTTACCTAATTGGTGTTAAGTTGAAAGTAGGATTTATAGATTAAGCCAAGTTTTGTGGCACTTATTATTTTATCTCCTATTTTTATTAAGGAAAATTATCATATGACATAGGGATAAGATCCTCCTCATCATCTTCAATTACAATGTTTTATTATTAATTGCTTTATTGATTCATTTAAGGTATTTACTATTGGTACATGTTTTATTAATGAATTTATTATTAAAAGCCTTAAGGCTATTATTATTAAGAAATGGTTTATGTCTACCCTTTCCCATCTTTTTAATCTTAATTTGCTATTTAAGTAAAATTGATATCAATTGGTAATAGAAAAGAATTTTGCTATGCCTAATGAGGTTTATCATCAAAGTTAATAAGATCAAATGGTTCATTATTCTATGTTATAGGTGCTACGTTATCATGAACATCAAGTAAATTTGTTACTTCAATTATTTTTGATTTTTCTTGCTATTTTTAATTAAAAATTTGAGATTAAACCTATTATACTTATTATACTTTTAAGTAATCTTAAAGATTATTATCTTACTACTTATCATCATTTATTTTAAAAATAATTTATGAAAGCATTTATGGGTCAATTTCAGTTTAAATTGATTCTCTTCCTGCTTATTAAATAAATTAATTATTAAATTATGATTGAACAAGAGTTTATTATTATTATTACTGTTATTGTTATTATTATTGTTTTTATTATTATTATTATTACTACTACTATTATTGTTATTATTATTATTATTATTATTATTATTATTATTATTATTATTACTACTATTATTGTTATTATTATTGTTTTTATTACTACTATTACGATTATTATTGTTATTGTTAAAATGCTTATGTAAAATCAACCCAAGGTTAATCATATACTTATTCTTATGATGATTACAAACTTCCTTAATTATTTAAGAATCCAAAATCTGCAAAAAAGTCTTGATTATTAGTACTATTAAAATTAGACTTTATTTAATTTTAATTTTATGGTTTGTCAAAGTCAGACATAGATAAAAGAACTTATTATAGTTTTTACACAGTCACTTAATAACTCACAGGCATTTTAATTCCATGTATAGATCTTTAAGGGTTGAGTTCAATTTTTGTTTTTCCTTTAAAATACTCAACTGATTAAATATAATTAATGACATCGGGTTATAAATTAGGCATGAATCTTTTTATTTCTGCAAATTCAGGCAAAGTTGAACATTTTTCATATAATTTCTTTGTTTTCAAATAGTTTTCTTCATATCTTTAATCCACACTTAGTATCCATTCTGTTAGTTTATTTGTATCTAAATTATCACTTGTATTCAAAGTTTCTTTCACAGCAACCCATAAATGAAGCAACATTGACAATAATGAATAAGTTTCATCAACCATTTGCATTATAATCAAAGTCTGAATCCTCCAGAGAGAATTTGGTTAAAATATTTCAGAGAGAAAGAGTAAACAATCTGACCAGTACTTTAATAAATCATCTATTAGTTTTGATTCAAGTGGCTTCCAAAATTCTCCCCTTTCTAAAGATAAGAAGAGAGGAGATAAAGAATAACTTCCTTCAAACAAGTTTTTATTAGCATGGCAAATTATTAATTTTTTGTTTATGATTGCAAAATAATTTGCAATTACTTTTACTTCATTTTGAGGATTAATTTTAATTCTTTGTTTATATAGATCAGTCAAAATTTTCATTATGGTCCAAATAGTAGGTAGATTCTTTTATTTTTAATCTTATAAAACATCAGGTGGACCCTTTTTGATATATTGATGTAAAAGAATTGACAACTTCATCATAACTCTTTGATTTTCAGGATGTGGCTATAATATTTTCTATTGGATTGCCAGATAGAACTTTGGTATTTTCTCTCTCTTTAACCATGCTTTAAAAACTAAAGATCTTATATCTTCTAATCTTGGAGGGTCGTCATCATTGCTTGTACTTTGTATGACCCATGCTTCAGTTTTCTTGCTTAAAGTGAATAGATAGCGTTTGACTTGATCAAAAAAACCAAGTGGAGCTGCCTTCTTTTCAATATAAACATTGTCAACGGAAGCAAAATATTTATTGAGATTAGGAACAGGAATTGGTTAATTCGTTGCTTCTATGAATCTCTAAGGCAATTACCAACCAGTTTGTATTCTTTAGAGTAATTCTTATGCAGTTGGCCTATTCTTTGGATTAACAGAAAAAAGTGATTGAATCAGTTAGATTAATCTAGAGTTAGGTTAAAATTGAGTACTTAGGGGAATATTCATGAGAATCTGGAATGAAATAATGATTATTGACTGCTGCTAAGCCACTTTCAAAGGGAGGTTTTTAAAAGCAGAACATAAATAACAAGACACCGAGAGCGAAGATGTCTGCACTTTCTGTAACAGGGTAATTTGCATAGAAATCAATATATTCTGGTGCTCTATAAAAAGGTGTCGTATTTTCTTCAATCTCATCCTTGATTGTATCCCTATTAGTATTGTCAATTTTGTAGTATTTTGTTTTGGTGACACTGCCGAAATCACAGAGTTTAAAATAGCCCAAAGAATTTAAAAGCACATTTTCCATCTTGACATCCCTATGAATATATCCAAGCTTAAAATGTATTTAGGAGTTAATACTTAATGAATCTATATTAGGGCTTTGACGATGTCTCTTGCAACCATCAACACCAATTGTTCAGGAGGTCTTCTGTTTATCTTGATGATATTTTTTATAATACATAAGTGGTCATTAAATCTATCAGACTTCCCTTAGAACAATTTTCCAAAATCAATATTCCACTTGTTTGTCCTTATAATTGAGTAATGCCGGATTTCTCTAATTTTACTATCCCCTCTCCTTAAACTTTATTCAAAATATCCATCTCTATTTAGAATGCTTTAAATGCTTTAGGGTTTGACTTGTAGCATACTTTGGCTACAAGATTTTGATGCTGAGTAGCATAAACTGTAGCAAAGTTACCTTCACCTATTTTTTTCTAGAGAGTGTATGTGTCTTTATCTAATTAAATTTTCATTTAATAAATTCATGCATTCAAATATACTAATGATATAACTCCATCGGACGATGCTGCATACGTAGCATTCTCTGTTTACGTCAAAGCCATGATCTACTGCTTTTTATCTAAAATAATATGGGTCTCATTTTACCTTATCTAAATGGTTTATAATCTACAATTGTTGATAATGTTTCTAAATTTATTATTTTTATTTGTCCATCATTACAGGCACAAATTAATGAAGTCTGATACTAATTCAGTTTCATAAATTTGATTTCTGTGAAAGGTAGCTGAATAATAAATATATCATATTACTTCTAGTGTTTTATAGATTTAATTTTTTCTGATGTCCAAGAAATTGACAGTTCCTTTTTTCTGATTTCCTATCAAAATTGAATTCATGGGAGTAGAAAATAAGATGTCTGTGCCATTAAAATTCTCTTATGCTACAATATTACGATTAGCTGGCAGTAACATATCGTACAAACCGAAGTGAGGCTTACTGGTAGAACTATAAATTGAAGCGAAAACAGTTCCCTCATTAATGAATGTTAAATCAGTAGTAGGTCTACTTTTACTATTAAGTAAAAAGAGTGGTGTATTCAGTTTGTTTACTCGATTGAGTTTCCAAATGTAGGCACTATTATTAACATCATGTCCAATAAACAATTCACCAGAATTATTAAACTTAAGAGAATCAATTTAATCTCTCTATTATGTATTGAATTCAGCCACTACTTGGGATGATTATTTAAATGTCATTACATTAACCATTCCTTTTCCTCCTTGTAAAAACAATGGTAAATGGGGATGAGAAGCCAAACACTGTAAATCTTCTTCTGGAATTTATTTGCTGGAACAATTCTAAAACTTTTCCATGAAATCCTTTTCAGTAAAATCCTTATACTCTTCATATGGATGTGCCCTTGATTTTAAAAATGGTTCTTTTTCCTTATCCAATCCAACCTAGATTCCTAAAGCTGAGGAACAGAGTTTTATTATGTATGGTTTATTGGCTTAAGATGCTTCTGTCCTTATAGCTTCATCGATTGTTTCTTCTTCTACTAAATTATAGCCATCTAGTGATCTATTTTTGTGTTAGAGAGTGTTATAAAATTTCATATGCTTTAAGAATTTTCCATATAATACAAATCCTTCAATTGGATTAGCATTGTTAATACACATACTTTTTATTTAGTCAGTCTTTATCTTAAATACTTCAACTCCTTACTTAAAGATTTTATTTTTAAATGAGATTATTGATTGCTCATCAAAATTACTTATGGGATATTTAAATGCTTATTTAGTTCTATTGATTGAGATTTCCTCCAAATATTGATCCAATCCAACTTTTTAACAAATTTAAAAGAATTGATTTTGATTGAAGATCTTTTCAAGTTACTTAAAGTATTGGCTTTTGGCAAATGAAGACTCTTTCAGAACCATTCTAAGGTCTTCAATAAAATTCTATTCTTATGAAAAATCAGAGAGATTCTTTAATAAAGTGATTACCATATCATTTCTGGTTGTCACATATTATTCAGCCATTGTAAAGATATTACTATAACTAGTTATTGCTATATTGAACATTTCTATTTTAAAGTAACTCTTAGATATAGACAAGAAGTATTTTACAATCAAGGATTAAAATGTGAAATATATAAACTAATTCTAAATATTCTCTTCCCCTGTTGTCTTTTCTTAACTAATTTCTAATTATTATGAATCTTCAAGACTTTCAGATCGTTATGAATTTTATTATTCTTATTCTGCTGGTTTATGCTTTTACAAGTAGTCCTATTCACTAACGTTGTATAAATCTTCAGGATAGGCTTCTTATAAAATGTCTACATTTCTATATGCTTTGAATCCCTTGTTAGAATATAGTCTTTTATTTTTAATTGCTGATTTTACTAACTCACAAAAATCATCTCTCAAATTTTCATATCCACAATCTTGCACATGTTATTTATATACAGTATTACAAAAAGTCTCCAATTTTCTCAATTATTCAAATGCGTTATCCCATAAGCGTAATTCCAATGCCAAAATCAAAGTCATGAACAATGCCAATAACTTGATGATGTTCAATTTCAATTTGTTATCAAATTTCTTTTGATAATATTAGGATTATTAAAATAGTTTTAATCCAACATCAATTTCATAGAGACTCTGAACAAATGTCAAATAATATTCTTAACTCTTTTCAGACAAAGGATAATCGAAACATATTCTATATAATAAACTTTGGGTTTCTTAACAGAAGGAGATGAATTCATCCAAACCTGTCTAATCGTAATGAATTGCAAATGTAAGAAAGCGAGAAGGTGATTTTAATTATCTTAATTTCTTCAAGGCAATGTCATAAAGTTTTGTTTTGTTGTGATATGTAAAATTTGCTAAATCATCGAGTTTCTACATTAATTACACGTAATTTGTGAAATGTTCTTAATCCTCAATTGCTTAAACTATGTACATTTCAATCTATAATTCGATTAACTACTCTGATTGTTCTGTTTCTTTATTTATATCTTAGGCAAATATCATCCCTAATTATGGCATTTAGATATTGTAATAATATTCTACTGCTTATTGCTTAATAAATTCTTAATTATCATTAATCTTCTTAATTGGAACTTATTCTACAACTTCTTCCTCTTCTGATTCCTCACTTTCATAAAATTGAGAAAAGATATCATCTTCTGCCTTCTTACTCTTCTTTTTATTAGCATCAATGCTTTATTGAATTTCCCTTTTCACATTTATATTTTCCTTGAGTTTTTCAACCAATAGAATAGCTGATGGATGATAATATGATAACTAAGGTGTAAATGTAGCAGGCCAACTAATACATACAGCCTTTCCATAATTATCATATTCTAAAATATGATGTTCAGGCTCTCTTAATAAAACATTAACACTATCAACGTATCTTCCCAAAAGATAGAAACCAATATGCAATAACCAAATATCATTCATTTCTTCTCCACTTTTGATGAAATAGTCTTAGATCAATTATTCACCGACTGGTCCACCTTGAGGTTCATAGATCTTCGTTGTTAAGTAAGCCAATTAGATATCCTCCATATACCTAGCCATAACATTCACTGCATCATTCAAATGTCCTCCTATTAAGAAAAAGGCAGCTGCATCCTAGTATCTTTTTTTAGATACTAAGGCATATGCATTCTTTGAAGCTGCTGATTTCCATCTAGGCTAAGTGAAATCTTGTTGCAAAAATTCATAGGTTGATTTTTATTCCTTACCAGAGTTAACTTCCTTTTTGAAAAGAGTTGTTATTACACTCTTTTTACCCAAAACTATGAAGTACAATAATGATTAAAATGGGTCTTTAGATTATTTATAAATCTACAATGCAATTTCTTCTAATCTCTATTTAATAAATGATAAATCCATCCATAATACTGTTGCATATCTTTTAAGTAAATTCCAAGATAAGTCATCAGAACTGGCTATGCATTCTTACCAAAGTGTTTCTTTTTACAATGAATGTAATGCCCAAACTACTTCTTTAGAACTTAATACTCTATTTCTTTTATGAGTTGGTTGATTTCTAAAGATGTGGACATGGAACATAAACATTGCAGCATAAAAATCTAATGAACGTGAGTTGTCTTCATAGTATCTTAAGTAATCCAAGATTATGTTAATTTTTAATGGATATTCTTAACAAATCTTTTTAAGGACATCAACTGGATGTAAAGTGTAATCATAAGAATCTTTGTCTTATAATTTCTTCATTTCATAAGTTCGAATTGCGTCAACCCATAAAGGTTCTGGTTCAGAATTCATTTGATATAATTCTAATAAATTTTTGTATGGAACCATGAAATGATTTCCCAAAGCACCATGATGTTTAAACTTCAAGCATATTAGTTTCAAAATAAATTGTACTAATTATAATTTACCCAGTTGTATTAATTCACTCAGAAAATCATAATCTTATAATTAAACATTATCTTAATTATAAATATTATAAATTACTTTATTGATTTATTAATTTGTAGCTTAAAGTGCTAGGCATCCAAAACTTATCAGCTAAACAACGTATTAATGAATTGCCTAATACTTTTACTTTTCTTCCTGTTTTTACAATCAGACAGTCCTTTATTGTATAAAATCTGTAATTTTAAGGCATAGACTATTTCGATAATCGTTTGCAATAGATTCCTTCTCTATTGTTTAAATATTTTCTATAATAATAGTTTAATTGATTACTATTTAATCGATGACAATTTATAACTTTAATCACTTTTATCAAAATGAATAGCGAAGGCAGTCAAATAGTTGTCAGTTTGTAAAATGAATGCAAAGTTGGTTAAAGGTACAACTTACACAATAACCTTGGAAACATCGTAAAGAGCCTTGTCAACTCTGACAAGAAAGGATTGGAGATTGAATCTAACCAAGAATTCTCCTGATGAGGAATGAAAGTCAATTTCATTTTAATGACTCATCACAAAATAAATTGGTTGGATTCCTCTTAATTATCCAACCTCTTTGATATTGTAATTTTTAGAGATCTAAACTATTTACTGCATTTATTCGTTAAAACCCTTTAATTATTTTCCTGTAATGGAAATAAAAGAAAGTTCAGTTGATTGTATTATCTATAATCTTTCGTAAGTGAAATCTAGTTGCCATGTTTTCAATTCGATAACTTAAAAATCTATTTATCCATGACCATAGATCTCAAATTGTATTTAAATTAAGGCCACTTTTTAGGCTGCTATCACTAATAATTGCAATTCATCTATTTCATAATTAATTTTTCTCAGATCAGTGATTTTATCTCTGTAATCATTTGATAGATGATTGTAGAGATTGAGATGTACTTCTAATAGTTAATTCTGCTAAAAAGTGAAGGCCAAACAATTTTGAGCATTTTGTGAAATGAGTAGAATAACATCGTTCTCCTTTACCTTGTCCCTAGTGATATACATTTGCTAATCTATTATATACAATCGATTTTACATTTAGATAGATTGGCATTGATTTTCCATATCTTGGATGATCCATCTGAAATATGATATTCCTAACTAATTACACTATTCAATTTTAATTATTGCAAACATAAGTAATTCCAATCATTTATAATGGCCACTTGATTCTTGCAGATTGAGAAGTGTATAATATTTTAAAACAGAAACTTTTCACATTAAAACACTTGCTTCGTATCATCTTTCAAGTTAACGCAAATCTTTATTAAATTCCATAATCTATCAAATCCAATAATTTCAATCTTTTATCCTTCAATTTAATCTACCAGAAGAATCTTCTTGATTTATTTGAAGATGTCACTTTTAGTCCTCTTGATAATTTTAACTGATTCTTCAAGTGAGTAATTTCTTAGAAAATCTAATTTGACCACACTTAATTCGCATTCCTAATGTAACAGTAGATAGTCAACACTCGACTGTTCTGTATCTTGGACTCCAAATTAATCTGACTCCAAATAAATGTTTTTCCAAGGGTATGGTACTAATCCCTTAAGGTAAATGAAGCAAAAGGAGGAGATTTGATCAAAATGCAAAGTGTGTAATTTACAGAAATTCTTGCATTAGATCATTTCTTGCCATATTGTTAATTGATTGGTTTTGGTGAGTGTGACAATAGTATTAGGAGTAGGGAAGGGTGAGGGAGCTATTCTGAGTGTTCCTCTAAATTTGTATGAAATTACTTCATCCTAGTGTTCCAATTTCACTCTTTATTATTGTGATAGCACTCCTTCCTGAACCTCTTTGATTGAATTGAAATCCCACACAATTACAGTGTTTTCATGAAGAGTAGTAAAATAACGAACATCTGGAGAGAATTTCACATTTGCTATTTAGTATTCCAATTCCAATGTGTAGATCTCTGTCAGATCGATTAATTCATATTAATCTAATTGTCCAAGTAATTTGTTTTACTTATGAGTTGCTTTCCAAATATGTAGTTTATTTTATGAACATCCAATAATATGTTCATCTGTTTTATAGAACGATATACATACCATCAAAGGAGAAAAATGCATCTCTTATCGGATTCGTGCAATTCTTACTGTAACTCTATTCCCAACCATTGAGTAGAGGCTTATACGCTATCAATTCTCTCTGACAGAATACTACAAACACTCCTTTGCTGGATGTTGCCACAGCCACGATGTCGCTCATATAATTCCTAAAAGTCTAAGCACAATCTCATGATATGTTAGTACTTGCATATGTTGCAATATTTCTTTCGTGTAAATTATTAGCTTCTCTTTCGAATAGGTAAGTATGCACTCGTTCTAAAAATGTGAGACACTCTTTAGTATTTGATACATATTATTATTGTATATAATTTAAATTAAATGAAGAAAGCCAAAGGAGGAGACTTTAATTTTGCTTCCAGAGCACAAAAGATCGATAAACTTGAGTTTCCACAATCTAGTGAAGAGCGTTTCATCGTCAAAGCCAATAAAGATGTATCTATGATTAGTTTTTAATTCTTAGGGAGTTGGATTCTAATGGAAGACTTACGATGAGAAATTGTTGGGTCGAAACATAGACAAATAGACTTTCGATAACACTGTGGCTGAAGCTACTCGTATTTGTCGTAACTTGTGGAGAGAAAAATAAAGAGAAGAACATAAAGATCCAACTAAGGCATATTAACCACTCCTTTATGTTTCAGTTTTCTTAATCCTTTTGGCCTTTGTGTTCCTTTTAGTTTTAATCTATGGAAATAGAGATAAATTAGCATTGCTCTATGTTGCAGTTGCTATTCTATGTTTAGCTGCATGTATTAATCATATTATCAAAGTGCTTACTTTAATTGTTGTTGCTAAGACCTGGAGTTTAGAACCATAGTTCATGGATCTAGAGAAAGCCCAATTGAATAAAGTGACTGAATACTTAAACAATCAGAATATATCAATTTATCAAGCCAAGGGATATAAATGGTAAGTTGAACCTAATCTTTATTGGATTGAGTTGGTTGTCATTTGAAAAATATCATTATATATATATAATATATATATCTATGATTTTTAGACTCTCAAACTCTTTTTATCTTTTTTATATTATCAATTACTATATATATCGGTTAGATAACTACTTATATGAATTAGATTAAAACTATTGATTTCTGTTCTAGTGTTATTTAGTTTACTTATTAGAATATGTACGAATAAAATATTTAGCAATTTTTATTTATTAGTTTAAAGTAACAAATACTCTATTACTGATTTCATCATGGTCAGTACATTCTATTATAATTAGATCTTAAAAAAAAGTTGCTAGAATGATGGAATTACTCATCAAATTTTAAATTTTATAATTTCTGTGCAATAACGATTTATAATTAATTATAATTTCAGCAACATCCATTTGAAGTGGAACTCTATTGTTAAAGTTATGTTTAGTTAATTGCTTATCCAACTCGGACTCCTGGTAGTTCACCCTTCTGTTGGCTTTTCTATACGACTTTGAGTACTTGAGATGCTGCTTAGGAGAATGTCTGAAATATAAATTAGAAATTACTTCAATAATGTTTAAATTATCCTTCGCACTTGTTTCAATAAACAATAGATTTTTTTCATTCGCTAATTACTACCCTTCAGATTTGGAAACTTTACGCCGTTTATATTATGTATATTATACTATTTCTCTAAATCAACTTTATTTCCAACCAACACTATCACCATATCCTGTGTTCCATGGACTTAACACTCTTTGATCCATTCTCTGACATTTTCGAACGATTCTCTTCTTGTAACATCATAAACTAAAATTGCTCCTGCAGCTGATCTATAATACTGTCTCGTGATAGATTTAAAGGTTTCTTAACCTGCAGTATCCCAAATTTATAGTTTGATTTATTTGCCATCCAAATCCAGAAATTTGGCTCCAAATTCCACTCCAACAGTCATCTCATGCTTCACTCTAAACTTCTATTCCAAAAATTAGTACAATATGCATGATTTTCCAACAGCTTCATATTATCAAATTCATATTACCTGTATCACCTATTATGATAAATTTAAAGAGATAATGGTATGACATTAATAATAATATTCAAATTAATTCAATACATCTGCCATAATTCTACAATTATATATAAACCTCTTTAAATCTATAAGAAATTATTCTTTCCATAAATTAGAATCAATTTACATGATAATTATTACTAACATCAAAATATCATATAAGATAAGATGATTAGAGGTATAAACCTTAATTTTTTATCTTTTACGCAAGGAAATAAATTTTCTTATAAAGAAAAAAAACAAAGCAAAAGTGACATTAGAGTTTTCAATCCAAGAAATACAAAATTCTATTAACTTACTTATGTATTTTAAAATAATCTAATAAAATACATGAATAGTGTAATAGAAAAAAAAACTTAATATTTATAAAATAAATTAAGCCACTCCTAAGGAGAATAATAATGGAGAAAGATTGATAAAATTCATTATTTGAGTCCTTTAAACCCTTACTGTTTGTTAAATTTCTTTCAGGTCTTAAGTTCCTGTATTGATAATATAATTGTTATTGCAACTTAAGTAAATTAAAGATAGGATTCTTTGGGCAACATTCACAGGATTTATTGTAATTTTAGATATCTTTTATGGAAAGTTTCTGAAATTCCTGTTAATTGATTTATAAAGTAGATAATTTTCTAATTCTTAATGAGATTCAGTAAAAATCAAAGCATCTTTATGAGAAACAATAGCAAATGCTATATTCAACAATATTGAGATCTGATGGTAATTTGAACATCTAGTTTATGTTTATACATCGGTTTTTGAATTTTGAATAGCATAATAATTAATTAAATCTTTATATATGTCGAACGATAACCCAGACGGTCAACCATTGGATTTTGAGTACTATGAGACCAATTACCCATACTTGAATGTGAAAAAGAATCTACTGAACAATACATTGTCTAAGTGGAGAAGGGCTATCGCTCCATATAACCCATTTGCTATGCAGCAAATTCCTAATTAGAAGCGTATGGGTATGGGAATTAGAAATGGGAATGGATTCTACTTTCCAGATCCTTACCCTAACAGAGTAAATTGGAGTGTCTTCTTCCCAACCCATTACGATCCTTTGAGTGAATAACACTTTGGCAATCATGGTTGGCAAACAAGAAAGTAATTAGAAATTGTGATTGCTCTAGAGATGCTCCCATGTTTACAGCATTGGCAATTAGAGCTTAAGCACTTCCCCGAGGTTGTGTGAGATAGATCGAGTAATTTAAACGATGCTAGAGTGTGAATGGAGTGACAAAATGTCAAGAAGAAGCTGACAATATTATATCGATTTGTCCAAAATGGGCTTTGGAAGGATTGAAGGAGAAGAAGAAGCAACTTGATAAGATCGAGGCGATCCAAACACAACAATATCGTTCTGTGTTGGAAGTGTCTCCCTATAACAAAGTATGGGCAGGTCATTGAATTAATAGGGTAGAACAGTCAAAGACGTTTCGGACAAGACTTGGGCTGATGGACACAGAGACAAGCTGAGACCTGATACAATGTGGGCTGATGAAAGATACACCAATATTACTCAAGCAGAGATCAATGAGGCCAAGAAACGTGTTGCTGCTAGGGACAAGTCAAGTGGAAGGTAATACTATGATTTTGAGGGTTTTAGAGTGAAAGAGGCAGTTTATCCAGTACATCATCCAGATCTTTCGAGTTCTCATCTGAGCGAAGATAAACCTCTTTATCCATGATTTATTAATATATGCAACGGAAAATATTACATAATAAATATAATAATAATAAAATAAATCTTAGAGGATGGTATGAGTTTAATGCTTAATTAGGGTTTGCTTAATATCATTCGAAAGATTAAGAAGTCAGAAAAGGAATTAAGAATCCTTGTCTTGGGTTTGGATAATGCAGGAAAAACTACTATTTTGAAGGCATTGTCAAATGAAGATATAAATCAGATTGCTCCTACTCACGGCTTCAACATTAAAAATTTGTAACACGAAGGATTTAAACTTAATGTTTGGGATGTGGGAGGTTAGGAGGTAAATCCAAAACTACTTTATAGAAACTTCGAGAATATTGGAGCAACTTCTATGAAAATACAGATGCTTTGGTATTTGTGATTGATTCATCTGATTAAATGCGTTTGGAAGAGGGAGGCAAGGAGTTGGATAAATTGCTTGGAGAGGCTGAACTCAAGAAAGTACCTCTCTTGGTATTTGCAAATAAACAAGACTTGGTGCAAGCCCTTCCTGCTGATGAGGTTAGTATTCCATCTAATTAAGATCTCCGATAGTTTGAAATTAAATAAAATCACCGATAGACAATGGTCTATTGTAGCATGTTCAGCCAAAACTCAAGAAGGATTGCAAGAAGGAATGGAATGGCTCATTAAGACCGTCCAAGACAAATGAATATTAAATATTAAATATATTAGATGAAAACATAGATCGGAGTTTTAATTCATCTTCACAAATTCACCAACATAGATCTCTCCACATAAGGGATCTATCAAATTAGAGTTTCTGTGGTATCACAATCTACCTAAATTCTCTTAGCCAGGAGCTTAGCCATACCTTATTATCAATTCCACTCGCCAAGAAGCCATCTCAGTTAATGAGGTTGATGAAAACCACATCTGTTATCCAGAAAATATACATCATTAATATTTTTATTCTCAAGGATTTTTAATAATATATGAGGATGAAGAAATGCTAACTAATGTTGGTTGCGCATTCCGATTAGAAGAAATTTAATTAAATTCAAATATTCAAATCCAGATGGATTTACTTTTCTTAGATATTAAGTCACTTCCAGATATACATTCTCAAAACTTCACCTAAAACGTAATACATCTACATTCGAAAATGAAACCCATATCACATGCCTCATTCTAAGTGCCCAATCCCCATCATTACAATTAAATGTATTATCCTGTCGACTTTGATACCAACCATTTCTGTTCTGTCTAAACTCAGATCTTTACTACTCCCATTAACATATCATTCGCTAAAGGATTTGTTGAAGAATAACTCAAACTCCAATTAGATGCCTTCATTAATCAAACTATAAATGTACTCAACGAAAATAGAAATTCCCTTCTTGATTAATTATCAAAGATATAATCAGACAAAAAAATCATTCAATTATCTTACAAAGTGTAAGAGTATAATATTAAGAATCCTGATTTAATAAAGTAGATTAATTAAGTATACTATTCTAACTTATTAGAGTTTTTATGATTTACATCACGATCTCTATGTCCTATGGTGCGAATTAATTTCTATTCTAAAAGACAACAATCTAAGTCTCCTAACCCTTTTGTAATAAGATTATTGTGAACAAATGAAACAAAGATGGATGAATTGCATTTTAAGCTATTCCTCTCAAAATAAAAATATTTCCTCTCACGTTAATCAAGAATTAGCAAAAAACAAACGACACTCCTTAAAAAATACTGAATTTTAGAGAATTATATACACTGAAGCCATAATTCCATTGAACTCACATCCATTTTTCTTTAGAACCACTTACTAAAGGCAAGCACTACATTAAATGTCTAATGATTTTAGGGATCACTACGTTGTTTTACTTCATGGCTATTAAGGTACCTCATATGATATGAGATACTGGAGGGCAATTCTAAAAATTCGTTTTTAGGATTAAATAAAGTTCATATTGCCCACAAGTAATGAATTCGTCAACAATAAATCAATTTAATAATAGGCTTAAGATGTAGCTGATGAAATCATTGACTATATCAATCATGAAAGAGTATTTGATTTCAAATTGTCTTTTGTTGGACACTCCTTAGGAGGACTTATAATCAGAGCAGCTTTGCCTTTATTAAGGCAATTTTAGATCTAAATGCACTCTTATATAAGTTTGGGCACTCCACATTGTGGGTATGCTTCATCTAAAAGCTTTATAATTGATACAGGATTAATGATGATATAGAAATGGAATAAATGCAAAACTCTTCAGGAGCTGAGTTAAAAGGATAATAAGAATATAGGTTCAACCTATCTTTATTAATTAAGCACGTTTGAGGGATTAGAATGGTTTAATAACGTAGTTATTCTATCATCTCACCAAGATTATTATGTACCTATTCAGTCAGCCTTAATTTAAAGCATTGAGGAAACCAATGATCCAAAGACTCTATTTTACAATCAAATGGTTTCAAATATTTAATCCAAATGCAAAAGGATAGATAGATTTGATATTGACTTTTAAATTACAAAAAAGTATATATCTTAAATATATTTAGAAAATTGGATAAGTTGATAGGAAGGGCTGCTCATATAGAATTTATAGACAACTTACTATTTGTTAAGATGTTTGTATACTTATTCGATGAGTTTTTTATCTGAATTGTTAGAAATATAATTATCCTATTTATTTATCTTATATAAATTAATTAATCATTTTACAATACTTCTATAAAAGATATTTGCATATAAAATATAATATTCTCAAATTTCGCTCTGATTAAATTAAAAATGAGGTAACTCCACATCAGAATAGCATTCTTCAAGTTCCTTCTCGTAATTTTAATTTTATTTATCCTCAGGTTTTTCCAAAGAACCCAGTATTTCAAATTCATCTGGAGGTTAAGCTTAAGCAAATTGGGCTGGAAATGACTGGTTAGTCAATTTAGGTTGAGTTATTGTTACTTACTATTTGGGAATAGGCTTCTCCATTTGAGATAATTTTTCATCCAGTTTCCCTTATGCTTTTTCCACTGTAAATAACTCTTATGCTTTATCTATTACTTATTTTCTTTATTTCTAAGTTGATCCCTAAGGTTTAAAAGATGGAATAATGCCTTTCTTTTATTACTACTGTTTTTTTTCTTGTTCTGCTGTCTATTTCTCATCAAGTATAACTTCCTAGGCATCATCAACTGAGAAGTCATCAATTAGAATATCTTTAGAATTATCTTTTTGCTCTTTTACTTCTTCAAACTAAACAGCCCTTTTATTCATGTGATCATCCTTTTGTAGTTCCTTTTAAACTTCAATTATTTCTTATGATTTATCTGTCTAAGTGATATTTATTGATTTATCCTTATATTATGAATTATCATCAATTTGGGTATGTTCTTTAATTGAACTTTAAAAAGATTGTCTTTTAAGATTTTTAAATTTTAAGTCTTCATTTAAGAATTCTTGCTCTAAAAACGATAGTAAAATAGTAGGAGCTGTTGCTTTTAAGAAGTCATAATGGTAGTATTCTTGATATGGCACATTTCCATCAGGTCTGGGTTACCATTGAATTAGAAATAATCCATTTTCTAGTGTAATAGACTTGATTTTGTCTCCTTGATCAGATTTCAATGAAAGTAAGGTTTAATTTTGGACTTATTATTATTTAATTAAATATTTCTCATTCTAATGTAAATTATTATGTTATTAAATTTGTTATTGTTATTAAACCTGTAATTATTAATATTATGCTGATTGAGGTAGTGGTAAAATTTGATTGTTGTTGACCTTGTTATTTTTTTCAGTTTGTTTATCTATTTTTTTTTGCCTTTTAAAAATTGGATAATTTTCATCTGATGGAATGGTTGGCAATTTAGCATGATTCTCAAAATTCTACATCTTATTATTATTTTCCCTCATCTTCTATAAAGTCATTTGATCGAATCTGCTACCACAGACAGAAAAATAATTATAGTCTTCTATCAATTCCTAATAATTCTCTTTCATGTATTTTTCTGTTTCTTGCTTTTATTCATTATTGCTGTACTCAACCAGATATCTAACACCACCCGCATTAGAAACAATTTTTTTTAAGATTTTCATCGGTTTAATGTCTGAATCATCTTAAGGGTCGATTAAAATCAATTCACAATCGTTTTTCTTCTGGGACATTTATTTAATATTTTCACATGAAATTATAAATATTATTAATATATATTCATAAAATCCTTGTTTTGTTTATCAGATAAGATTTCAATATGATTATCTCCATATTATATCTTCTCACTTACACTTTAAATATTCAATAATACAAACAACTATTTTATGATTGTGTTCTTACAATATTAAAATATATTAATACTTATAGATAAAATAGATTCTAAAGGAATATATTTTTGAGGTATTTACACACAAAAAGTATCAAAAATAAAATGAGTATAAAGTAGAATTATAGAATGAATGATTGTTTTTTAATCTTGGTTAATACAAATAATTAATTATATAATTTGAATTTTAAATTAAACGAAATGTAAGACGACCCAACATTATTTACAACTCTAAAAGGACACAAAGATACGATAACAGCATTGTCATTTCATCCTGGATTGTATATCAATAATTATATAGTAGAAAATCAATTGCATCAAGTGCCAATGATGGTGTAGTGTCTGTGTGGTAATTGAAATAACCAAGGAAGGTCTATAGATTTATGGGTCATAAAGGATAAGTAAGTGATGTTCAATTCTCTCCAAATGGTCTATTGATTGCATCTTGTGCTAAAGACGAGACTATACGACTTTGGAATAATACAGTTGAAGGAAGTTCAGTTTCAATAAAGGCACATTCAGCTCCAGTCAGAAGTGTTCAATTTTCTTGTGATGGTTAATTATTGGTGAGTTCAAGTGATGATAAATCTGTCAAAGTTTGGAGTGTGAATGATCGTAAATTTCAATATGGATTCCAGCATACAAATTGGGTTAGAAGTGCTGTGTTTTCATAAGATGTTAGATTGATAGCATCAGGTGGTGACGATAGAGCAGTTATTATTTGGGATTGTGATTCAAAAAAAGAAGCTTAAAGATATAATGAACACATTGGAGTAGTCTATAAGGTTCAATTCTCACCAGATTCAACAATATTAGGATCATGTTCTCATGATAAGAAATTGAAATTGTTTGATGTCAGATCAAAGAGAGTTATCTAACATTATGATGCTCATGCAGATTCAGTCTTGGATTTGAAATTTCATCCATCTGGATAGTTTGCTATGACATCTGGAGCTGACAGCAAGGTCAAAGTATGGGATCTTAGAATGGGGAAATTGGCATATACACTTTATGGTCATAATGGTCAAGCTACTACTTGTGCATTTTCTAATCATGGAGATTATTTTGCTACTGGAGGATCTGATAGTATGATTTTAGTTTGGAATACTAATTGGGTTTGCAGTGGTCAGGAATCCTTGGATGAAAAGCCAAAGTAAGTAAAATCTAAACCCATTCAACAGACATCATCATAGGGATAACAACAATCATCATAACAGAAAGAAAATGTTTAATAAACTAATAGTCAATTACCTAAATAGAAGGAAACTGTTCTATATTCAAATGCAGACAATAGTTTACATAAGAAGAGCGAATTCAATTAAAGTGTATAGTTATAAAAAGAGGATGTTCCAGCTGAAGTTATCACTTAATTAGACAATATCAGCGGTTAATTGGAATTAATTACAAGGTTCTAATCTCATTTAAGTTTAGGACTTTATAAGCCCTTGAGTAGAGAGTTTCCAATAATGAATAACAAATTTGTAGACTCAATCTTGCTTTGACTAGGGATTTTGAAAGAAGTGAACAAATTCAAAATTAAATCTATGATTTAAAACCCTTGGAAGAACAAGTTTAGGATTAGGATGAAGAAGAAAATATCAATTATATCAAATTTCATCGTGCAGCTAACAATTGATTTAATTTAATTTTAAATATATAATAATTTATTTTAATATGTCTATTTGGCAACAGAAATGCGCTCTGGATTTTCACATCTAAGTATATAATATTTAATGAAGTAATAAATCAAATTAGATGCATTAGAAGAACTATAGTAGGAATACAAAAACTATGAAAGACGAATTTCAAAATAAAATTAAAAGTATGATTAAAGAAAGAGATATAAAAATAAGAGAAAGAAAAACCGTAGTAGCAGTAGTAGCAGTAGTAGTAGTTCATCATCCAGCAGTCCAAGATTTTAGTCAATTACCAGTTCAAGTGAATCTGATAGTTTACTTTCTTTACCTTCTGATTCTAAATAAAAAAAAAAACATGAAAAATTTTAGACTAAAATCTTAGATTTTGTTTTTGATATTAATCCTCCTAGAAGAGATTATTTAATAGAATATGAATTGAATGGACAGAAAAAAATGACTTCAATGAGAAATTTAAATGAAAAAATATCTAAACTAAATATCTAGTCAAAATAAATATAAAATGATGACGAGAAAAATGAACCCAACGATGACAACTTGAAGTAATCAATAATCAAAATACTTGTAGATAGGATTTAAAGGATGAATTGGAACTTGGAGTGAATCGATATTATCAATATAACCCTTTTGAATACTGCTTTAGATGTAAGTAATCAGGACATCAGGAAAGATAATGCACTGAATAATAAACCATCTAATGCAATTATTGTTTAAGTCAAAAACATGTTGGAGATATCTGTTCTAATGTTTCTTGTTTTAGATGCAATTAAATTGGACACAGAAAAAATGATTGCAAGGTAACTTCATTTGTTAACCTATCTAGACATAATTAAAATTATAATAATGCATAAACTGTGGTAAGAATAGTCATAAGGAGTCAGAATGTGGCATGTTAACTCAACAAATACACAAATTAAAGGATTAGATCGAATGCTTCGTTTGTAGATTGTATGGCCACATAAATTGCTAAAATAACATTATTTGATTTATAGTTTTGAAAGTTTCTATAATATTTCATCATCCTATTGTTTCTCAAATTTTAATAACTTCATTATTTTTGTTAATAATTTTATGCTGTTCATTAAAAATTATTGGTTTATGCTTATTTATAATTATTTACAAAATTGAATTAATAATCAAAAAGTTTGTTAAAATCTCAATTTACAGAATTACTATCTTTGTTTTTATAAAGACATCATCAAATATTGATTTGTGATATGTCATTGAATATTAGCTTTAAAAGCTAAAAAAATAATTTAAATTCTCAATAATAAAATTAAAAAAACAAATTATTTACAAATCTTCTTAAATGGTTCTTTTAACGAAATCAGATATTATTAGAAAATGTATATTATGAGTTAAATATTTTTTTAGAAATTCACAAAAAATCTGACCAGGGGAGTAAGTAGAAGAAAAGGGTTGATGGTAATAACAAATATAAATATAATAAATATGAGAAAATATAGCAATATAAAACCAATCATTCTCCTCATAATACAAATTAATATCTCCTTAGTAAATTTATTGAGCAGCCGTCTACATCTTTGTCTGCTCCCGAAAGTATACTTGATATCTTGTTATTTTCAATGCCTTGAAAAGGAAACCCATGTTTGAGTGGAATTTTTATATATATATTTTTAATAAGTCAGTTCAACCATTAACAGGGGAAGTCGAGTTGCTTCTCTTGATCTATCGAAATTTCATGATCACATTTAAAGATTGAAATCAAAATAATGAATGCCTTCAATCGTCATAAATTAACAACAATCATAATTTTTCATCGCATTTCTAGAATACAAACTAACATTCTAAAACCTAATCGGACCTTCATGCTAGAGATATGTGCATCCAAGATTCACACTGAAATTAGATTAAAGCACCAATCTAAATTGAAAATTACAATTAAAATATAACTCTTGGAATCCCGCGTTCATTATTTCTTAAACTCAGTGATTAATGCAGTTCTTTTATCTTTGTAAATGCATGTATTGAGAAAGCCTCAAGTTATCATTGTAGGTTCTTATTAATTCTTTAACAATGTTTGGATATTATTAAGGTTAACAACTTGCCTGACTACAATAAATGGCTAAATTTCAAAGATTTAGGCTCTTTAAGTTGATCCTTCTGTTTCAAGGATTCTAAGAAATGAATTGATTTAAGAAATAATTAATTTGTATTAATTTAGACATTTTTTTGTTTTCTTAGCTTTCTTTTAATAAAAACCTATGAATATCAGAGAGAATTTGAATATATTCATTTGGGTATGCATTTATAATAATACTTAATAATTATTATGTATGTTATTGGAGTGATTTTATGTTTTTGATATTAGAATGGTTTTGAGTATGGAGTTGTATTAGTTGAAGATATTGATAGTATATAAGTTATTAATTAAATATGAATTATAATTATTATCGAACACAATTCGACAATTAGAATGTGATTCATTCGAATTCGTAGTCGGTTGGCAAGTTAAAGAAGGGAATTGTCTTTCAAAATTACCCTTTTAATCCAGTATAGAGTTATAACTCCAATATGCAAGTGCGTCCATTTACTTCTCAAACTCAGCCTATCAAAAAGCCTTCAACGGCTCAAGTAATTAAAATGAAATAGGAAATAGTCTATTCGTCATGTTCCAAGAGCTGCTACTTCATAAACTCAAAGACAACCAAATATGCTGTTTTCTGAGTAATTAAATAACACTGAAATGGAGACCAAGCAAAGTAAACGATATATGAAAATATACTTCCTTAAAAGTAATGCCCCCTTATAATCACTTTAGCCAATTATCGTACTATTCTTCATAATGTCATGAATAACAAGCTCAAAGCTTTACCACCAGGGGACAGAAGAAGACTGTCGGTTCTTAATATTGTGTAAGACAAATTCAAAGAACTTACAATTTAAGAAATCAATTTGCTTATATGTTAACATGCAGTTTCTGAGAAGTTTTACATTTATTTTTCAGGTTCATATTAATTTATTAAATCTAGATTCTGAGTGGATTCCTTGCAGCAAATGTTGTTAAACTCCCATATATTTAGTACTCACTCCATAAGCTTAAAAAACCGATATATTTTGTAGCTAATGTTCTCGAAATCTTACAAATCCTCCAAGATCTGCTGTCTAAAGCAATACCGTTTTACCAAAATACTCTTTTACTCAATATGGACATTCGTTACAAGAATAGAAGGAGAGATAAAAGGTGAGTAGAATGATTATTTCTGGAAAGTATAGAAAGATGAATCTAAAAGAAGTTTATAATGAAGTGTAGGAACCAGTTTAACCGGAAGAGTCATATAATTTAGAGTTTCCTGTAAAAGAAAAATAATAAGAAAGCACAATTTTAGAATTAAAAGACTTAATTAATGAATTATTCTGAAAATAAATAACATCATTAAAATTATTAAATAGTTCCATTTACTAAATCATCAAAATTATATTATTCTTCCTCTTAACGCACTTTGTCCTTTTCTAAAAATCGATACTTAATCTCCTCAATAACATTCTGAAATCTAGATTATAACCTACATTTTAATTGGTTAACATTTACTTGTTTTGCTTAACATAGATTTTCGAAGCATTTTGAGACTAGAATATTCTTTCAAGAAGATATACAATCTAATAATCAGATATTAGTATATACTCGTTATATGTTATTTGGAATTGTAGAGTAAATTTGAATGGCTATGATACTGATGGCCTCAACAAATTAGGATTTATCAAGGAAAACTTAGTCTGAGTATTCTTACCCTTCCTAATTAAGTGATGCTACCGAATAAAATATTGAAGTCAATTAAGTTTGAGATATTAGAATATTGGAAAGTTCAAAGTCTTAACAAAATTTCAAGAACTCTGATAAATACAAGATTGAACTTTATTATTTAGAATATTCCTAAAAGTACCAATCAAAAACTGTTTAGATCATCTCATATAGTTAAATCTAATGTTATAATAAGATAATTTTTATACAATTTATTCGTCTTGTAAGAGATTGACTAAAACTTAAAGGATTTATTCTTTATTATCATCTGAAATTTATTTTTCTAAGGGTAAAATGTTCTATTGAATCAATTCATTTATATCCATTCCACATTTCTCAGCTATCATTCCCAAACTAACTTGAAATTATCCAAAGGTCATTTTACCATTTGTCAATTATTTATTTTTTTGTTAAGTTTTAATGGATTAAAGACCACATAATTTTGAGTAGATCATATCAGAATCCGTTATAGTAATTAAATTGTTCAAAATCCCAGAGTGCAATAATAATTTATTAAATTTTGTATTTTTTAAAGATTAAATGTTGCTAGGTTCTCCACTCTATGCAAAGAACTCAAATAACTTTTTCAATGAAGAGATGTAAGATTAATCTATATCTTATAAATATTTGGATTGTTTCATCATAGAAACATTAACCCTGCTTTCATCAACTTTCTTATTAGTATTAAAAACTTAAATGTTTGTGTGGCTAACATTATTCTAAGTATTTGAAATCATCTAACTTTATTGAATTAGATTTTCTTATTTATAGATTCCACTCTTTTCTATGTTATAAAACAATCTCACCTTATCACTCTAAGTTCTATTTAGATTTCTTAAATATTAACTAAAACCTTCTGACTATTCAATTTTATCAAGCAGTAGTCTAAATTGAGTAAACTCATCTAAATTTGGAACTGTTTTTGATATTATAATCAAACTTTCAACAAAATTATTTAAACTAAATAAGTAATTTCCACTTTCTTATAGATTGAGAGTAGGCTACCTTATTTAGATGTTATCAAATATCAATTGAGCTTAGGATTAATTAATAAAATTAGGTAATATTTCGCATTAAGTTAAAAATTACATGAATTTCCATTAGACTTTGCTTATGTTAGTGCTTTAGTCTTCAAAAATAAATTTGTGTAAATTGGTTAATTGCTATTAGATGGGTTCTACAAACTCTTTAATCTAATTGCCTATTGGTTGGAGTACAAATTAGATTTATTGTCCAAACTCAGTAAAATTTAATATTTTCTAAGATAATTATGATAGATATTCATTGTATAATTTTTGAAATGCTTAGTGAACTTTATGCTAAGGGTAGAGGATCATTGCTAATTTGGGTATCAAGTTCTGAAATTGTTCAAGTGTGAGGCTCTCATTATTTTTAGTTTGCTAAGCATATAGAATATCACAATCTCGATTTGACAATAATTATGGCATTATTTGAGCATCGGACAACATTTTGATAAATTTGTTTGATTTCAAAAGCCTAGTATTGTTCCTATTACCAAAACTTGCATAAAATTTAAAAACTATTCTAATGTTCAACCTGATGTCCTCCATTCCAATGCTTTACTTTTGAGGCGATGCATTTTTACTTTGCTACACAGTTGATTGATGAGTGTTACCGAGGGTTTCATTTTGTTATTCCGTTATTACTGGCATTCCAACATTTACTTTAATTTTCGAATACGAGAGCTAGGTGCCTAAATTTAAAGGTTGATTATCCCTCTGCAAATATCGATTGAATGAATCCAATTCATTTTCATCAATATTTTATGTTTTCTTCTAGCGATCCATGATCATTTTGCTTATCATAATCGTTAATAAAAATAAATAATAGTAAATTTAATCAAAACTGTTATTCTATAGAAGAATTTCCATTAAGTTTTCATTTGCAAAGTCTACCTTGCTAATTGCGATTGGAGAGTAAACAAATAATTAGATAAAGATGAGGATTAATGAGTAATTATTTTTATAACATTTTAAGATGAATTGAATTGATTTGAATGCAACTATGTCACCTCATAGATAAATTTTAATGTATTATTAATCACTTTTTGATTTATTTTACGATCTTGACCTCTTCAACAAGGAATGCTCTGATGATGCGATTTTTTAATGCTCCAGCACTGAGGACACCTCCATATGGTCTTGAGACTGTTCTTTATCTTCTAGCAAGTTATTTGAGTTTGGTTGGTCTGATTCTTTTGAGACCATTCAAGACAACACTCAAATTAGAATCTGCACATGTTGATGCACTAGTCTTTTTATTGGGATATTAAGCCACAACATTGCCACCTTGAGTAGATATGGATTTAAATACCTGGAGTCTTGACCTTTCTGATCTTATTTGATCTTGTGTTATAGCTGGTTCTTCTACGATATGTGACTCTTACGCCCATGTATTAAAATCTTAATTAAAAATTTTTTTTAATATTTTTATGGAACAAATTACAGAAGAACAAAAACAAGCGATTTCTAAAAAGAACATCTTCATCTTTGAACTCATTGGCACATTCTTTTTAGTGTATATAAGTGTATGCAGTCAGTAATACGATTAAATAAAATTAGGAATGAAGCATATCAAGTAGCATTGGGATTATTTGGATGCATGCTTGTATTTGGTAGATTGAGTGGAGGCCATTTCAATCCAGCAATAACATTGGCTATGGCTTTGGGTGGAGGAATTCCCTATGGCACAATGTTCTTCTATTTCCTCCCTTAATTTTTAGGAGCATTTGCTGGGGCTGCATTGTCATTTTTGTTATTGAATATGGACAAAGCTCCATATATAGAAGAGTAACAAATTTACAATAAGTTAGTGAACCTATAAAGGAATTGGCTGCATCATTATTTGGAGAATTGATTGGATCAACAATCTTTTTGATTTTCACTCTAATTTGCTTTGTTAAAGAGACTCGATTATCTGAAAATAGAATAGCCACATTAGTCATGCTATCATGTATATACTATGCTTGCAGAGAGTAAAAATGCTGAATATTTCGATAGATACACAATTACATCTAGCAATAGTTTGCTTAATCCAGCTGCTGCACTGAGTTTGACTGTCTTTGACTGTTTAGCTAAGAGTTGGGATTAGATGATTAATATGTGGATTTACGTGGGGGGACCAATCGGGGCGGCAATTTTGGCAACAATGTTTTATTCACAATTATACCACTCAGTTACGCATAGAAAATGAATTTTATATAATATTATTCATGAACTAAGATGATTTCGAGGTATAATATATCGATGTAGAGATTATAAAAGATCTCAGTTGAAGTCAGCGATCCAAAGGTCTAATCGGGACTTAACAAGTACACAACTTATTCAGTTCGAGGAATGGATAAGAACGGATAATTTGATGTAATACGTAGGTTTAGTGATTTCCGACTTATTCGACAATTCCTTATAACAAAGTGGCCTGGCTGTTACATTCCACCACTTCCACCGAGAAAGGCGATTGTAAATATAGAGACTCTACGACTTTTAGGGAAATATGGATTAGAAGTTCATAGATGATAGAATGCATTCATTATAAGATTGGATGAGGATTATGGCTCAGACCAAATACTTCTGGTATTCTGAGGAGTTCCAGTTATTCATCAAGGCCAATGGGGACATCGAGAAAGTAAATAAAGCACTTAGTTGTAGGCTTTGACTTAGGTACCTAAATTAACTTATGATGAAATAATAAACAAATACTAGGAAACCTTTACAGATCTTTCAGGAGTAAGTTTTTGTTTATTGATAATAGAGAGAAATCAACAGAGAATTAATTCAAAAGATAACAGATTTTCACTTGTTTCTAAAAAGAGTAAATCCAATGGTTGAGAATTTTAAATAAATTGCTAAGTATTATTCCTAAAAATCATAGAAACATAGCTGAGGCTAGGTAGAATTTTCAAGAATAAATGGCCACTTTTGTTTAAACTCACTTGGCTGTTTATGAACAACAAGTCTTATTGGAGTTTAGCGAGAGTTAGGATAAATTGGTAATACAGAACATCAAGAATGAAGAGTACCCAGCGTAATTGTTAAACAATTACATTAATTTATTGCAATAGAATGAATTCTAATCTTTATACTAAGAAATTAAGAAGGAATCTAAATAAGTGCGGGCATTTTTAGAGACCATGATATAAAGAGAGAAGTACGAATAGTAGAAGGTGTTTTATGAATAGAAGTAGAAGGAACTTTAGATTTAATTGTAAGAAGTGTTAGCAGGGAAGTCTTCAATCAAGAATTTGTTTAGTACGACTAAGAAGGAAGATTAAATAGCAAAGTTGCAAGTTTAGATCGATTAGGTGTGTAAGGACATTGAAAACATGCAATTTATTTGTGATATACTCACTGTATTATTGGGATATATAGAGATTGACAAATTCAAGGTATGAAATTATATTGAATGGTAGTTGGAGAAGCAGTAGAATTATTATAGATTGGCAAAGAGTTTAATCCAATATGAAATCTAATTGAACCAGGCAACCGAGGAGTTTTGGGAGAGAGTCTAATAAAATTATAATTTATTGTGATAAATAAATATTATAATAAAATTATTTATGAAATCATTTTTTTGGTAAATAATATGTGTTAGGTGCATAAAATAGAGGTTTGTTTAATTAATTTAGATTGGGTCTATGATAATAATCAGTCTGTCGACTAGGTTTCTGATCGATACTTTTTCTGCCACTCAACTGGAAACTTTGGTTGCTACTAGGAGTGACTAATGAGCTAGTAATTGGCTGTTTAAAATGATTCAAACTTTAATGAATGCTCATTTTTGATTATTAGAAATTTTATGTACTTGCAGCTTAAGAAGAGTATTTACAAGGTGAACTTTAAGGTTGTTAATTATGAACACTATTAACTCTGACTGTTCTAATTTATTTTTCACTATGTAGAATAAGAGGGATTTATAATTTATTTTTGATCTATTTTTTTGTGGCTTCTTCCAAACCCTCTCCAAAATAAGTTAATTTTGGTGAGATCTCAAATTCTTAATTGATTTCAAAGCCCAATTGTGACATCCATTTTTGATCTCTGTGCATATAGGCTTGTCGTGCTGTATGAATAGTGTCTTTGTTTTCATTTGAAGGATTAAGGATGGGGGCATATTCATCTTCCCTCTTGACTCTGAATAATGCAAAGGATTGTATAGGACAATAAGGAATGGCTTGGTAATATGTCAATTCGAATTTAAGAGCATTAGGTTGTGACATAGGTTTGATTAATCTGGAAGTTATGTAATCAAAATATGTACATTTCTTTTATCGAATATGGAAACTAGTTTGATTGTAAATCTCTACTTAGACAAAATGTGGTTTTTATAATTGCAACAAAGTTCAAGGGCATAATCGAGAGAACATAAGACTTAACCAATGACTCCATCAGGATTAGCCAAACTTCCATTTTTGTCTCTTTTGACTAAATCAGTATAAGAGATTTCATCATACTCTAAATATGGGATTGCATTTAAATATACCTTTGTATTGCAAGCCTTAATTGAACTAATTCACTACGATTCCTAGATTTTCATCAACACTCCGTTTCTGTACACATTTAGCACTCAAATACAATTGATTTCTAATGAAGGCACCAATCCAATGGGGATCTCCAAATTTGCAAAGTACATTTTCTATTGAACATAAGTGAAGGATGGTGACTCCCAAGAATTTCATGGTATCTAAAACAGATTGATTCAAATAAATGTATCCATTGCCAATGTATTCATCAAAAATCTAAGATTGATCACTAAAGAGAATTTGTCCTTCCATACTAAATAAGGGTAATTTATCTTATTAAATAAAAAAGATCTGATCTTCTTACAAGCCAAAATGATTCTTTTCTTAGAAAAAGCTAGTAATCATTTCGTGATTAATATTGGTGGTCATGATGAAAATCAATATTGGTAAACACTTTCCCTAACGTTGCTTGATTAAATTCTAAAGACTCCAAATTCGTTCGCAATACAATTGAAACAAACACTTATGTGAAGGCAACTGGATGTCTAACAAACTAATGTTTTGCTGAGCACTCATAACGATTGCCACTAAATAGTGAGGATTGCCGTATACGTTTGCCCTCTGCTATTGTTGCATATCCAATCTCTTCGTCCTTCCCATCAAACTCCAAACATCTGATTGTCTCATATGGTGTCATCTAAATTATCTTTGCTTTGAATTATTGATAAGTCTAAGCTCTAAACACAGTTTTTTACTTAATACAGCTATTTTATATCGTATTTCTGTAATTTATTCATAATGCTATTCTACTCTGCTTCGCTCAAAGTCTGAATATATTTAAGTAGATATCCCTGACCTGCAGATTAGTAATCCAACAAACTTGGTGCTATCTTTTTCATTAAATAAATTTAATATACTATTTACAATTCATAATTAAATAAATATATTCCAAATACAAAATTCATAAAAAATAAGGCAGCATTCCTCGATCCATGAAATTTTAAGTGAGCTCCTAAGATTCTTCAAAAAATATGAAACTCTGCTCTAAATTTTCATCCAAATTCATCATGCAAGCTTTATTTCCGCATCGATAACAATAATTAGGAGCTGACCATACAGTCACCAATTATTTCTAATCTCTAATCTCTATTTTACGTCGAAATAATATTTATATCCATCCATTTACAACTGATGGGCCCTTGCAATCAAAGTTAAATCATTAATGTGATTAAATTGATCTACTATTTTTTTTCCAAATTAATGAACTCCTCTTCGTCCATTTTATGTCCATCCATCTAAATCTTATTCAGGATCAGACCATAACAAATCACTCATCGGGCCTTCTCCCTCCTTCGCATTTCTTCGATCTATTCAGATATCATAATATTAAACCAATCATTCTGATCTAATCTATCTATTTTATTTATGGAGACAATCCCCCATGTACACAAAAAACCTTTTAATTGACTAATGCACATAATGGTAAGTAATCAAATACTTCGCAAAAGTATTACCAAGGATATATGTTCCCATATTTCCTTTTCACCTCTTCGTATAGTCCATTCATTTCAGATAAAGCTCTTTATTCATGATTTCCTCTCAATAAAGTAATATGTTTTGGATATTTTATCTTCAAACAAAGCAAGTATTAGAAGGTTTCAACAGATTGATGCCTTTAAAATAAATGCATATTACCCTCGATTAACATAATCTCCATTAAATACATAGGTCTTTTCTGGTATTTACCCTCCATTTATAAATAGTTCCAGCAAATCGAAAAATTACCCACGAATATCTCCACATATTGTTACTGGAGCCTTTACTTAGACAATGTTTGGCTCCTCAGCTAGAATTTCCTTAGCCAATTCACAAACCATATGCGAGTCTCGCTCACTTAAGCATCTGATATTTCTTAAAATCTCCATGTATTTGTCTATGTCCATTTTAATTTAATTTCTCCTGTGTTTTTTCACTTTTAGTTATAATTATCATTTATAATAATTTGAAAATTAAATTACACATAATTATTTTGCACTTTTCCTATCCCAATTATGATAAAAAGGGAGGAATAGCACAGGGTCAACAAAAGATATTTGTCGAAAGTATATTGCATAGATACAAGCTTTGATTTTCTGATGAACTACCTCAAAAACCTTATAAAAATTATTAAAAATATGCTCATAAGTTACTTATAAGTTTATATTATTTAGATATCAATTATAGTCTCTTAAGCTTTTCTTCAATCGATGAGTCTAATTCCAAGTTTGTCAACACATTAAAATTACTCATATTCTACGGGATTACAGTGCAAAGATAGCAACTATCCATTGATGAATCAGTCTCATTCAAGTTTTCAGTAATTGGAGTTAATTAGTTAAGCTCAATAATACAATGTTGTGTAGTCTTGCAATATTTTTGCATGATGGAATTCAGAAGCTTAATCAAGTATGCATGATTGGGTTCGTCATGGAATAAATTGATCTATTGAAAGTAAAATCGAAATTCATAGGGAAGTCCTTGTAAAATTTCATTGGATTTTAAGCATTCTATTTTCTTTTGTCCCATCAACTATTGTGGTAATGATTCCCACGGTAAGGTTCCTTAAATTACGAGTAAAATCATACCTTTTATCATCTTAATTAGAAGATATCCCAAACTTTCTAAGTCATCCTTCTTAGAAGAAGATACGCGATTGTTGCGAATATGATATGGCAAAGAGTTTTTATTGATAAGTTTTTTTTGTTTTTCGTATTTTAAATAAGCTTATCCAAAACCAATTAAATGCAATTGTTGATCATGATCGGCTGCGTCCTTTGAAAAAACAACATTTTCCGGACAAATGTTGGCGTAAATAATTTCTTGTCTATGAATTCCACTTAGAATTCTGAGTAAAGACAATCCTATTGATAAGGCTGATTATAGGGTTAGGGTTCTGAATTTATGTAAAATATCAGCAAGGGATTTGGCATAGTAATCAATAGAATAGTAGAACCTCGAATATTGATAATTGATACTTTTCATCTGCACCAAATCCGTAGTTCAGTACTTTGGGCACTCCTTGCACAAATTTCAATAGCTCGAGTATTGTGTATTGGTTGTGGAGGTACTTTTTATTGCCAACCTCAACTTTTAACACAATAATTTTGTATTTATCTTTGAAATTGGAGATGTAAACTTTTTCGTTTTCGTTTTCGTATATTTCTTTAATAATGTTAAACATCTAAAATGTATCAACATTGCAAATCATTATTTTAAATAGAGAACTTTCTAAATATTTTATAAAATATATATGATTTATTCGATATATCTAGCTTGTAATAATTTACGAATTAGAATAATCACTCAGAAAATTCTAGTTCATAATAATCAATCGAGAAATTATCAATATAAACTTTTGAAAATAAATAACATTAGGATGATACTAATTTAAGGTTTTATAATATTAATTAGCGAGATTAATAAAATTCTTAAATTATAATACAAAAATTGAATAAAATATGGTGGTCAATCAAACGAGAGAGCAAAAATGTAGTGAGATCCAAAATTACTCAGTTTGTGGAAATTAAATGAATTCAAAGAATGTATTCTTAGGTATGTGGTTCCTCATTGTTATTAGTTGGGAAGATTGAATGATAATATTATTACATAATTACATTGGGATGAATGTATATATTTTTCAGAATTTATCAGCAGAAGTTCAGAAATTGAATAATTAATTAATTAAAATTTACTAAACAATGAATGACGAGAGATTGGATTGTATTAAGGTGTCTCAATAGGTTGCGGATAAATTGAAAAGTCAGGCATTAGATTTCAAAAAGCTTATGGACAATTTTCAAAAGAGATTTCAATAGGATCAAAGCAACGAATATTATATTATGAGCTTGAAGTATTTAAATTATATAATTCAGGTGGCTAAATCAATGGAAGGAGTATGTTTCATATGAGGAATTGCTGGCGAACAAGAACCCGAACAAACACTTTGGAAAACTCAATCTGGAGCATATAAACATAAATTTAGAGGATAAAGTAAATAAATGCTTCAAATATCACCCCATAAAAGATCACCCTTGGAATACATTCATGAAGGAAAATCTCTAAGAAAATGTAGACTATATTATAGTCGATAAGGAGATTTGGCAATTCTTTACAACATATTATCATGGCACTCCAATAATGAGAATGTCAAATGGATCAGGAACAGAGAAGACAGTCGCAGTCAATTTATTAAAAGTATTAGTTTATTATTATTGTTCGAGTTTAAAACTGCTTTGCTTTATCCAGCAGTAATCAAATAGATTGCATTAGATAAATTTTATAAATAAACTTTTGATCAAGAGTACTTACAAGTGGATAGAAGCATGAAATTGAAGGAATATTACAGTTTGTTATCAAGGACTGTTCTCACATTTTCAGGTAATTTCGCCAAAGCCAACAATGTCAGAATTTGGAGATATCAATCAGATTAGAAGGATGTTTTCAAAGCATTCTTTGCAGATATTCAGAAGCAAGTTGGAGAATTGGAAAATAATGATGAAATGAGTTTTGATTTCAATGGCGATTATATTCATTATTCAATATACGAAACTATTGAAGATGTAGGGATATTAGATAGTCATTTGATTATTATAGAAGTAACAATCGATGTAATCTAAATAGTTTAAAGATGAACTTAAACCTTGGTGTATTCGTAATAATGCAGTTTAAGTAGAAGGAAAGTGTGAGAATTGTTAAATGGTCAAAACACTTAATCATCCTTGTGTGTGTAGAAAAGTGTCCTATTGTTCATAAGAATGCAAAGCTAAGGATTACAACTATCACAGTATGAGATGTGAAAAGTTTGGATCAGACGATGACACTATCAGAGGTTTGAGTTAACAACCAAATTCTATTGCAGGATTGGCTGGTCTGAGTAATTTAGGAAATACTTGTTTTATGAATAGTGGCACTCAATGTATTTCAAATACTGTTCCATTAACAGAGTATTTTTTGAGTAATCAATATTTTGATGAAATTAATATGGACAACCCAATCGGAACAAAGGGTTAATTAGTAAAAAGAGTGGGAGCTCTATTAAAAAAGTTATGGTATGGTGAGAAATAAGTTGTAACACCAACTAATTATAAAAAAGCTGTGGGTTAGTTTTAACCTATGTTCAAAGGATATCATTAACATGATTCATCTGAATTGATCACTTTTGTTTTGGATGGCATTCATGAGGATTTGAATAGAGTAAAAAAGAAACCATATGTGGAAACCAAGGATAGTGATGGAAGAACAGATTTTGTTGTTGCCAAGGAAAGTTGGACAAATCATTTGGCCAGAAATCAATCTATTGTTGTCGACCTGATGTATGGATAATACAAATCTACTTTAAAATGTCCAAAATGTGAAAGGTTGTCTATTACATTTGATCCATACTTGATGGTGTAATTGGGAATTCCAAGTTAGAAGAAAAGAACGATCTCTTTTAAATTCTTTGATTCATTCTTCAATTCAACCTCTAAAATTATTCCATTTGATAAAAACAAAAATATATCATTGAAAGAATATTATCAAGTATTGAGTGAGGAATTGAAAGTTAAACCGTAAAACTTATTTGCGTATATTGCTAATTAATACACATCTTTCGAATTATTAAAGGAAACCAAATCTATTATTGAAATAAGGAAAAGCGCTAAAAGATAATAATTATGCTTTAGGGCACTAACAGATGGAGAAGTTTCGATATAAAATAAGTTTCTAGTTTAATTTTCTAATAAATATTTGGACTATTAAAAGATGCAGTATTTTTAGAGTGGATTCTTTATTTTTGATGGATCAATAACAAGAAAATAAATGCATCTCCAAATATTCTGTTACTTGCAACCATTATTTCCTGATTATTAAAATTTGAATTACGAGAAGAATGTATTCAATAAAGTAAATCTTTAAATTAATTATTCTCTTAGTATTACAGTCTCCTTTATAAATCAAATAGTAATTATTGGAACCCATGTTCTTATTGCTAATCCAAGAATTGCAATGATTGTGAAGTCAAATTTGATGATGAAGTTCTTGAGGAAACCAAAAGTAAGGTTACTGCTTCTGATACCCAAAGCAATTTCGAAGTCATTATTTTATGGAAAGAAAGTCCATTCAAATCTGTTAAACTTTCTGAGATTTTTAATCATTATCGCAATCATAGTAAAATTGAAGGTATTTTTCTATTTAAATGCAATAGTCGAAGAACCAGGATAATCAAAAACTCCATTCCAGAACCATGGTCATTCTAATCAACATTCTGGCAGTGTCACCTTAGCTGATTGTTTGCAATTCTCTCAATAACCAGAATAATTGAATTCAGAGAATACATGGTACTGTAAAGTTTGTCAAGAGCATGTCTAAGCTTTTAAAAGCATGCAAATTTATAAGGTTAATTTAATATCTATCATTATAGGCTCCATAAATATTGATATTCACTTTGAAACGATTTAAGGCTTCCAATCGAATGTTTAAATAAAAGCTTGATACTTTCGTCGACTTTCCTATCAATGGACTTGATATGACGGATTATTTAATCAACTCGAAGACTCCTCAAGAATATGAAAATGAAACTGAAGATGACAATGGAGAAAATAACAAATAAAGAGTCCTTTATGATTTATATGCTGTATCAAATCACTTTGGTGGCCTTGGAGGAGGTCATTACACAGCTTATGCTAAAAACAAGGTATTCATTTCTCAACATTCTGTAGCACACAAAAAAATGGTATAATTTTGACGACTCTCATGTTGCTGAAACAAGTGAATCTTAGGTGGTTACAAAAGCAGCATATGTCCTTTGCTATCAATTGAGAACTGATGAATCTACGAATGTTTAAGGGCAGCAAGCTCAAACCATTAAACAAAATGAGTAGTATGATAAATGATAAATTATTAAAGGTTTTTACACTAGTTTATTCTTCTTATATCATGAATTCTCCTTTTTATATTACATTATTCTTATGAAAATAAATTAAAAATAAAATGATTATTGAAAATGAAGATAGTGATTTGGAAATTATTTCAAAGTATTTTAAAAATGAGGCGGACGAATTCGAAGTTTATGAGGTACTCTTACATTGTAAATTAAAGGCAACAAGATTTCTTAGCTATCACCATAGACAAGATGAAATACTAGAATTAATATCTGATCATTATTCATAATACAAAGAAAAAATTGATACTCTCATGAAGTAAAATGTATGTTCTATTTCAAGCATAGAAGAGGATTCTATTCTTTTTGACATGACAATTGATTTATGGGTTAAATTTAAATAAAAGTCTTAATGTATCAAAGATGTGTTAAAATATTTGGACATAAAGACTCCTGTATAAAATTATATCACAAATATCCTATTAAAGTTAATCAAGTTGGAAGTAGAGAATAGATTATAGATGGTCACTCTATTGGAAATAAAAAGATATAGACAAGTCATTGTTACATTATCCAATCAATAAGCAATAGAAGATCCTCCTTTATAGCTTTTAGATTTGTTAATTTTGTTGCCAAATTATTAGTAATTTGAAAGAAGATTTTACGAATAGAGTCAAATTTACTACAAGGAGTTTATTTTAGATACTAATCCCTCATAATCAGTTTAGATCGCAAATATCATATTCTAGGCTGAGAAAAAGCTTTCCAGTAAATTTTAAAATGAGTTTCAATTAAGACTTAATGAATTACTTAAACAACTAATATTCAACCAAGTCAATATGACTGACTTAGATTCTTTATACTTTAATACTGAGATAATGCTCCATTATGTTCGATTTGCATAAGAAATAAATGCCCTTCCTAAATTACTATCCGCTCTGTATGCTTTATTATGATTTTTAGTCGAAAACACATTTATAAAGAAGTAATATGTATTTTATAACAACAACCAACATCAGCAATCGAGAATATGTTAAATTTAGAAAAGACTTGTCAAACTCTTTTCGAGCAATTACCAATGGAACATACTAATGCAACAATCATAACTCATGCTATTGAAGTAATTTATTGATTTATAATTAAGGATGCAGTAAATGAAAATTATGAAAAGTATTCTTTCACTCTTGCCTCCGTAATCAATCTTTAGAATCAGCATTCCATTAAGAAATATAAGCATTTGATAAAATATTTAACGGATAAAGAGAGCTTTCAAAATTATTATGTTAAATTTCTTATCAAAAGGATTTTGAAAGAATATAATCAAAATGAATTAGAATTATTGAATGAACTACAGCCTTATTGTAATTCTGAATGGATTTCTGAGAGCTTAGAATTCATTAAAAATTCAAAAGAGTCTCAAAATCTCACTAATCAATTTTTACAAAAGCTTCGTTAAAAGAAGAGCCCAATCTAATTTCATTTTCATTTGATTCCTAAATCAATTTGGCCTTATCAAATTGAGAATTTAATACTACCTTCACCACTGAATCAGTTTGCAGACAACTTCATTAAGAATTAATCTGAAGATCTATTATTCTAAAAAAAGAAGATAATATTTTAATCTAAATTGAGCAAACTGAATCTATTAGTCAAAATTGATCATTAATTTGAATTAGAGTTGCCATTGGCTTAAGGGTTGGAGTTGCTTAGATTTAATGCTTAAAAAAGTATTAATTAAATCAGCAACTATAAATAATATAATGGACTTATTATTCGATCAGAGAATAATACCTTTAAGATTAATTATCAATATAAACATGCCAATTAACTTATGATATTAAATGAAGAGATTTAAATAGAGATGGAAAAGAACCAATAAATCATCTCGGATTATTTGTATGTTGTTGATGCTGCAATTGTTAAGATCATTAAACAGAACAAAAAGATTAATTCAGAGAACTTGATACAAGCGACATTTGATTTAATAAAAAAGGAATACCCTAGATTTATTGATTTGTGTGAATATGATATTATAGAGAAATAGATTGTTAGCTTATTAGAAAAGGAGATGATTAAATAAAGATTTGATGATTTTGAATTATTATGATCAAATTCTTATTAATAATTTAGCATAATCACTTCGAAAACAATGATGTAGATCAAAAATAGAGTGCATATTTAAATATAATAATTTAATTATATTTTATAATAATGTAAGAGATCAAATAAGACAAGATAATGACGTAGAATTATAATATAGAAACTACTGTGGAATAAAACTATCTGAAAATATATCTAAATGAAGAAACCTTTTAATAACCCTCAATCGAGTATTTATTAAATTGTCTCAATATTTCAGTCAATAGGTATATTTAGCATTCCTATTTAAGAGTAGTCATCATTATTAAGTATCAAGCTTACTTTTAATTTATACAATAAAATTTAGTATTGGAAATGATAAGAAAGGCTCCCAAATTGCATTCTATATTTGTTTTGGGGGATGAGCAAATCGATGAATATAAAGATAAAAACATTTTTAGAATAGAATCAGTGAAAGAAATAGACAATATCTTGGAAGGTTTGGAGAAGAAGAACAGTTTTGAGAACGAAAGGCTCAACAAATATGGAGTACCAATAATTATATAAGAATTACTAAAATACTTCAAGAATAATATGCATCATGAGGGTCTATTTAGGAAATGCGCATTAAATAGCGAAATTTAATAATTTATGGAGGAAATAAAGAACTATGATTTTACAAGACTTCAGAATGCAAATCCTCATTTAGTGGCTTGTGTATTAAAATAGTATTTGGGTTAATTGGAAGTTCCTTTGATAAATACAGAATAAATCTTTTCCAAAGATTTGAATGCTATTGGTGTTATTAATGATTTATCAGAAATAAATGCCAGAGTATTTTTTATGATTATTTCATTTTTTCAAGAAGTAGCAAAGTTTGAGGAGCAAAATAAGATGAATGCTAAAACATTGGGCATGCTAATTGCACCTTCGATGGTGAAGTTCTCAGCTTAAAATGATAATCCTTTGGAAAAAATTAATAAGACTATTATGTTTCTGTAGAAGTATTTAGAAAATTTCCACAAATTTGTCCCCAACTTCCATTATGAGGATCTTTTGGAGAAGGAGGAGACAGAAGTTGGGGAAGGACTTGAAGATTGCAATTTGAAGGAGGAGTGGGCAAAAATGAATAAAGTAAAATAACATATAATATGAATGAAAATTATTAAGAGTAATTTTAATTATATTATTTCATGCCACCTAAAACTAGAAGGAATGAGCTTAGTTCAAATCAGCTCAAAGTAAATGATAATACATAAAACTAATAGGAAGAAGGGAACAAGGCTTTTCTGAATAGTGAATATGACAAAGCAATTGCTCTGTACACAAAAGCCATTTGTAAGAATTGTCTTAATAATTTTAGAGATTGAAGAAAACCCAATCTATTTCAATAATCGTTCCCAAGCATATTTTTATCTGGATGATTTAGAATTGGCCCTCCAAGACTGCAATAGGGCTTTATAGTTAAATCCAAATTATTTCAAGGCCTTATCAAATAAAGCCTAAATTCTTTATGAGATGGGATACATTCAAGTATTTCTTTGATCTAATGCAGGATGCTATTTAATGTTTAGAATCCTCAAACCATCATACATCAGAGATCGAGAAATTATTGAATCAATATAAATCATAAGCTCTCTAAGTAACACTCATTATACAATAAGTCTTCGATTGATTCAGGAGAGCTCGACAAATAGAAGAGACTTTTGGAATGGCTTAAGACTGGACAAGCCCTCTTCCCTAAAATAAAGATTGAAAGTTATGCAGAGGATTATAGAGGAGTCAACGCAAGGAAAGCGATAAGTTCAAAAGAAGTCATCCTTTTCGTTCCTAGATCCCATATGATAACTTTAGAAATGGCAAAAGAAACACCAGTAGCTAAAAAAATAATTCAATATAGACTTGATTTATTATCACCCAAACACTCATTCCTCTCTACTTTTTTATTGTAAGAGAAGAAAAAGTAGGATTCCTTTTGGAAACCCTACTTGGATGTACTTCCAAAATCATACTCTAATTTTCCAATCTTTTTCAATGACTGTGATTTGGAATGGCTGAAAGGATCTCCTTTTTTAAGTATTATACGTTTTTAACATTTTAGAATAAGTAAAAGATAAGATCACAGATCTAAAAAAGGATTATTGTGACATCTGTTAAGTAGCTCCAGAGTTCCTCTAACATTCATTTGATGAATTCTGTTGGGCCAGGATGACTGCAAGCAGCAGAATCTTTGGTATCAACATCAAAGGAGTTAAAACCGATGCCTTTGTCCCTTTGGCAGACATGCTTAATCACAAGCGTCCTAAATTGACATCTTGGTGTTATTCTGATGAGAGATAAGGATTTATCATTGAAACAGATGAAAATATAGAAAAAGGTTAAATGATCTTTGACAGTTATGGCAGCAAATGTAATTCTAGATTTCTACTCAATTATGGATTTGTTGTCGATGATAACAATGCCAATGAAGTAAATCTGATGGTTGAACCTGATGGAACTATTCCATTGATTCAATTGAAGGAAGGACTTTCACGAGAAACCTTTTAATTCCCAAAATCCTTTAGATTAGTCATCGATCCAAATGGTATAATGTATTTATATCACATAGATGTGAGTTTTTCTGATTTTATGAGTTTCATTAGATTTATTCTTATCAAAGAGGAATAAGAATGTGTAAATCTTCTTGGAAAAAATTCACATATAAAACCTACCAAAATCCACTTCATTGGCATCTAAAATGAATTAGCTATGTGGAATCTTATCGAAAACTTATGCATTCGTGCCCTTAATCAATATCCAACAACATTAGAAGTAAAATCCTTATGTTATTTTAAGTAAGACTTAGAAATACTCAAAATATGTGAACTGACAACCAATCAAAGGAATTGTCTCATATTAAGAATGGGTGAAAAAAAAATACTTAACTTTTATAAATAATTCAGTGAAAAAATGAGATAATTGTTTTCAAATTTTGATTTTTTTGTAAGCTAATTTATGTTTATAAATAGGAATTGAAAAAAATCCTATAAATTCAAGAAAACTACCATTACTTCAATTATTTAAACAGGATAAATAATTACCTTAAAAATCAAAACTGAAAATTATAATTATAAATAAATTTCAATTTAATGATAAAAAATACATTATACATCTATATATATAATTTGAAATCACAAATATTATTTCATAAACTCCTCAACTTCAGCTTTTAAATCATTTAAATTTGTATCAGTAGTCTTTGGAAACCCTATAGCAGTGCCATTTATTATCAAAACATTTTAATTTGGAAAATTTGAATATAGTGCTGGAATCTAATTTAAATTAGATATCGTGTATATGTTTAAACTGAATATATTATAATACATACTTCGTTTTTATGTCCTTCAAAATAGTAAGTAATGCATCTGTCATGGCATCATTCTAATAGTATAAAATGATTTGCTTTTTATCGTTTTAATTGCTATTTAGGAAATTAAAATAATCCAAATTGATCTCCTGAATCTTATCAAGATCCTGAGACAAGTAATCAATATTATGTATTCTCTCCTCAGAAGTTAGTTAGAGAAGATTGTTTAATTGTTAGTCAATTACCTCGAATCGTTCTACAAATTATATGTCTTTTAGGAAGTATTTTTCATAGAGTTTTGCTGTTTGTGGAAATAGCTATCTTGAATAAGATATAGAATTAAAAATATTAAAGAGAACAAACCTGCTTTAAAATTTGTTTAGGTGAGGCAACAATTCTTCTAATTGATTTGTTGCTGATATCACAAATTCTAATTTGTCCTTATACTTCTCATAAAGTTTGAAGAATAATGATATCCTGAAATGATTCTAATGAATATATTAATTTTTAATATACATCTAATCTATTTTGATGCTTAGGATCTAATTGTAGACTGACCACTAATTTATCATTTTAGTTTTTATGATTTTGGATTTTTCTAATAAATGCAGCTATATTACACTTTCTACTATTCTTCAAATAGAAGACTCTAGGTAAACTAAATTATTAAAGTTCAAAAGTAAATTGGCTTTTTAACTGTTTTTTATCAGTGACTGTATTTGATTCAAGTCTGCAATTCTATTATTTCCATTCATTAAATGATTCATATTTTAAATTGCCAATTTGTTCTTTATTTATCAATTGGGGTATTATTTAATTTCTTTCATTGATTATGCAGTTTGAATATTTTTGCAAGATGTCATTTCTAAACAACAGAATATCATCGTCTTTTAAATTCAAATCTTTGCATAATTCTTTATTGTCTATAATGAGGAATTTGGAGTTTTAATCAACTGTTTTCTTATCTAAAAACTAGAAGGATATTTTCTTAAATAATTTGAGTTTAGGATCTTGGCTATTAGACTTAATGAAAACAGGAGAGTCTAATTAATAATAGCTTTCTAAGATAATTGATTCGAACTATTCCTTTGTTGTAACAGTTTAGTACATATCAATAAATCTCGAAACACGTGTTCTATTGTGATTAATAGGTATTACAAAATTTTATCTATATTATTTTTTTGATAAAAGTTGTGTTTTTTAAAAGGAAAGTAAACATAATCATCTGAATGTGGAGTTTTAAAAAAAATATCAATTTTCTGATATTCATCCTCCTCATATATCTTGATATTTTTAACACTATTGACTAATTTAGTGATAGATTTCAAAGAGGGTCTAGAAACAGTGTAAACATGACCTATGTTAAATAAATGAAATACAATCAATTTATAGTTTATCTGCTATTTATTACAATTTCTTGGCCACTTCAATGGCTTCTTTTTCACCATATCCTCCATCGAGTTCGTCTTTGTAGATAACCAAGAAGAAATAATCTTTCCGATTCCCAAGGACATTTTGAACAAAGATTAATTAATTCATTTGTCGGACTGGAAAGTGATATGGAATTACGAATTACTTTCATTGGAACAATGAATAGGCCTATTCCGATAGGTATGGTAGATTAAATAAGGCAAGGCCAAACAACTGATCCTGGTAAACAATTTAGGTGCTGTCAAATTCCTGAGGAGTCTGAGTCGATTCATATAAATAATTAATAATTAAATAAAATGCAGAATTATGCACTTTTGGGAATCACTCTTATATTAGTGGTTGTGTATATGCTAATGACTACTATTGAAAAGACAACCTCATACTTCGGGAAAAGATCGTCACTTAATCAAATTGAAGACAAATACGAGTCACTAAGAAAATAGAGGAGAGAAATGCTTGTAAGTTAGTATGTTATTTCTTTAGTAACACTATTACTGGGCTTAATCAAATAATGAGAGAGATAAGGAGAAGAAACTTGAAACTTAAATCTTTAAGATTGATGATGAATTAGAAGAGTTGAGAAATGACTTTGAATCATTTAAAGCTGGCAAGAAAGTTCCTTTGAAGAAAATATGATTTAAATACATTCATAAATCAGACATCATCTCAAAGTTTTTTGTATTATTCAAAAAGTCTAATTATCTATTTATTACATAAAAAACATATATATACCTTAGTCTTATTGTAATGTCTGGCCATATCGATAGGAGTTATATTTTATTAGTCCATTATGTAAGGATCAGCTCCATTTTAGAGTAACCTAAACTTAAAGTTGATAATACCATTCCACAAAATCCTAGTTTCCCTTTAAAACTGCAACATGAAGTGGAGTAATTCCATCATAATTTTGGGAATTCACATCGTTTGCAGAGTACACAAAATGTGATTGTTTCATCATCATTATTCTGTTCTTTTGGACTGCTTCAAAAAGGTAATCTACTTTGATCTTGTTTTACTGTAAGGGCAATCTTAAACTTTAAAAAGTCTTAGGAGTTGGAGTTGAAGTTCCAGTGCTTAGATTGAAACTTCTCTTTTCACTGTTCTTTCGACTATTTTCATCGGTTCTGATATTCCCAAAGTTTATTTAGTCTTTAGCAATTGCTTTACATCTCTCTAATTATTTATTAAGATAAAAAAAAGACACTTATTGATCCTATCCCGTTTCAATTTGATGCACCATATTTTCGCAATTGTCTTTGAACAAATAGTAGATTTACTTTCTTCTTTCTTCAAGCTTTTGTCTGAGTTTCTTTTCCCTAAATAATGATCTCAATTTTCTTTAAATAACTATTGCAGCCCTTATTTCCTTTTAAGTAGGTTAATAATTGGGACTCTTCCAATGTTCTAATTCTGGTTAAGTAGGAGGACCTCCAGAATAAAACTTCTTGAAATTCTTCCTCTATCTCAAGGCAGGGTGACTCTTTAATCCAAGTTTAAATTTCTCCTATTCATATTTATTATATTAGGCAGATATGGGATTTATATAAGCTAATTCATTTTCTTCAGCTTCTAGCTTTTTGTCTATGAGTAACTTAGTAGAAGGATGAAAAAGATGCCTTTTTATGTTCTAGGTAAATTGTCCTCCAATGGTACTCTTGGGTCTAGCCATCGCCTTTAAATACTCTTGTCTCTTATTTTTGACTGAAGCTCCTCTAGGACTCTAAGTCTAAAGTTGTTTTTAACTTTTGAACTATTACTGAGAGGAATAATTGTATTAATTATCTTCCTCACTAAAATCTATGTATTATTTTCTTCTCTCTTTTTCAAGAACATAATCATTTAATTTATTGATGAATTGCTTTTCAGTAATCTTGCCCATCAAGTAATCTTTGAGTTGTGTTGCTCCTGGAATTTCACTCGGTATTTTTTCTTCAAATTTACCAGTTCTTTCCATGTGTTTCACAACTGTCTTGCAAACTTTAATGTATTTTCTATTTAACTCCATATTATAGGCATCTATTGATTATTTCAATAAGAGTTATTCTCTTTTGACTAGTTTCTCCTTCGTCTTTTAGATCTTAACCCTAATGTACTATAATCTAGCCTTCATGGTTGCTGTTTTCATTTCCTCATAGTCGTTTAATATTTATTCTGCTAAGGATAATTCCATATTAAAAAGGAGATCAGGATTAACCTAATTTGCAGCTCTCTAAAAGAAATCTCGATCGAGACAAGCATTTAATAATTCACTTGTGTTAGCTAGAAATTGAAGTTCTTAAGCCGTTAGAAATTCACCATCTGTGTATTTGTTAAGGATGTGTTCTCTTTATTACTTCTTCTTTTCATTCAAGGTCATTTATTGCAAAATGGGCAGAAATCCTAAATCATTCCAATTCGAACACGCAATTTCATTCCTATATAGACTAATACAAATACGTAAATAGTTATTTTGTTTGGCTTCTTTATTTTGTAAAGATTTATTCTTGTTGATTATCCCAGGCAACTTCATATAGTGAGTGTTTAGTGCTGTCTTGCTTGTTGGTTTCATCATTCTGCTAATTTGAGTGTTTATTCTATTTTTCTTTGATTTATTTCAATCTATCTTACCCCAAGGATTTTAGGAAGTGAAACTCATTGGAATGACCATACTTCTCCATGTTTTCAAAGATATTTCGAGTAGTAATGACTTATACGTTTTTGAGCATGAGAGGCTGGTTCTAAGACTTAAGGGCTAATTATTGATTCTCGTAATCATTCAATTTATCAACTACTATTTATCGTAACTTATTTTTCAATTGTTCATATTTTGTTTTTAATTACAACCATTTGAAATGTCTCTTAGTTTAATTATTTAATTTCTCCTTCTTCATTTATAAATCAACTTCCTTGCATTTCTATTCTTTTAGAAATATCTTGTCTGACCAATTTTTGAGTAATGTATCAATGGTGCTGTTCATTTGGTGCTTGATGTATTCGCTTGCTTAATTAGGATTAATTACTGTCTCTCTTGCGAAGTCTTTAGCTGGTTTAAGTTGGTAGGATTAATGTCAAATGCCTTCAAAATGCTAAAAGAGAGTAAGGAGAAATAAGAACCTTTAACTCATTCTATTTAGTGGTTAACTCTAATGTTGCAAGAGATTAGTCATCTATAATCCTTGGACTGCCGTTTGTATGAGGATCGTTCCAAATAGAGATGTGGGACTGCTGACTTCAGGATCGCTATTGTCTTCGAATTGTTTGAATTTTTGATCGATTTCTTTATAATTATCATATTCGTATTTTGGATGGGGTGTCTTGATCTTGTTGATTCTTTCCCAAGTCTTAATTGATTTATATTTCTGCATTTTAATAATAATTCAATAAAATTAACACTCAAAAACTAAATGCTACTAAGACCAATGTATAGCAATAATATTATAAATTTAATCAATATATTATTCACAAGTTCAATTAGATGATATTAATTAATTAATAAATCAATTAGAAATGGATATCACTTTGACTTTCAAAGATCCTCAGGAAGAAATTAATTATGGACTTTACTCCCACAAGATAGATTTTAATTTATTTAGAAGACTTCTCTACAGCATGTTGCTAGGGTCTTTTTCAGGGTCTGTCTATTTTCTCATAATTGGGAACTATTTATATATTACTTTGGGTAGCTACATGTTCATTTAGACAATTATAGCAATTTTGCTTTCCAAAAAATCCATATAATATCTCAATATAGTTGCTCTGGTGTATCAGATCGAAATTTAAACACTGTTAGCTACCCTAATCACCTTATTGGACAACTCTCTGCAAAGAGGCACCATTATGATAATCACCACTGCTGCATTTCAAATGTCAGTGTGGTAAATTTGATATATAAAACTCTCTAGCTTATCCATAGGTACGAAGTGCACTTTGAAGCTTCTAGTGAGCCTTTATTCAACCATGATTTAATTAGTACTTAGTTTACTTATTGAAACTGTAAGTCTCGTTTGGATCGGATTCGCATTCTTCTCCCTTTTGTTTGCCTTTCAAGTGACATATTACCAAGAATTCGAAAAGAGATAAAAGTATACTCTTCACTAAAATGCCCAAAAAATAAAAGAGAATTTATTGAATCAAATTGAAATTCCCATTCTTAAATGTTTCAGTAATGAAAACGATCTCAAATTGATTTATTAGGAATCTAATAAATGTGCTTAGAATACACTTAGAATTACTGATCAAAACAGTTTTATCAAATTCACAAGAGAAGTCATCATTTTAGAAGGCAAAACCACTTCTATATTAACAAAATAATCTTCTACTCTGTAGTTTTCAGGTAAATAGAACCTTGAATAATTGATCCACAGATTTTTTAAAAAACAAGTCGGAGAAGATTCCATACTTCATAAAACCTTTTAGGCTTATAGATGCAGAGTGAAGCACTTATCCTAAGAGTATTTGTGTCAACTTATTTTGCTACATGAAGATCAACCGTTGTGCGTAATATATCTTTAAAAAACTTACGATGATTTTATCATAAAAACCAATGAGAAAATGGTTGTATTAAATCAATTATTAAAAAGATGTGTCAAAGAAAATTTTGAGAAAATCAGTACTCAATAAGAATGTATATCTTTGTTATATAGAAATTTGAAGTAAAACAATTTGACCGAAATCATAAATAAATTAGCTCAAGAACTCTTCTCACTCAATATCTTCTTTGCCAATTGCAAAATCTTGTTTAATTCTTAACATTTACACTTTACAACCAAAAAGCAACACAATCTAATAGGGCTTGTTCAATAGATTGTATTCCATTTCAAACACTCCTTACAATTTAAATCTATTTAAGTATCCTTAAAATCAAAATCTGATATTATGGTGGAAGAAAATGACATTCTTATTAGACAATTGTTTTACAACATCATAGAGAATGCCATTCAATTTGCTAAAGACAAGATTAAGATTGAAATCAACTCAAATTACGACACCAACATTAACTATTAAATTATTGAAATTACATTTTCCAATACCATAGAGTTAAACCTCCAAAAAAATAATAGTGAAAGTAGGTAATTAAGAATGGGGCATTTGGTTGTAAATAAGATTCTAAAATTAATAAGCCCCTATTCTTAATTATAAATCTATTAAGATGAAAGTAATTATAGTGTAAAGTTTTATTTGTTTCACCAATTTTGATTTTTGTTAAATACAAAACTTTATATATAAAAAATTTAACATAAATTTTAATTTAAATTAATAACTGATTCAATCATGATGAAAAGAAATAGTTAAAGTCGAGTACCCAAAATTGAAATTTAGACAGAATTATTGTCTATTAAATTAATCTAGCATAATCCAAACATTACTTTTGACAAGTATGATTGGTGTCAAAAGTTTTCGGAAATTATACATGCTGATAAATTGAAATCTCATATTGCTATTTCCAATGACAAAGTATCAATTATAAAAGGCAAAAATATATATTCTTGGGGAGTTATGGATAAATCCTTCACTTTTAAATAAGAAAAATCAGATATCCTAGATACAATCACAATAGATTCAAGATGTTTCATTTTAGACAAGGACAAAAAGGTTTATAAATCGAATGATAAACAAATACTTTTTAACAATGTCAAAGCAATTAGAAACTTTTAAAATGCCTTGATACTTCTTACAACCGATAATCAATTGTTGGATGAGAAATAAAATAAACTCAAATAAAATATAGAAGATGTTTAAAGTAGTAATGAATTCTTGGGAATTCAAACAAAAAATAATATTACTATAGCTGGTAAGTTCCCTTTTTAATAAATCTTTGAAGTAAAGGCAATCAAAATTTCTTGTGGTTTATAACATGTTATGTGTATCTCACAAGAAGGCTAACTATACATTTGGGGAGAAGGTAAGTCTGGCTAAATTGGCAATGGATCATTGAAGTAGTAATAATGGCCATAGCTTGTTATGACCAATGTTTAAGACATAGCTGCTGGCACTGAATCTTCCACTTTATTAAAAGGTAACAGAATTTACTATTGCGGAACCAACGAATAAATTAACAAATAACATACATTCGTCCCTTATTAATCGGACAATATTTTTATCAGGATTTACTCATGTTGGAGTCAGGTTATGGATGTACAATATGCACATTATGTTGATTTTGATCAAGAACTCTATGAAGAATTGAATAAAATAGTTAAGCAAATAGAGGATGATGATTTATTATTGCCAGACGAAAACCTTACACGATAAACAAAAGCTATGAGCACTCATGAATCCTAAATGATGAAGAAGCCACTTCCACCTCAAATATTTGGATAGTAAACAAAAACATCTACTAACTCAAGTATAATAAAAAGCAAAAGTAAGACACCTTAAAAAAAATTGAAATTTTAATTAGATTGAAATAATTAATATATGTTTTCCATTTATTTATTAATAGATCACATCATTGATTTAAAAATTTTGGATAATAATTTAATTTTCCAATTGATTTTGATTTCAGGATCATTGAGTATTTCTTCCTTTGTTATTTTTTCAGCATAGTTGAACAATTAATTTTATTCTTTTTTTAAATCTTATTTATACATTGGACATTAAGTGAAAATATAAGCTTAAATTTCATTATCTCTTTTTTCTGATCTTTCAGCATAATTTGAACTGCCAATAATTGTCATTGTGGAACCATCCTAAAGTTCAGCCCAAAATCCCTTAGTATGAAATGTCCAACCATTTCTTTTGTATTCAAAAATTGGTTTATCTATAGCCAATTCAAAATTACGATATAATAATGGAATAAATGACTTTGCCTTTCCAGCCTTATGGAATCCATTTGCTCCTGGACTGGCAGTTACAAACTTAATATCAGTCTTGCAATTATTCACAAAATTAATAATAGTCTTAGTAAAATTCATATATCCAGATGCCCAAGTCACCTCTTACTATAATATAATTTCATACATGTAAATTAATCTAGATGTTCTAAAATCCTCATAAAAACTAACTTATCTTCATCAGTTTATAAGTATGGAATGTGTAGAGTAATTAGAACAGTGCATTCCTCTCCCTCATCTAATTCTCTTTCTTCATCTTTATAAAGTGCCTTCTCTAATCTGTTAATAATGTTTTGAACATCTCCCTTGTTGAAACTCTTATTTAATCTTCACTATGATTATAACTTTATTTACATTAATTTTGCTTATTCTTTTCTTTCTTGTATCTTTTGTTCTACTACTAAATCTCTTTCATAAAATTGTAACATCTCTTCCTATGATAATTCCTCTTCTTATTCTTATTCTTATTATGTATCATTATTTTCTTCCTCCTGCTTTTATGCTTTATCTTATTACTATTCTTAATATTCTTCATCATCGCTTTTGATTTCAGCAGCTTCTTTGTAACTAAATTTGAAGATCTTCCAAGTTTGATGGAATTCTTTAAAATATTATTATCTTTTAAAAGGTTGAGCTCTCAAAGGATCAAATTTGGAATTAGAATCAAAGTCAACATAATACGCATGTTATAGCAATGCAGATTAAGCATCATCTAAATAATCTGCTATCTCATTAGCTTCATGAAATACCATGTATCTATCTTATCTATTAATAAAGTATTGTTCCTATAAATTAGCTATTCATTTAATTATAAATTACCTCCGGTCAAAATTACTCGATTATCAAAGATATACCACTTCATATGGTGAACATTGAAAATCTCTCTTGCTGCAGATTCTTCAAACATATTAGCAATTTGAGGGAGGAAAGGATGTCTCATTAATCCAAGTTTCATATTGTTTGCATATAAATTTTGCATTCTCAAATGAAGATAATGATCTATTGGTGTAGTGTGATTTTTCTTATCTCTTCGTGTCCCTCTATAATAGTCCATTAATAATGAAATCCTTAACTACTCAAATCTTCTTTATTGATTCGACAAACTCTCTATTAAAAACTCTTCCATATTTCCATTTCCAATATACAAAGTACTCCATACTATTCTCTTCTAAGCGCTTTTTATTCCCTTGTGTAAATTCACATAAAAGTCTACAGGATCTTTAAGTATTTCAATCTATGCTGTGTTTAACTTAAAAAATGGCTTATGAAACTTTAAATTATTTAACAATTAATTCATTAATTATTATTATTTTTATTCTAACATTGTTCATTCTTTAAATAATATTAGCTTCAACACAAATTAAAAATCTGCTTAGATGCCCCAAACAAAAATATTTCAATTTTGTTTAAATTGTCTCCAATATTGTAAAAATACAAAGTTTATTATAAGCTATAATTGATGGAGGGGTTTGTTAATAATAAGTTAATCTTGAATACTTTCAAATATCATATCTTTTTAACATTAAAATTCTTAAAGATTATTAAGCTCAGAATTGATCCATAAATTTATATTAAATTAATTTAACTGAGTACAAGCATGGATAACATTGATGCAAGAAAGTACTTCAAGACGGGAAACAGGAAATCTTAATAAGGATGTCGTGAAGACATTGTGATGAGAACTGAATCCTAAGAAGAAGATTTAAAAGATCTTGAATGCTAACTTCAAAAGAAAATGTGCCTGAATGAAAATGAATGTTTTTTCATTGAAGAAATCCTTTACACGGATCCATATGAACCAGAAGCTTTACTTGATGAGAATATCTGTATTAATCAAGATGTCACTTTCAACCCTCAATTTTATTTAAACAATGAGAATTCAATTATAGGATGATATATTTAATTAAAATCAATGAATTAATCTCACCCATCGAAAAAAAATTTATACTTCCAATAGCTATGAAGTTAGTTCCATTCAAAATAATCTTTTTTATTAGCATGATTTAAATAATCCATTTTTTTCTATCATGTGAAAGAATTTTATGATTATAAAATATTAGTTACAAAACAAAAGAAACTTAAACATTTTGTTAGAATTCGAATTTTTGATATTCTCAAATGTAATACAATTTAAATTTTCAAATGTTTGAAAGAAAGTTATTTAATTATTTTTAAGAAGAACTTTATCAATTGCAATCACCAACATTCCCAATCAAGAGATATTCTACCATCCTTAGCTTTTTTGGGTTTTCATTAAATTTCGATGACATATTTCATTATCAAATTCAATTAAAAAATATTTATATTTCTTAGTCTAAAAATTATGAATTCTATTTTTAATTGATAATGACGAGCTTATAAAAATAATCTTTAGAACCAAAAATATAATTGTCAGAAATAATGGAATGAAAATTCATCAATCTAAAATATTGCTAAAATATTTACAATTTTTTCATTGGCTAAAATGATTGAAGTGATAAAAAATATTAATAAGTAAAATCCATTGTATCCTATACTTCTTGAGAATACTTAGATTAGAATTAATCCTCTTACTTTTAGTATGAAAATTCTTGTAATACTGAAATAAATGAATGCATGCTAAGGATTACTAATAATTAATATCGGAAATATTTAGTAAAAGTATGATGAATGTATCTGAATTTACTATCCTTATTAAATTTTAACTTCATCAAACATTATCATTAATAAATATAAATCATCTTTTCAAAAACAACCCTTAATAAGCGAAAATAACTGTTTTTACAAGCTTACTATTGTAAACACCATTCATTTTAATTTACATCACGCTGTTTGCACATGATATCTTTATTTCATATTCCTCATCATTATATTGTGTTTAAGCCAATACGCTAATTTCTGTGTCAGACTAGTTTATAACTTCGAATTCAGATAATCAATTAGAAATGAAATTCTGAAATCCTGTTTAAAATTGTTTACATTAATGAAAAAAGGATTAAGGTACTCTTGGAGTAAAGAATTCTAATAGAATATAATTGACATTCAAGCAATTTTAATTTCTATTGTATGAATAACATTCCTTTTAATTAAAATAGCTAAATTCTTCGAGAAAATTATTATTTAATGAATTTAAAGATTCTTTATTTAGAGTTAACTTTTCTAGATTTGTCAACTTAACTTTTTAGTTTTCGTAAATTGAATAGAAGCAAATATCTATAGATTATTTTTACTGGATAGTCTTCATTAACTTAATTTATTATCAATAATTAATATGGATAACATTCTCCTTTCATTTAGGGAAAGTCAAGATGTTAAAATAACTCAAATTAATTTATTCAATGAATTGAACGTCAAAATTTTCGTTGATTTACTTCCCTTCTAACTATTTAGATTCATGCTCAAGAAAAATATTGGCTAATTCAGCCTATTTATGTTTTTTGATAATATGTTTTTTGACTATGGTCTAAATTAATTCAGCATAAGACGAGTATTAAGCCTGATGTTATTCCTCAAGATGAGAGTCTAAATATCTACAGATTTCTTTTGTGCTGGATTGAGCATTCTAACTTAAAATGCCTTTAATTGTATCATCATAGACAAAGGAGGAATATTGGAGGCAAATTTGTATGAGCTTAATTATGATCAAAATATTGAATTTCAGGAATTGTATACCTAAGTTGAATAATAATTTATATATATGCAACACAATAAAGACTAATCCTAATGCATTCTGATGTTATTCTCAAAATTGAATACCTATTGTTTGCAACTCCTTTTTACCTTAACTACTTCAGTACTCTACATAACTTAGTAGGGTTTTTGATTTCCTAAAAATTATAGTTTGCCTCTCCTAAAGTCTTTTGATTCCACTTAAAATAGAGCGATCTATTCCAGTTTTAGCAGGACTATTTTTTACATCAAATCAATGTAATCCTCGTTAAATGTTTCAGCTAATTCTTTATTGAACTAACATAGAGATCAATTAGAAGTAATACCTTGAGTGTTGACAGTAGCAAAATATAAGATTCTTCATTTCAATTAGGAAACTAGCTAGACACTATAGAACTAGTTTACTATAGAATCTTTTTCACTAAAAAATTTTACTTATCACCAAAAAGTACTCGTAGTTTGATTTCTCTAACATAAGGATAAGTTCCATAGGAGTTTAAGTAAGATCTTAATTAAGTTTTTAATTCCATTAAATAAAATATGAATGACGAAAATTTGCCACTTATAGACAAATAAGAAGAAACTCAAGGTTACATTGAGTTGCTCTAATTACATAAATCATTTATCGATGCTGATCTACCGTAATCAGCAATAAGAAGCAAATTCATAAGCAATCCTTTCATGGTTCCTATAATTTTTTTGATTCTTATTTCCTTAATGATGATAGCAATGCAACTGACTGGCTATTTCGATACAACAATTATATTTGACTGATACAAATGAGTAATTTCTTTATCATGTATATACGAATAAGAATTATCAAATATAAGCAAAAATTTTTTATCATATTTGTAATTTATTTACTGAAATGAATTCCATAATAAAATAATTTTACCTATTTATTTCAAATATCAAAGTAATTCTAGAAATTCATAGTTGTATAATTCTACCTTTTTCTACTTTATAGTTATTAACTATTGGTTTTGTTTTTAAATATAACAACCTTACTAAAAAATACAATTAAACAGATATATTATAAGAAGTGAAAGAATATACGATTTTGATTTGGCAGTAAATTTTTCAATTATTATATAATTAATTTTATTTCTATATCATATGATTTTTCAAAGGAAAAACAACCTATAATATTTTAGTTCCTTCTTGCAACTATCATAAACTACTAAAATATCGCCTTTAGGTGATATTGCACCTAATGTACAATCTAAACTACATTCAATGTATTATTCATAATAATTAAAGCTTAATTCGCGCTACGCTTAAAAGAGCTAAGCAATGTTTTGAGATCCTTCTCTGCTTGGTAATTACGATTTACATTTCAAAAAATAAATTCTATTTCCACATTTAATTACCATTATCTGCTTATCTTTATGGTATAATAATGGAAATTTATCATTATCATATCTTTCTATACTGTTATCATTCTATTTTTCATTTAATTAAACTTTTCTTATATTCTCCGGCTTAAAGTTCAATGCAACATCTTTATTATTTAGTACCGATGTATCAAGATTTATTAAAATATTCACATAATTTTGTTAAAACAATTGCCAGACTATACAATCAGATCCATAATAGGCAACTCTTGATCCAAAAGCATTTCTTTTATACTTGAGGATGAAATGCCATTAAAAATCATTGGTATTTCTTTCCCAAATGTAAAAATTATTCTCATAACCTGAAGCAATCAGTCTCTATTTTTATTTTTAATCATTTTCTTTTATTTCACTTAAGGATAGCCAAAAAACTCCTTCCTGAGAGCCATGCTTTAACACGCCATCATTTTAAAATGGAAAATAATTTATTTCGAAAGTATTTTCATTACCTTCTCTGAAATTTACTTTAAATTATTTAATTAGACCATCATAACCACCTGTTAATAAAACTAATTCCTCCTACCATTATACTTATAAAATACAACTTATTTGACCTTAATGAAGCTCAACATGAGGTACTTGGTTTTCATTTTATTCTTAGTTAAGTGACATACCGCATAAAAATTTTCCTTACTTAGTCCCAAAAAAGAATGGGTATTTTTCATTTTTTTTTTCCTTTTTTGTATTTGGAAAATGAATAGCTGTGATTGTGTCATCTTTTAAGCTTTCATAAGTGTATGTTTTTGTGGCATTCTATGAGTTCAATTAAGAACCTTGATTAAATGCAACATCATAGAATTGAATCTTATTTTCTCCTGCAACAACAAGTTGACTACTTTTGGTTGGATCTGTATTGAATGTTAAAGCTGTGACGCTAAACTCTAAATTATTAATCACTTATTAGCCAGGCTGAGACTTGCATAGATATTTACTTATACTTTTCCTTGACTATCATCCTTTTATGATTTCAAATAAGCAAAAATTTCTGTTAATTACATCTGAAGGCTGGATTAGCTTACTTAATTTTAGTTTGACATAAATTTTTATTTTTAATAATAAAAAAATAAATACTATTTTAGAAGATGATGAAGTATAATCTCTTAATAAGGATTCATACTTATAGATATTAGTTTTATGAATTAATCTTGTAAGAAAAGTATTTTGGATGTTCATCTTCTCAAATGTAATTCAACAGTATCTTACAAAGGAAGATACTAAGATATCTTTTATGTTAAATATTCTCGTTAAATCAAACTGTTTTATTGATTCATATAGGATAAAATCTAATAATTAATATAATTTCAATGGGTAATCTGTTATGCTCAAAATCAAATCCTAATCATAAATAAGACCCTTAAATTATTAATCAGGTGCCTTTAAGTTCTATATCATATAATTTATTGTTTGAAGTAGAATAAAAGGATGATTGCTCAGCTCTAGCCTTTAACAAGTAAGGAACACTTTTAGCTACAGCATGTTAATCAGATATAAAAATTTGGAAGGTGGATGAAGGAAAATTAATCGACTAACACATAATTCTGAAAGGACATGCAAATCAAGTAAGATGTTTGGTGTTTAGTAATAAATAAAACTGGTTAATATCAGGAGGAAATGATTAATAAATTATATGTTGGAAAGAACATGAACAGGATAATAACTCAAATAATTGGATATGCTCATAGCCTTTTAAAAAGCATATAAATTACGTTTACAACTTGATTTTGAATTAAAATGAGGATGAACTAATCTCTTGTGGAGCTGATCATTCAATAAAAGTTTGGAAGGCAAATGCGTCTGAGAACTCTATACAGCTTCTTTATTCGCTAGACTAACATTAGCATTATGTCTATCAAATCAGTTTGAATTCAAGCGAGACCTAATTAGTTTCTTGCAGTATGGATACAGATATAATTATTTGGGAAAAAAGTGATCAAAATTAACACTGGAAATTTAGTACCAAAATAGAAAAATCAATTAAAGACCATGGTCATAGAGTAGGATTTCTTGCTGATAATCTTATAGCTTGGACATAATATGAGAAAGGTGAGTTACATATTTTTAAATAACAAAATGGAAAATTTGTACAAATACCTTAAATGAAGATCCCTCTGAAATCACAAAATACTCAGGATATTTATATTCTGTTTCCTTTAATATTTAATACACAAAAAAAGGTTATGATTGTACGTCATAACAGATATGTTTCTCTTTTTGAATTAGGTTCAAATGAGCAGTTTAGTATAATTGGAGAACCAATTGATTGTTAAACAGGTGATAATTATGGAACTTTATCTAAAGATGGAAAACATTTGGTGATTTGGAACGATGTCACTAAGTAGTTGAAAGTTTATTAAATATAATATCCTTGATAAGATAATAATTTAATTAATATAAAATTATCTGTTAATTAATTATACAATAAAAAAATTAATTATGATCATTGAGTAAAGGAATAAAAGCAAGATGTATGTTGTTTTGTAATACATGCACATGTGGATTCATGGACTTTCAAAAGGGAAAAGAGATATAAAATTAATGGTTATAATATTTAATAATGAAAGAATAAATTAAATGAAGTATTATTATATATTAATATGCATTATGCTGAGGCATATTTTTAAATAAAATGGGGATCAGTTTTAATATTATTTTTGAATTTATCAAATAAAAAATAATGTCTAATCATCCACAAGCTGCATAATAACCACAATAAGCTCCAGGTCCAGTTCCTTAGGCATAATAGAGACCTGCTGCCCCAGTTTATCCAAATGCTTATTTACCCCCTAATTATTATCCAGCTTCTCCAATTAGATAATCTTATGTGGCTCCAGTTGCTCCTGTAGCTCCCATTCAATATGCACCAGTGGCCTAAGTGCCTGTTGCACCAATAGCTTCTGTTCCTGTTTAACAATTAGCACCTGTCTAAGTTCAACCGGTAGCAGTTGCCCCTGTAGCTCAAGTAAATTTGAATTAAATTTTAGCACCAAACCATAAAAGGTGAATCAAGAATTGAATATATTCCATATCAAAAAGCTGTTGTTGAATATGAGGAATAAGAAATTGTGTCTTATGTTCCAAGGGAAACAAAAGTCACAGATTACTATGCTGTTGAATATTAAACAGAATATATCCCTTAAGTGTTCTAAGAGAAATACACAGGTATTAAAAGAGTAAATATAATTCAGAGTACGTCCCAGTTGATAGATATCAAGAGAGAGTGGAATACTATCCAGTTGAAAGATAAGTGGTTCATTAATAGCCAACCCAATATGTTTAATAAGCTGTTTCAGTTGTCCAATAGCCAGTCATTCAATAATCCGTTCAATATGTTCAACAACCAGTCCAATATGTTCAACAACCAGTCTAATATGTTTAACAACCAGTCTAATATGCTTAATAACCAGTCTAATATGCTTAATAACCATTGATTGCATCTAGAGTTGTTCCTTAATTTGTATAACCATAATATGCTGCAGCTCCTGTGGCTAGACCATCATAACCATAATAATAATAATCACATTAACCATAACAAGTGCCATCTTAATAGCCAAGATCTTAAGCAACCCAATAATAGGCATAATAATAACAATGAAATAAAATTATATATATACAGATATATATATAAGATATATAAATTTAAATTGAAAAGACTCATTGCTCTAATTCTTAGCTAGCTAGATTAGTAGATGGTGTTTGTTAGTATTTAGAATTTCTTTCATATAAGGATAGCTATGAAATAGGGATGTCAACGCTTGAATTGTATTTGAATTTCTTCCGCATTATTTTTTTCAATTAATGTTGATGAAATGACTTCTATAATACATTATTTAATTTCTTGTAGCTTGGAGTATGACAAATCTTTGGTGAGTAACACATTTCCGTAAACAAAATAATATCTTCACATTTCTTTTGGTTATCCTGATACTTCGAGCAATAAATTGATTTCTTTTTCTCTAATATGTCCTTGATGTCCAATTAACAAGATGAATTCCTATAAGATTATTATTGACTTCTAACTGACAAAGGGTTGACTTTGATTTTAATGGTTTACTTTGGTGAAGTTTTGGGACTCTAGATATCTGCAATTTTGTCGATTGTTTCTTCAGGGAAGGAAACACGGAACAATTTTTTTCTTTGATACTCTTTTTTTATTTATTATTTGCATTCTTCTGGGAATTTTTGGAAGAATTCATTTTTATTCATAATCATAAGAGTGGCTTAATTTGATATCACTCTAGCACTGTATTCACAGGCACTATCTTGATTCACAACAATCTCTTCAGCAACAAACTATCCTTTAGTCAAAATACAGATCTTAATATTTTTACTCCCAATATATTTTTCTAATAAAATATCACCAGAAGCAATCAAATAAAACACCTTCTATTACATTCCTTCAACAGCCAAAATTGCGTTGTGTTAGAATGATTCAACCTACATATACTAATATAGATACATCAAAACTATAGGCTAATGAATTAGATAGAGCAGTAGAATAGGCATCTTTAACTTCAAATTTAGTGTAGATCAAATTCTTTTTCTCCTTAATAGATTGAATAAATTATTGCTTAACAATATCGAAATCTTCTTTTTTCAGGATTAATAAAAAACAATCTTGAGATACTGCACAAGCTGTGAGTCCTCTTGGAGTGCCTTCAATTATGGCCACTTCTCCAAAACCATCTCCTTAACCTAAAATTCGAACAGTATCTCCGTATTTTTCATTTAAAATGGACATTTCCTATTAAGAGATTAATTGATCCTCTTTGGTAGTGTATTGTGTCAAAGTGCTCATTAATTTATTGGCGAATCTTTTTGAATTTGCTAAACTCTTCATAAAGTTAGGTTTTGAAATTGGTTGTTTATTAAGTTCTTTGAGATTGCTGGAAACTTTCTCTAGAAGTTGTTGCATAGGTTAAGCTGGTTAGACGTGTTGTGGCGTCTGTTATTGGAAGGTATCAAATTTCTTTGCTCTAAATAGACCAACAGAACCTCTGAATATAATATAAAGTTTATCATTTGATTTATCCCCTTCTTAAAATAACAGTGACGCTCCTTTGTGATGCTCCATCTTGAATCTGCCACACAACTTAGTATTATTAAGAATAAAGAGATACGTTGAGTAGACTTTCTTTTTGGGTGCCTTTCAGAAATCTTTCGATAAAATAGTTAAAGAATTTAAGTTCTTATAGCTTCATCAGGATGGCTTGGAGATTGCTCTCTTATTTTGGATTGGTATTTAACAATTTGGTTAAAACTAAACTCTAGAATCATAGTGAGTAGATTTTACCTCATTCATTGTTTTAATTTTAATTTACTTGAATGAGTGAATAATTGGATTTGCTTCTCTTTCCAGTTGAAATTGTGGTGTTTTGTGCTTTGGCTTTTGGAATATTCAAGTTAAAGAAGAAATTCCCAAATTTGTTGTTTCCTTGCCATGGCGTCACAATATTTCTACCTCCTGATGGCGAAGATCTTAAAGAAAGCAAAGATAAGAAAAGTAAGACCTTGGTTCAAATTAAAACAATGCCAAGCCAAGCCTAACACTTTTAATAAGTGCCCTTTGCTAATGACCTTGAAATTACGATGTTGTTTATCTACATGCTATTCGCACAATTTGTTATAGTGGAGATGTTGAAAATTATTGGTTCAGCTTTGGGATATTATGTAATTGACAGTGGAATGCTCTTTTATTTTGATGGCATCATTGTCTTAATGATAATAAGTAATCGTATTTAATATGGATAGGGAATATTTACAAAGCTGCCACTATTGGAGGCTATGATTCCTAACAAACCAAGATGTCCATTGTAATTTGTATTATCTCAATTGTTATTACTATCTTTATAAATTTGGGATTCAAAGATTTCTTAAACATTAACATGAGACACGAATTTTAAAGATAAGCCGTTCATCTTGAAATTGTACTTAGAACTTTTATTTAACCCGGAGTCTGGTCATTTATGGGATAATTTGGAGACTTATTCGTAATTGTGTTGGCTCTGATGGTTTCGATCATAATATTTTGCATCTTGCCAATTTTAATCAGATTTGGAAATTGTTTCACAGAATTGAAGAATAGCATATCAACAGATAAATCATAATAGAAATTCTTTTATTTGATAGCTGGATAATTAATAGCACACATCATTTATATAGCTTTGTACATTAAACCTTTAATTCAAAATTTGGATTATGTCTTTCATTTCCAATTTTTGGCCATCATGGTAATTGCCATATTACAAATCATGACATACACAATGGAGATGGACAAACACATGGCCAAAGGATGTGATTGGATTATGATACTCAAAGATCAGCCTGAATAATAGGAGTATGTAAAGAAAAGAGTGGAGGGATTGCTAAGAGGGTTTGTTATTGTGGCTTATCAACTACTATCAAAAATAGCGATTCCTATTTTATTATTTATGATCTTGTTATTGAAGAACTCCCAAATACCAGAGACTCATATTAGGTACAATTATTTACCTGCCAATTATGAACACAAGGAGATGTATTGTGTTAAGGAAAATATTATAATGATGGACTTCTTATTTGAGGAGAAGGATGATCCAGTTGAAGATGGTATGCATTAATCAATATGTATAGCTAATTTGGATCCATCAAAAATAATCATGAAAAGGATTACTAAATATGGGATTTTTACAAAGTCATTCATTTACACATTCATAGAATTCATCCTTTTCAATTATTATTTTATTAGCTTCGTGCTATCCATATTTTATATATTCTTCCTCAATAAGACTTAATCAGTGAAGCAAACTCAAAAGAAGAAAAAGCAATGATTATTGATTATTTAAGATTTGTTTGATTAAGAGTTAAATTAAGTATAATTCATTTGATTTTCAAAATATAAGTCAGCAATTTAAGAGTTTTCGATTCATTGCTTGGTTTCTAATGCTAGGTTAGTCTTTCCCATTAAAATTATGTTTTTTGACAACCCAAATTGATTTCCACAGCCATGTAAATGTTCAAAGCTATAGCTGATTTTTTGTGATTCAAAAACAACGAAGAAGTTAAGCTAGTCTCAGCTAAATTCCTAATAAGATGAGAATTAAACTTACATACATCTTTGCTTTATTTGATCAGAATATTTACAATTGTAACCCAGCATCTCTCCAATTAATTATATCCACACCAAAGTATTATCACTGATGACATTGAAATTTAATCTATTAAGTATTTCCTTTTCCATCTCAATAACATCCTTGGCTTTGATATCTGTTGCTCTTAGTAAAGCTGGCAAGGGAGGAGGGTAGATTTCTTCATATTTCGATGCTATGAAAAGACAGGTTATTGAAATAAGCTCCAATTCTGCGATTTCAGGATTGAGGAGTGATATCGTCTGATCCATCAAATCAACAGTCTAAAAGAGGGTTTCAGCCTTTAAATTAAAACATCTAACAAGTTTTACGATGTACCTAACCTATATTCAATATAATAATATACAGTTGTAGCTCTGACAGTATCATTGATTTTAGTGGATCCCATTTAAAAATTTGGTTCTCCCATACTTTTTTCTTTTTCATATAAAAATTCGTATATTTCTTGCTAATACAAACTAACAAGCTAAGGAGAGCCTGATTTATTCAAACCCTCCTTCGTCCAAATTGCATCATTTATTAGATTTTCCTTCCCTCCCATTTCATCAATTATCACATCTTTTTTGCCTTTGAGAATCTTGGATGCCTTGTCTGCTTGATTTTCAAGATTTTTCCCAAAAACTCTAGCTCCTTTCTACTCGTTCATTAATTTGAATTCAAAATTATGTAAATATCAATTAGAATAATGTATAAATCATTTCTTTGCAGGTTTCTTTGTATTCTTTTTTGCCTCCTCTTCCATACGCAATCGTTCCTCCTCCTCCCTACGTTGCTTCTCCAATTTCTATTAAACAATCTGTTCCTTCATCTAATCAATTTCTTTCGCTAATTCATTATTCTCTATACAGTTATAAGGTATCACTAACCTTATTCTAATTATTCAACATCGCTTTTCAATTTTTCGAAGTCCTCATGAGCCCTTGTGTCTTTGTGTATGCTGAAGTAATCAATTAGTGCTTGACTTGGAGAATCAGGCTTATTTGGAGCATTCCTCAAAGCCAGGAGAACTAGAAGGACAATTTGCATCAAATCTACATTTAACAATTGCAAGAGTGACATCCTAATTGACCAAGTATTCCCTGAATTCTCTCTCTTTATATTCATTCATCTTGGCCTAACTAAGCAAGGGTTCTTCAACTGTTTTATCTTGATTCATTATATTAAAATTAATAACAAATGATAAAAAGAGATAATTCCTCATTGATTGAAGACGAGTTGAATGAACTCTATACTTGGGTTGATAGTGTTCCACTTTCCAGATCGAAAACCAAGATTGCCAAAGATTTTGCAGACGGAGTTCTGATGGCAGAAGTAGTTCATCACTTTCTACCTAAATAAGTCGAATTATAGAATTATAGGGAAGCTACTTCACATTAATCTAAATTATCAAATTGGAACACTCTGAATACAAAAGTAATAACCTCTGATTCCATTTAGGAAGGTTTTCTAGAATCTTGGCTTTTAATTGACATAAAATGATATTGAACAGCTTATATCTGCATAAAATGGAGCCATTGAACGTGTTTTAAAGATTTTGAAACTTAAGATTCTGAACTATTAGGATATAGAAACTGTTGAACCATAGAAATCATCAGCCACAAACATTTCTATAAATAACAACCAATCCACAATACAGGACTTGGAATAAAAAATAACAGATTAATAAGATATTATAGCCATTCTAGAACTCAAAATTAACAAACTTCAGTAATTAGTTAAGCTTAAGGATAATAAAATATAGGCATTCTCTTCAAAACTTTAGGAATTAGGTTTCAGGTTTTGATTTAGTTTATTTAATTATATATGAACATTAATTACTTATATTAATAAATTGAACACTAGCATTTATAGTTCCAGAAGATCAATAGAGTTGTTAAAACACTTAATACAGAAGTAAACATGATTCCTAAAAAATAAAAAGTAGAAATATGAAAATTAATAATGAATAATGAAATTCATAAAATAAACCCTTTGTAGAGAAACGCTTTCTAAGTAAAAGAAAGCAATTGCTTTAATAATATGAAAAAACGACAATTTGATAACAATAGTTTGAGTAAAGAAAAAGAGAAATATTTTTAGAAAAAGTTAACCTTAAAATTATATCTTGGTTTCGATCAAATTTAATATTCAGAGCAACCAAATTGTTGTAAAATAATTTTAATTCCATTGCCATTCTCATAAAAATATCAGAAATTATATATAATTGATTCATTTTTCACTTGTAATGAGGATAAATCAAACTTTCAATGCACATGTTCATTCGATCTCTCAACAAATGAAAGTATTATTATTAACTAGACCTATGAATTTAAAAATTTAACAATATACAGTCTCTAATTAAATGCCAAACAATAATCCTTTATTATTTATCATTGCTTACAGAAAGATCTTACAATCAGAATGATAGATAATAAAACTATAGATGCTTAGATATATATTTATCAGCATTATTAAGAAGGAATAAATTTTCATTATCTCGAATTAATGATTATGATACCTTTAAATGATAGTGAATTTTTATAAAGAAAAATGCTACAAAAGATATTCGACCATAAATTATCCTACTTGTTAAATCAAGGAAACGCAGCATATTATCAATTAAAATCACAGGCTCATTTCTTTATATTTTTGATCTATAGATTATTAACATATTTATTCACATGGACTTTAATGGATTTATACAGATTTCAAGTGATTATTGATATATGTATTAATATATATAAGTGAACATCTTTAAAATCTCTATTAATCTTTATAGATAAAGGATGAAAATACAAGATATGTTCGATCAATACATGATTTTCAGATAATATCAATTGTCTTTAATGTAATAATAGTGTTTCATTTAATATGGAATCCACTTAGTCAATTATGATTTAGATAAAATTAAAAAATATTATATAGTTAGTACAACTATTTCAACTATTAATTTTTATTATGCTTCCAAAAAAGTTTGGCAGGACAATGCATATGGTTGGAGAGAATGCTTAAAATTAAGAAAGAATAAAACAATTAATACTTGATAACTTGATTGGAGAATATGCTCAAAATGATTAAGTAAATGCAAATGTATATATACAAATGAATTCTAGCTAATTACAGCATACACGGCAGACTTTTTTATATAATACAATTCATTAAATGCTATAAGAATTCTCAGGGAGGAGGTGAAGAAGGCTGTTCTCAAACCAAAAGAGGAAAAACTAATGTTGATTTAGAAATTAAATTAAAGAATCAGAAGTATTATGTTTAGCATTTTTAGAAGAACAATAAGAACATCAGATGAAGAACATTTTAACATCTCAATAGGAAAACAATATTTAGGAAAAAAGACACGATACCAATTAATTGTCAGCATAAAAATAATAAGCAAACTAAATAAAATTAAAGACTGATTCAATCATTAATGATGAAAAGAGAAAATCTATATATAAAGTCGATGGATCATTAGATGAATGGGGAGCTATAATAAAATATGATACTTTGTAATTTTAGAAAGAGGTTGAGCAAGAGAAGAAGAAAAAGATTATTCATAAATAAAAGATTAAGGAGGATTTAGATAAGCAAATAGCAGAAAAAGAAAAAGTAAAATAAAAGGATAAATAAGACGAACTATTATATTATACAACAAGTCAATAATAATTAAAGGATTTTGAAAGATTATAAGAGCAGAGAAATAAGTCAAGAAAATTAGAGGAAATGCAAGAAAAGATGATTAGAGATCAATAAGTTTATTTTAATAAAAAACAAAAGTAAATATTAAATTTGAACTAGGAAAGAATAAAATATATATGTAAAATAGTAGGAAGAGGAAATGCTTTTAAGAGTAAAATAGGAGATTAAGGCAGAGGATTAAGTAAATAAAAGAAAGAAGATGGAACAATTTGAAAAACTATAAGTAATATTGAAATAAAATGAAAATTTAAGAATTAGAGTAAGATTATTAATATTCTTAGGCTAAAGAGGAGATAATTAAAAGCAAAGAGCAAGAACGATATTAACAAGAAATGTTCATGCTAAAGGATGAAATGTAGAATTAAAGAAAGAGAAGAGAAAAATAAGATTAAATTAATTTAAATATTAACAATTATAGTTAGTAAGCAATAAGATTTAAGAGGAATAATTAGGAATTAAATGAAACTTTGGATGATTACTGGCCAAATAATAAAAATGAGTATGTAAATTATTAAATTTCAGGAACAAAATAAGCAAAAGGGAAAAATAGTTTTAATTGTCGAGTGAATTAGAGAAATAGGTATTGGAGAAAAAAAGAAGATATACATAAGAAGAATCAGAAAAGAAAATCATCTTTGAAACCGAATTACAAGAATAAAGGGATGTATAAAAATAAGAATAAGAGAGGAGAAATGTATTGAATGTTATGATTATAGAATATAAGATTGATGTACTAAAAGAATGCAGAAGAACTGAAGAAATAAATTGTATACGGATAGAATGGTTCACCTCTCAAAAGTAAACAAAATCCTTTTGAGAAGATGGGAGAGCAAGAATTATTATAGAATAAAAAAATACTAAAAAGGATTGCAAATGATTCTTCATTGGGCATACAAGTGAAAAAGACCGAAATATCAATTCCTGAATGATAAGTATTCAGTTATTATAATAATAATTTCACCATTACTAAATTGCCTTCAATCCAATTTTAGTCATGTATTCTTTGGCTTTCTTTTGGTGTTCTCCTCTACATTTATAGAATCCCACAAAATTAATTCCTGTCAAGCAAAAGGCAGTCATTGCTAAGACAGCCTAGTTTAGATGCTAATGTTTACATTGAACCATCTTAGACCAATTAAATCTAACAAGATTAAGATTCCCCAAGTCAATACAACACCAAATTAAGCAAACCAAAAGACATTTGAATTGAATGGATTAGGGATAAAATTAGCCACCTGAGATTCATATATCCATTCCTCAGATCCATCTTCCTTTACTTCTGACCACCATCTCAAACCAACAAGTTTTCTATGTTACTGTCTATTACTACCTTCCGGTGATGTTCTTGACGGTCCAAAAATCAATTGCTGATAAAATCACTACGACGATAAAACAGTATGTGAGATTTAGTAAGCCTTCTGGAATGAAAAATCTATTTATAATGCTTGTTTTACACAAAGATGGCAAGACCCTTAAATAGACAATGAAACAATTATGAAAGAAAGGAAGGATCTGCTGTTTTTTGGGGGAGTGGTGGCATTGGAATGTTTACCTATTGAGGTTATTGGACTTGAGAGACGGTGTTGGATGAGATTTGATTAACTTTCTTTTCGTCGTCTCCTAATTTGATGTTCACGTTGTCGAGGTCTGGGATGGAATGTTATACATCTTATTGTTCATCTGCAATTTACTATTATGAGAGACATAGAATACCATGTTGAGTTTATTAATTTAAATTAATTAAAACCCACAATCTGGAGTATTGAATTCGTAATTCTATAAAAGGGAAATCACAAATTTAGTTGTATGTGATGATCAAGTATTCCGACTTCGTAAATTAAAGTTGTCGACAATCTTCGCCAGTTCTGATCAAAAATATATAATTTTTGTATTTTGAATATTTTCTTTAATTTTGGATAATAAAATTTCAAAAATAATATATGAACCTTACAGTTTTCGACCTCTTTGCTTAAATCAAAGGATTGTACACTTGTAAGTCATTTCAGTTATTGTAGAGTAAAATTTAGAGGAATTTCATCAACGTTTTAAAGGAGATGATGAATTCAAAAAAATTGCTAGATAAACTAAAATTCAAAAGAGTTAGCTCGACAGTTTGGAGGACAAGACAGCTTTGATTACCAGAATAAAAAAAATCATCAATGAAAGCAAAACAGCACATAAAGATGCTTTATTCTCAGCAAAGAAATTTGAGATTGCTACTTAAGAAAAAGAAAAAGGTAATTGTAACAATCTAAATCAAGTTTTTAATGAAAATTCAAAATTGAAGAATCAAATTAAAACTTTAGAATCTTTCAGAAATACTCAAACAAATCAATTAAATGAATATTAAGAAAAATACAGCAAAGTAGTTGATGAGGAAAAATAAAAGAAAACAGAATTGGTTGAAGGATTCCAATAAGAAATCAAAGACATCTCCACTAAAATGGAAGAAGTCTCTAATGCCAAACACAAAAGTTAAGCTGAGAATGAAGCTTTGAAAGAAAAAATGAAAGAAATTCAAGAACATGTTGAAAAAAGAGATAAAATCTTTGATGAAGAATTAAATAAATTAGGTAATATTAATCAATATTCATTTTAAAGATTCACAAAGAAAAGAAAGAGAAACCAAAATATTTGAATAAATCAATAACATAAGCTAATCTCTGGGCACTTCTGAAGGTTCTGAAGAATAATTGTAAAAAATTAAAGAAGAAGAAGCACTAGTGGAAGCTCATTTGAATCCACATCTATAGAAGGCAGAAGAATTCCAGCAAATTCTTGAGAAAACAAATCTATAATTTAATTTATACAAAGCTGAAACAGAAAAAGTATCATACCTTCGTCTATATAGCTCGCACAATCATGTAGAACTTTTGAGTAGAAGTCTTAAGCTTGCTAAAGAAAATGTGAGAAGTCTGACATCTACATTGTGGAATAAGCAAAAGAGGTATTTAATTAATCTATTTCTTAGTATTAAACACTCTAAACTTAATTAAAACAAAAATAAGAGTAAGTAAATTCATTATTAACACTAAAGTAAACATTATAAAGTGGGTTATTATGAGTTATATTTAATGGAAAATTAATTATAAATATTATTATTAAAAAATGGACAATTAGTAAAAATAGTAACAACCAGACCAATATTTTTCTCTTTTTGCTTATCTTTAGAAAGATAATAGTGATCTATATGAAGCATTAATCGAAGGTCTTACTTAAATCAAGCTTTAAAAGTAACATCAAATTCATAAGTTAGGCCTAATGAAGAAGTACAATTTCTAGGAAATTTTCTTATTAATAGATCTTAAGAAAAAGGAAAGTGATACATTTTATATTTTGCATCTCTTTAAAATTAACATAACCCTACAGTTCGCTTTAATATTTAATAAGGAATTACTAAATAAATATTTATAATAAAATAAGAGAAATAGATTGGCAATCATTATTCCAAATTTAACCATAAAAAATATATTTGACAAATGCAATATCATAATTTGGTCCAATCAAAAATACTATCATTTGGATATTTCATTCTTGTATAAAGATCTTTAAATAATTTCTTTAACCAAACATAATCGGGTCTCTCTTCAAATTTTAGGCTTTTGCAATAATTGAAATAAATAGAAAATTCTTCTGGTAATCCATCACATAATTTTTCAATTGAAGTAGCAATCTTAGATTCAGCAATCTTTTCATATTTATCCTTCTTGTTATCTGTTTTCAAACCTTACCATGGCAATTATCCGTTTAAAAAATAAACTAAAACATATCCAATGGCTTCTAAATCATCTCTTCTGCTCTACTCAACTCCCAAATGTGTATTTACACTAGCGTATCTAGCTGTTCCCGTTAAACTTTTACCTTCTCTATATGGAATATGGAGATCTAAAAAAATGATACTTATTTTACTAGTTCTCTAATCTCTATATTTCTTAGATAGGCCAAAGTCAATAATATAAATTATATCGCTCTTCTAAGTTAATCCAATTAGGAAATTGTCGGGTTTAATATCTCTATGAATTAGGTTTTTGCTATGAATAAATTCAATTCTCGAAAGCATCTATTATGCAATCATTAGGACTGTTTTTAATGAGAAATGCCTTTTGCACTAATTAAATAGATCTTCTAAATTTGGGCCAAGTAGTTCCATCACTAATATATTGTATTCTCCTTCGCTTCCAACCCAATAAGATTATGGAATACCCACTTAATTGATATTTAATTGATTTTACTTCCTCCTTGCAATACTTTATAGATCTTGCCCTCGAAGATTAATTAAGGATGTTTATTTGTAACGGCTTCCTAGATAAATAAAGTTGTCATACTAATTTAATAGCTACATCTTGTCCAGTTTATTTACTTGTTCCTAAAAAGATTATTCAATGGGTTGTACCTAAAAAGATTTGGCCAAAGGAACCACTCCCAATTTTTTTATCGAAAGAAAATCCGAATTTATTAAGTCCCACTAACATTTTAAAATATACTTATAATTTATGTAAATTTAAAAGAATTTTTCATTCATCTAAACAGAAATAGTTACCACTTTGTTTCTACTCTCTATCCAAAATGGAATCCATTTTATTGATTCTTGGTCTAAAGTTGGTTGGATCTAATCATTAAAAAGAGTGAGTATACCTCTTCTAAATGTAATATTAAGCACATTCAAGAACTTATTCATTCCTGTCAATAAATCTTCAGGTGCATTAGCAACACAAGCCTTGCCTGGTACACCATCATAGACTACGACTCTTGAGATATAGAATGATGTTATTACTTATCTGCCAAATAAGTTGCCATAATGAAATCATGTTCAACAACGAATCCTGCTCTTTTAGTATTCATAATATATCTTTTAATTAACTTAGATGTGGCAACTCTCTATTCTGCATCTAAATAGGCAGAGGGTTCATCCAATAAATAAACCTCAGCTGGTTTACCTAATGCAAGAATCAAAGCAACTCTTTACAATTCACCTCCTGACAACTTCTTAACCTCATTATCTTCCAAGTCTTCAATTCTCAATGGCTTATATACATCAGTTTGGAATTAAGGATTTCTATGACTATCCTGTAATTTAGATCTAAACAACTCTTAAACAGTTCCATCGAATGTTGGTGCAATCATTTATGGTTTGTAACTGACACTCAATCTGGGTACATCAACTGCATCTTTGTCCTTTCCTGCCAACATCTTGATGAATGTAGTTTTTCCAGTTCCATTTTCTCCCAACAAGACAACAATTTCTGAATTATTGAAACCTCCTGCTTTGATTTACAATGAAAATTCTCCTTACACCTTCTTCATGTCAGGATATTGATAGTTTTTCTTTTGTTTCTGATTCTCCAACATATCTAAATTATCCGAGATCTTGAAATTTAATTCGTAGTCTCTGAATCTCATATTTTCAGTTGGTACAAATCCAGCCAAGAATATATTGATACCTTCTCTTACTGAAAAAGGCATTGTCACTATACCATACGCTGTTTATTCACCATAAAGACAACAAATAAAGTCTGATAGATAATCTAAGATAGATAGATCATGTTCAACAACAATAAGGTAATTGTTATCTCTCACTTGGTTTCTAATTATTCTAGATGCAACCACTCTTTATTTGATATCTAAATAAGATGTTGGTTCATCAAGCATTAAACAATCACTTTCTGAAATACAAGCCATCAAAATTGCAAATCTTTACAATTCACCTCCTGACAACATGCTTATTTCTCTATCCAATAAATGATTCAATTCTAAATCCTTTAACAATTACTCTGCTCTATTCAATTTATCCTTATTCTTAATGACATCTCCAACTTTCCCCTTGACTGCCTTACCAATAGAATCCACATATTGCGGTTTAATTACAGCCTTGACCTTACCCTCAAATACTTTTTGTAAATAGCTCTGTAATTCACTACCTCTAAAATACTTTAAGATCTGTTCGACTGTAGGTGGCTCTTTATATAAACCCAAATTAGGTTGTACTTTTCCACTTAGAATTTGCAATGCAGTTGACTTTCCAATACCATTGGTTCCAACTAACCCTAAAACTTATCCTGGTCTAGGTGTTGGCAATCTATGCAATTTGAATGAGTTAGCTCCATATTAATGAGTCAATTCTTTAGATAAATCTTTGGGTAAATTGATAATCATGATTGCCTTGAATGGGCATTTCTTTACACATATGGCACATCCAATGCATAATGATTCATTTATTGTGCAAGTTTTGCTTTACTTTGTAACCTCTATACACAATTTCTCACTCTTATTGATTGGGCAATTCTTCTTGCATTCCAAAGCACAACGCTACGGTTTACATCTGTCCTTATTGATAATTGCAATTCTTAGCTTTGATTCTTCCATTAATTAAATTCTTTAATTAATTTATATTTCTTTATCAATAAAATATTCCTATAATGAGATTTCTCCAATCTAGGAACAAATTAAAAACCAGTTCATCTCCTAATATAATGATCAATCTCTATGCATAGTATATCTAGATTTGGTTTCTTTTATTAATTGAAAAGAATGGTTTTAACTGTAGAATCATCCACATTATCTAAAGTATCTTTTCAGAATAGATGTCTTGAATCGATAGAGAATTTTCAAAGTAAACAGAATGGGATTTGAAATTATAATATTCAGAAATTTTAGAATACTGATCTGAAGGCACTTTATCTAATGAGGAAATTGATTTAAAAAATAGCGAAATTTCGAAAGAAAGTTAGATTACTAACATATTTGTTGGAAAATGATTTCTCTAATTAGTCCTTAGATATAATATTCAAATTAAACAACCTTTATAATGTTAATTTAAAAAGTATGTGAGATCAGATGATGGAGAGTAGAATCTCGTAAAATTATGTATGGATATTATAAATAGATTACGACTTTTAGAGAGGATCAACTTTTAAGTATGTGGGTCATGAAGTAACCGAAATATATTAAATGTAGGAACCTATGCATTTACAATTAACTTTTGAAGATCCTTGAGTTTGGGGAATGGAATCTGAAGATTCTAGGATGTTTAAAGGAGATGTAATAGAGGCTTATTTAAATAAAAAGATTATAATTAAATTATGCTTCTTGAATTAACATAAATATTTTTTATATCTTATTGATGAGTTTCTTTAGATCAGAGACAATGGCATACTATTAGATAATAGTGCCAAAGGAGAGTGCCTGGGAAGTGTTTAATGAGATGGGAAAATTGAGTATGGTAGGGAATGGAATATTTATTTAAGGTGTAAGTGGTGGACATGTCTCCAGATGAGCCTCATGTGAATAGGCCTTTTTATCAATACATAAGGAGGGCTGATGAAGTGATCAGTAAATTGAACGTATTGGAAGCTGAAATGTTGAAGTACAAAATAAAGAATCTGAAATGCTCTGATTATTAATAATTCTTAGAAAGAATGACCTTGTACACAAAGGACATCAATTAAAGTGAAGATAAATGGTTTGATCTGATTGAGAGCACTTTGGATGAAAAATATTGTAATTATTTGTCTCGATCTTAAAGCTCAATTGATAGAACAGATTCAAAATTTAGAGTAAATCTCTGTTCGTAAAAACACCTTATTTGAACACAAGGCTGTCTTGATAAAATCAAAGGAAGTGTTAGGTCCAACATATTACACAAAGGGAAGGAATGTGGCCATAAATCCACAGATTGGAGGAGTACCAGAGCAACAGAAAGTAGCACAACCACGTATAAATTGTATGTAATAATGACTATAGTTTACAATCTGAATTATTTGGTGGGAGTAGTAGACAGAGTAGAAGCTAATCGTTTTAAAAGAATGGTATTCAGAGCATCAAAAGGAAATGCTTGGATCGTGTTATCAGACATAGAATATTCACGAATTGATTCTTCATTAGAGACAGGCAACTTGGATTCCGATAAGTCAGCTGCAAAGAATTTGGAAAAGTAAAGAACAGTCTTTCTGATTGTGTACACAGGAGGAGGCCAAGACTTTTTGAGAGCCAAACTCAATAAAATATGCGATTCATTTAATTGTGCCAAATTTGTACTTCCAGATGATCCTTAACTCTTAGTCTAAAAAACATTAGAGTTGGATCGCTCTTTGGATGAATGTGACAATGTAATATCCCATTAATCTTTTAGTTATTGAGGTTGACATCAGGTAAAATAAAGGAACTATTATTGGAGTATGCTTAGATATAGCCATAGTTGAAAATATCACTGTTGGAAATGAGTAAGTTATTGATGGTCAAAGAGAAAACACTATATACAAATTTAAACTATCTTTATCAAAAGGAAAGAATTTATATTGGGTTCTTTTGGGCACCCAAACATGTGGAAGGGGAATTGCATCATATGCTACACCAATTGAGTGTTTCCCAAAGCAATACTTCAGTTGGATAAATTATTGAATTGGAACCACCTGAGAAAGTGCTCATACCCACTTACTTTAAGATAAATGAATTCAACAATGTATTCCAGGAAATTGTTAACACTTACGGAATCCCTAGATATAAGGAAGTCAACCCTGGAATGTTTGCTGTTATGTTTTTCCCTTTCATGTTTGGTATTATGTTTGGTGATATTGGTCATGGAGGTGTTCTGTTTGTTTTGGCATTCCTTTTAGTCAAAAATGCTGACACTTTAAAAAAACTTCCAGATTTTGCTGGCTTAGTTTAGGTCAGATACTTATTCCTATTGATGGGCTTGTGCGCACTCTATTGTGGTATTATTTATAATGACTTCATGTCTTTGACTTGGAATATATTTGGAAGTTGCTTTGAAAATGTCCCTGATTCTGAAGAAACCGTTTATATTCAAGGATGTACTTACCCTATTGGATTTGATCCTAAATGGTATATAGCAAGCAATGAATTGAACTTCTTCAATTCTTTCAAGATGAAGTTTGCAATCATTTATGGAGTCTCTCAAATGATTTTTGGTATTCTCTTAAAAGGAGTCAACAATCTGTATTTCAAAGATTACTTATCATTTATTTGTGAATTCCTCCCTCAAATGATATTTATGTGCATTACTTTTGGTTATATGGCAATAATGATCATGTTGAAATGGGGATAGAGTTGGGAAGGTAGAACTGATAAGGCTCCTTCAATTATCAATGCAATGATCAATATCCCTCTATAAGGAGGTTCCACAGAAGGAAAACCATTGTTTGACTTAGAGTCTCAAGAATCTCTTTAATAATCTATTCTATTTTGGTCATTCTTATGCATTCCTTGGATGCTTCTACCAAAACCAATTATCGAGGTTATCCAACACTATAGCGGAAAAAAGCATGAAAAGAAACCTTCAAGAGCACTTGAACCAAAAGATGAAAGCAAGGAAGTCTTGATGCCTATGTTATAGAGTTAAAAATCAATTAATTAGAGTGCTTTGGCCGAGGAACTAAGATTGTAATTAATCTAAAAGGAAAAAGAGAAGGAATTAAGAAGAAAACAATTGGAAGAATAAAGACTCAAAGAATAAGCAGGAGAGGACGATCAGCAAAAAGATTAGCCTTAACAATTATTACCAAAGTAATCAGAAAAAAGTGGAGAACATGGACACGGACATGAGGAATTTGATATTGGAGAACTTGCTGTGCATTAAATTATTGAAACTATCGAATTCGTTCTTGGCTCTATTAGTAATACTGCATCATATTTGCGTTTATGGGCCTTATCGTTAGCACATGGACAATTGGCTAAAGTGTTTTTCGAGAAGTGCATTGGTGCAGGAATTGTCGATGGAAATGTAATTGTCTTAGTCATTGGTTGGCCTGTATTCCTACATTGCACTATTGGAGGTATCTATATTTATATATGGTAGTTTTAATGTGCATGGATCTTATGGAATGTTTCTTACATGCTCTAAGATTGTAATGGGTAGAATTCTAAAGCAAATTTTATAAAGCTGATGGAATCAAATTTATGCCATTTTCATTCAAAGAAGTTTTAACTAATCAACCAAAAGATTAATGATTTATTCATGAGCATTTATATATCATACAACATTCTATAAAATTGTTAAATAAATTAATTTATATACACTCAGGTAGTGAAGACTCCCTTCTTTTCCAATCTCTTGTTCCTCTTTTTCAATTTGAATCCATGTTTCATCTTCCATATTTTCTTACCACTTATGGGTCTAAGACGAGATGAATCAACTAATTCAGGATCTTCGTCTTCTTAATTGATTGTAACATATTAATTCTCAGGTTTCTTTGTCTTAGGTTTCTCTTCCTACTCAGGTAACATATTGTTATTCATTTCATCATTCAACAATCGTCTCTTCCTTATCAATTTATCATTCGTTTAATCATGAACTCTCACAAGCACTTTGACCTTAGATTAATCTCCCTACATTTTCCTTTACTTCTTGATGAATTCTGGTAACAAATATTCGGGTACAGGACCTTAAGACATGAATTTATATTGATACCTTATGGCAATTATATTGCAGATCTATTTAACTTCTTCTTTAATTATACGATTTGATCCTACAACAATTCCTTCTCTTTCTAATTCTATTAAAAGTACTCCACTAGATCTGGTGACTTGATCATCTTCTTTTTGAAATCTATTTGCTCTGCCATTTTAACCTAATATTTAGATATATTTTTGGTGGTATCTTCTATACGATAACGGAATGCCTCGATTTCATTTTATTTTATTGGATATTCTTTGCAATTAACATTATTGTATTCAGCGTTTACAAATTACATTACTGTTTCAACATTTTATTCATTATTTGAAGCTATACACACAGTATTGCTCACAGATTTTAAAATTTAATAAGGCAATTCGTTGGGCAATAAATTATATAGAATGATATTATCTAACTTCTTTAAAGTGTAAGGTTATTTGGATTTTTTAGTTTGTTACTTGGTTCTTTCAAAGAATTCATTCTCCAAATCTAAAAAGACATTTGCAGTAGCTACAAGTATTTAGATAACTCCAGTATTGAAAGTTGACAAGGTATAATATTTAAGGGTTTTTGGGTTTTCATGGTTATAAATTTGATATCTTTCGATATTACATCTTTAAAAAAGTAATTGTAAATAATAAATCTCAAACAAATTTTATACTATTATGAGTGTCTTTCCTTAGACAAGGTTTAGTTTCAAAGTGATATAAAGAACTATCTATTATTATGTAAAGTCTGAATAAAAATAGTAAAACAAATTGGGCAATTCATTTTTAGTTTATTAAACTACTCTATCTTCTTATTCTTACTCTTCCTAATCCTCTTCAATTTTGGCAACTGTAATTGCCTTTCCAAGTATAACTTCAATCAATTTTTCATCTCCAACATAAATTGTGAATTGATTCTTGGAAATCCACTTAGAAACTGTTTCCAATTAGTGTTATCCACCATAGAGAGTGGCTAGGTTGCAATCATCAAATAAAGCAAATTAGAAGCATTTATTATCAACCTTACCACTTGCCTTTAGTTTACTCACAGAATAATAGGTGGCAAACAAAATAGACGGTTAAGTTACAGGAGGCAAGACAATATTGTATTGATCGTCTATTTATTATTAGCAGAAATAAGTACTTTTTGCATTTAGGGGAAATTGTGAATTAATATCAAGTAAGGCAATTTCTTAAGGATAATTGTCTAACAATTTTTGAACTACGGATTTGCAATGTGCTGATTATTCTCTGCTTGCTGAGGTAATGAGCAAATAATATCCATTCTATGATAAATGTGGTTAATTCTTACTTCTTCGTCTGGAGTAAAGTGATCCAAAGATTTTAAAAATTAATCCAAAATAATCAAAAGACATGACATAGTTCTTCCACTTTATTTGGGTGCTTCGATGCAGGTTAAATGTTTTTTGTGTTGGATGATCTACATAATTGCTATTAGAATTACTTGGAGCAAATTATTCATTATAAATGTGGGATGCTTGATGATACCGAACTCCCTTTTGAGTTGGGAGAGCAAAGGTGATGTCAATTGATGCTACTTGAAGAATTGTTGGATTGTAAGTTCGTGATCAATATATTACTCCATAATTAAATTTATATATGTCTCATTTTTTTAATAAAGGCAAATATATTGAATTGTAGAAAATCGATGCCATATATGCCCCAAACAGTGGAGCAAATAGAAACACCCAAAAATTAGCTAATTTAGTTGTGTCATTCACCCAGAATGCTTCAAATAATTCCAATCCAACACCCATGGCTGGATTTAAGCAACCTCAAATTGAAGTGTACAAATTACCTCCAGAATGTGATGATAACTATCTCGAAAAAAATAGAGCCAATGCAATCCAAGCGATACCTGCAATATCATTATTAGTCTAACGTGTTTATTCATGAACTTGAATATGAATGAATAGAACAAACATAAAGGTTCCAAAAGCCTAAATTAAGGTGATGCAAGTACTTCTCCACACAAATCAGCAAGCATCCACTCTATGTTTGTACTCTTAATACTAGGAGATGTCACCACTCCCAATATTAAATAAGCGATCCAAGCACCTCCAACTGCACCTAATAATTGAGCTGTCCAATAGATTCTCAAAGTCCATGAACTAATGGTATCGTCACAATAGAAGCTAAATGATACTGCTGGATTGACATGACCACCAGTAAATTTGCAAGTCAAAAATATTGCTGCATACAAATAAGCAGCAATCAAGATATCAGATCCATTAGATGCCACTATGCCATATGCGAATAATCCTGTTCCGATTGTCTCGAAAATAAATATGATTGTTAAATCCCCGAATGTTTTAGGGGCTGGTCTTTTTACTGGTGGTTCATTAGGCTCTTCTACATCAAATTGAATGAGATGTGTCTGTGGTTATTGAACTTCCTTTTGTTGCTCTTCATTTTCTTTTCTTTATTGAGGCGATTCCATTTTATAAATAAATAAAATATAATAAAAGTTTGAGTTAATATGCTAAATTCAAGGTTAGTTAAATAGATATTTTGAAGAATTAATAGATGAATGGCTAGGCAATTTGCTAAAATTAAAGCGATCTTTCTTAGAAGAATTTGAAGAGATGTTAATTAACGAGGGTTGACGAGGAGATCCATATTAAGACTGTTGTTATTGTTCAAATCTTGTAGATGATTATTATTAGGGTGATTGAATTTGTAGTTTTAATTAGGAAAGCATGACACCGCTTTCTCCCCTTTTGATACTATTGTATTCGGATCCCCCTCGATTTCTGTCTGGATCATTGACTTCATTTGGTTTAACTATACTGATTGTCATTATTGTATGTCTATCCTGTCTAGTTGATTGATTCTCCTATTCAAAAGGAATCGACTTATTATTTAAGGAAACCTTTCCTTTCTGTATTTGATATGCTTTTCTCTAATCACTCAATTTGACTTAATCGATAAACCCTCCTTAAATATTTAGCTTCTGAAGTGATGACTATTGTGAGCTGGTTGGCAAATCCTCCTTGTCTTTGAATATCTTCTCTAATTGAGCTTTGCATTTTAGACATCCCCTCCATGATCCTATTCTATTTTCATTTCATTCAAATACCTAAATTATTCGACCGCCTTTTATAAATTTTTCTCACATGATATCCCTTTATAGTGAATCTTCCCTCTCATATAATTTATAATAGATTGATCCTTCAAAATATCTTCCAACTAATCCATCAGAGATAGAAAATCAGTTATCTAACCTTCTTCTCTCTGTAAATTTTGAAAACGAAGATTAAGTAATTTTTTGGCACACTTAAAATCACCTTTAAATGCACCTTATTCGAAGATTAAGTCAGCCATTATAGGGTTGGCCTGCAATTCCTCCCCTAAACCATTTAACAACATCATTCCAAGATCGTAAAATGCTGGTAAATAGTCTTGATTCTTGGCTTGACTGAGTAATGGAAGAATTAATTGCTTTCTATTCTATTTGTGTATAAATTATCTACTTACTTTATTTAAACTTTATTTGCTCATTTCTTGATACAACAAAGATAATTTATAGGTAGCCTCCACTGAATTTTTTTTTTGAGCTTACTTATAAAAGTACTCAGCATCTTAGTAGTCTTTTTCCAAAGAGTCTATCATTAATATTTAAAATTATTATTGTTACAATTTTATAACTACAAACCTGAGGTGTACAAATCACCTAAATATATCATTGAAGGCACGTGATTCAATTCTGCTGCTTTCCTTAGTAGTTTGATAGCTAAATCACAATCCTTAGTTTTGATTGTTGTCACACTTGATTTCCTACTCTATTGTTCGTCTTTTTCAAAAAATTTGTCAAAAACTTTCTCTTCCTAAAATATTACTTGTTATTTATTACTAATATCAATCTGGATGCCCAATAGACACTAAATGTCTGTCCTTGGTCTGCACTCAATTTAAAGTAGTTAAAAGCCTACCACAAGTGGTGTTATAATTCATTACCTGATCATAATCTTTTTCTACTAGTTCTCCATCCATCAATATCTATCCCATTATTGCCTATGCGATTGGGTGGCTCTCTTCTGACAATCTTTTGTATATTTGCAAAGCACTGTCTCTATTTTTCTCTATTCCCAAACCTGCGTACATTTCATGGGCATTTCTCAATTACGTATCTAAATATCCTTTTTTCGATTTTTTTAAGTTTTCGAAATTCTTAGTCCTGATCTCATTTGTGAATTACTCAAACCACTAATTTAAACGTTATTTAAATTCATTTGTAGAAATTGTACTCGTAGTTCTGTTTTCCAACATCAACACTTATTCCCAGAAATAGCACATCTTTTCCAACGCACGCAATTGTTTATCATACTGCTTATTAGCAGGTCCTTTGCATGGCCATTTGATTGATTCTAATAAACTGAATGCCTCATGCACTTCTTAGATAGTCCTTATGGTATCTCTTTGTAGATTGAACAATGACTGAGTAATCTTAATCTTTATTTAGCATTCCTAAGAACTGTAATTCTTAAGAATCTACTGTGCCTAACTCAATATTTATGTTGATAACTATCTCTTCCCTTCATCCAGCTTCGAACTTCTCTCAACCTAAGATATGAGGTCAGCTAAATAAATGGAAAAGTGTACATATTTATTAATGGGCTACCTCAAATCTGAATCCCTCATAAAATTATTAATCGCACTCCGTAGAATTAGCACTCGCTTAATCACAATATTGTTCTATAATCTAATTTAAATTTTCTTGATGACTCTTGTATAAGCTATTGTTGACATATCGCGAATTCAGTGACATATATATAATTTATTAATAATAATTATTATTTTCTTCTCATCTCTTCTGTCCACTCCAAGATTGAAGTTCCATAAACTTGTTTTGAGATTTACTCAGCATATCTTAAGTTTACTAATTAATCTACCCAATCATACCTTTAAACGAACTTTCAAAGTCTCCTCATCCTTTAATAATTTCTCCCTTGTCTTTTTCAGTTTCTCCTCAATCATTTTCTCATAAGAAACTCTCTCCTTATAAAATTATTAAGACTTCATCTCATCCAATTTCTTGGTCTCCTCCTTCTTTTTCTTCCTCTCCTTCTCTTCCTAATACAATACTTCCCTAATCTTTTGGTTCTCCTGAAGTATGCAATCCCTCGCTCTACTTAATGACATTTTCATTGTACTCTTGTATTCTTTTACTTATGATTATCTCATTGAATCTCTAAAATCACTCATTGCCATAATATACCCCAATTTCTATGCTAACTTCCGTTTTTGTATGAACTCCTTCTCACCTTTTTTTATTTATTCAATTTGCTGCTTCCTTTTTTTCATAGTTTCATCCTTTATTTATTTAGCCTCCTCTGCTAATTCCTACAATTCCTTCTTTACTTAGATTCCATTCTCTATATTCTCTGCTGCCATCTCATATAATTTAGCCTACCTACATCAAGTTACATTTTACAAGATGTAAATTTTTCTACTCTGCTTATTTTAGCAAAGTAATTTTAGCCATCTACCTTTCATATGCTAGTTTTTCTTGTCTCTTTTAATCAGTAGCCTAGGGCAAAGGAATTGCAGGTCTATCATCGTCATTTTAAGTCCTTGACATATCGAGAATTTATATTAAAAATATAATAATTTTAATCTCCTTAAATTCCTTAAAGATTCTTCTTGAACTCATTTTATTCCCCCTTTATATTAACCATCTAGACTATATATTTGATTGAATGGTACTCTCATAACATTTAATTTATTCAATTTTACAAATATTTATAAAATTTCTTTTAAAATAAAATGCGAAATTAATATGATTTAAAAAATTTTGTAAAATTCTTTCTTTTAGAAGTTTCTAAATTATTCATATCTCTATGATTAAATTCTCAATTTTACTTAAATAGAAAAAAAGAGGGTTTCTTCATTCATTTCAGACTCATTGTTTAATTAAGCCTATTTCAGTTACAAAAAAGAGAAGATATGGAAACTACTTATGAATAATTAAAGTCATCTACAATGTTAAAATAATTTTTCTCCTGAAAGTATTAATATCAAAAGAGAATAATTTTAATCAAATATTGATTTATAGAGCAATTTTCAATAATATAATTAGAAAATATGTATGTCTAATTTTTCCATTTTTTATGAAAAATATTTCTTAAAATTATCTAATAGTTAAAGTCGTAAATGCAATATAAAAATTTACTTTAAATTTAATAGCTGATTATTTATTATTTTTTAAAATTTGATGTAAAAAAATGTCAAAAATTGAAATATGAATGATTAGCAAAATTTTATAAATAAGAGGTATTGTTTTATCGTCTACCCATGAAAGTCTTATATAATCATAGTTTCATTAGATTTGAAAGTAAAGAATTTATACTAATTAAATTATATTTTATAAACGAGATTAATATTAGTTCATACAATCGAAAAAGATTCATAAACAATTGTTTAAATTAATTTCAACTTAAAGTATGAATTAAACTTTATAAATTCTAGAATTCTTATTATCATTCAAGAATACCACAGATTTCAAACATAGAAAACAATCAAGAATAATACAGAGATCAACTTATATATTTGAGATGAAAACTGAAAATCAGAAAAGAGTTAATTTAAAAATATTTTTGCTTTTTATTTAATTTCAAAAGTTCATTCAAAAATCTGGACCAATGATTCATTGAATTATTCTAATTAGTAAATACTTTGTAATTATTTTTATATACAGTTTTAACATTTAAAAGATAAAATGATTAAAGTTGTTAAAAATACTTTAGATATTCATTATGGAATGATTAGAATTTAATGAAAAAAGCTTATAATAATGACGAATTAAGTAAAATAGATAGATTATGAATAACTAAAGACCTTATTAATGGGATTAAATACATATTAAATATAATAAATGAAATAAAATTTGGAAGAAATAGCAGCCACAATTCCGAATTACAAAATGGTTGATGGCAAATATTACATCAAAACAACAAAATTGGGAAAAGGAAATTTTGCGGAAACGTATATATAAAAATATACAAAAGTCATTTGGCTACATTGAAAGACAATGAGAAAATAGTTTATGCATGTAAATTAATTGCAAAACAAAATATCATCGAAAAACTTAAAAAAAGCAATAATCCAGATAGCAGAAAAGAATATATTATCAACTCGCTAAAAAAAGAGGTATCATCTTTTACCATTTATTTTTTAGGTTTCTTTGTGGAAGTAGATGGATCATCCTAATATTGTTAAGTTTATTGATTTCTCTGAGACTCCAAATAATATTTATTTCTTTTTGGAATACTGCAATGGTGGAGATTTAGATATGCTCATCAAAGATAAAGGAAAATTGAGTGAATAAGAAGCAGCCGATATTTTTCTCTAAATTGCAGAAGGATGTTCATACTTATATGACAAAAGTGTTTTCCACAGAGATCTAAAACCTGAAAATATATTGATACATAATGGTACAGCAAAATTAGCAGATTTTGGTTTTGCAAAAGTAATTGAAGAAGATAAAAAAGATGTGGCTGCCCATGGAACGTCAGTAGGAACACCTTATTATATGGCTCCATAGATTTTAGCAGGGGAAGAGTATTTATATAGAAATATATGATTTAGCTATTGCATTAAATGTGATGTCTGGTCTTTGGGTGTAATTCTTTATTAAATGTTATTTGGAGTGCTTCCATGGAAAGATACAAATTCTATTATATAGTTGTTGAATGCTATCAATAATTAGAAAATTCAATTTCCAAATACAAATCCAGTTGGTTAAGAGATGAAAGACTTAATAACAGTATAGAATATATTTATCAATTATTAGAAAATGCTTTAAAAAAGAGAAGAAGATCGTATTAATATTAAGGAAGTGTGCGAATGTTTGAACAAAATAAAAAAGTGATATAAAATATTAAAATATATGCATTATTTTATTTATATTCTAACTCATTAACCAATTAAGGCAGATGCTGTCTTTGAGACACTTAAAGATAGTAAGAAATATATACTATTTCCAATTTGATGGCAATTTTTGGGTTCTTCTGTAATATCTGCTAAGTCTATGGATTCTGCTTTCAACCAAAATCAATCTGAATTTGCTTGTGATATCACCTCTATTCTTCTCCAAATGCTTTCTGATTTAAACAGCCTTTTTAATTAAGGCATATAAATCTTCAGGGATTTTTGGAGCACAACCTAAAATTTTAATTATTGCCATACCTCTTTTCTTTAAGATTCTCAAGATCTTTTAACCTGTTAAGAATCTGGTTTGGGGGATACCTTATTAATCTCTTAAATAAACTCCGATTTGAGATCCATTCAAACCTATAAAATTGCAATAATGTTAAACGAAACCTTTCTTAGCTAAATTAACAATTTAGTCAACGATTGATTTAGATGATAAAGTCAACCATTTTGGTGCTTTTCTTTTATATGGGAGGGCTGAACCAGAAATACCCTTTCCCTTTCCCTTAGCTTACATACGTCCCATGAATTAATTTAAGATTTAATTTTATTTAAATTTGTTTAGTCATTTCTTTGGTTTCTTGGGTTTCTTTTTTTTGGCACCTAAACCGTATAGTTCTTTTCTTTCCATTAGTTCGTTCTAAATTAATTTAATGGCATTTTCCATTCGCAATTATTGTAATTCTCTTAATTTTTTAGCTTCTTATTCTTAGATTTCCTAAACTACATGAATGAATATACTTTTCTCTCACGTTCTTATTTTTCTAATTCTTCCTTCTCAAATCTTCTGTTCAGTTTATCGAGTTCGTCTAACATAATATTTTTTTGTTCAGTCAATTTTTCTATTTTATCTTCTAGTTCTTATTTTTTTTCATCCATATATTTATTTTGATCATCTGTTTTCTTTTTTGATTCTTCCTAAATTTATATAATAATATTAAGTACTTCTTTTCTTATTAAGTAATCCTTTAATTATTTATGAACCTTTTCTTCTGTCTCTATTTTTGTAGTAAAATTTTAGATTTATTATTCAATATCCTTTAATGCAAATTCAAACACTCTCATTTGGGTATTTTCTTTAGATGTACCTACTTTCTCATCATACTTTTTTTTTAAATCAGCTCTATTTGTTTTATATAATAGTTTTTCTTTCAAAGATTAAATATTCTTTTATTTTTCTGTTTTCTCGTGTTCATGTTCTTTTATTTCTTAAGTTTTATCATTCTACAGTTTTTTAATTTCAGCCGCTAACTCTTTTTCTCTTACTGCAAATTTTCTTAAAGAATCCTATTCTTCTAAACTATTCGTAACATTTTGAGCAAATTTGTTTAATTGATTATTTTAGATAAATGTTTTGAGATTCTTAATTAACTTGATATAAATACTTCTAAATCTGAGATCAATCCTGCTCTCTCTTCATATACCTTTAATGAATCCTAATCTATATTTGGATTTTCTTTAAATAACCTTTTATTTGAAATGAAACTTATACCTACATAATTTCTTAGTACTTTCTTTGAGTCTCTATGCTACCTCCTGAATATGCTTCTATGTTTCAGTTAATTACTTTCTATTAGAGATTCCAACCAAGGTACTTCTTTTGGCTACTAATTCTGCATATTTAACTTCCAATGTTTATTGATCAGTCAGCAATTTACTTTGTTCATATCCTGCTAATTCTGAAGAGATATCATTATCTCTAGTGATTTCTCCAATAAATTATAATTTCAGAATGCAATCCTTAAGCACAAATTACAATTTGTGTTAATCTATGGGATTCATTTTTTATTAATTTATATATATATATATTTATATCTGTTTTAATGCTCATTCAAATTTGTAAAACTATTTGGGCTTGTCAATTTGATTGCTAAATTAAATGAATCATGAATACATGCCATGATGCCATAAGGATGGCTCGAAATTGTTGTCATCATCAATGAAAAAGAATTTTTTATCTAATTCTGGCACATCAAACTTATTTTCCCAAACAGGAGCTCCATCAAGCAATTTTCCTATTTCTGGTTTGATGCTATTTGAGTAATAACTTCCAGATGCAAATCTATTGTAACAATTAATTTGATTGAATTACCTTGTTCCTAAAAACACTGCACCAACAATTCCAGCTTTGAAATAAATGGCTAACTTCTTTGCTGGACCTATTCTATTTACTGCCTCTAAACTCAAATAAGTGGTTAGTAGTGTTGCCTTATTCTAGAAACTAGATTATCCATTCACTAAATTAATGACCTAATTTTATGTTTCTGTTGGGACAAGTGAAGTGTGAGTCCACCAAGACTTATTATTTTATGTGAGGTTGATATACATTAAATTATTTAATAAATCTTAAATTATTAATGTAAATAAAAGAATTGCTCATTATTATTATCTCATATGTAAAATACAGATTAAATTAATAAGAAAAATTCTTATTCTAATATAACTAGATTATTAAATGGATATACATTAAAATTACAAATACATTTCCTATTATTTTTAAACAAATATATATAAATAATATTTATAAGCCACATCAATTATAAAAAAGTTCATAAACTCTAAAATATTCTTTGCACCATACAACTAAATGTTTACCACTATTTGATAAGCTTGCAATAATTTTTTCATCTTCTAATTCAATCTTTTAATCTGAAATTGTAATATCATTTAAGTTGTCAATGGTTAAGAAATAAAGAGTTTTATAATGTTTTTAAATTAGAACTTGTTACTATGAATAAAATATTGATGGTTAATATTCTCCATCTTATTCATTAAGCTCACTTAGTTATTTAATTGAAATCCTGTAAAACTACTTTTCCATCTCGCTAAAGATATGAATTTATCCTTTATACGTTTTCGAAACTATAGTTTAATCATTTAAAAAATTAACGGTGCATCCACCTTAATCTACTATTTATTATTTGAAGCTCCATTCTTATTAATCATTTTTCTCCCAAATAATTATTTTTTAATCCAAAGAAATAGACACCATTAAAGTATTGCTTTAATTTAATCTAACCTAGGTTACTGGGGCAGCATGTTTTTCTAAATATTGTAGAAGTTAAATAAAATTCCTTTGGTAGTTTACTGCCCAAACTAAAATTTTGCAATCACTGCTGCAAGAAAATAATTAATCTTCCTTTTCGTTCAACTCAAGAAATATAATCTGGTCTCTATGAGATTAAGGGTTAACTTATTTTTTAGTTATATTAATGTTGAATAACATTTTTTTTGGCTTCCATAAAATGATAGAAAGATCCTTTCCTGCAGAGAATAACCAATTTTTCTTTTTACTGAATAATAGAGTTTTAACTGTTTAAGTATGCTCATTTAGATTATAAAGAAGATCACTAATATTTCCATCCTAAAATTTCCATAATTTAATTTCTCTATCACAAGCAGTAGCAATTATGGAGTCATCTTTGTTAAATGAAATAACTTCACAGTAAATGGGTTAACTAACTGTTTTATTTTATTTTTTATAAGTTATTTTTCTTTCTTACTTTTATTACAATCCCTAAAATACATCTAAGATTTCAGAGTCTTCTCCTTTAAATACAATTTAGATTCCAGATTATTTTTTAATTTCAATTTTCATGTTATTCCCCATAAACTATTTCTTAGGTGATCGTTATATATTATTCTATGGATTAAGGGATGAACGTAATTTATTTAATTATGGACTTTTTGTTAATATACATTCTAAATCTAATAAACTTTATTCTAATTTATCTGTATAGTCAGATCTTTTTGATTGTAAGAAATCATCTATCATTTCAATATGATGTTGCTACTCATTCTCTAGTTCTTTAATAAAGTCAAATTTAGACTTGTCATCTAACTTTTATTATAAATTCTCCTTCCAACTAATAAGATCCTTATTTAATTTTTTAATTATTTCTTTAATAGAATCCTCTAATTTAGAAACATATTCTTGATATTGATCAAGTGTTTGCAATTCAGGTTATAATTTTTTTTAATACTCTTCGAATTCTGCTTACTTCCTTTTTTTAGTTTTATCTATTATTTCTGCTATGTTTTATGCTTTTTTTTCACCTTCCATTTCCTAAAAACATTATTCGCATTAAAGCATAAATTTTGCATTTCTTGTAATCAGAACAAATTTTACAGTTTATAAATGTGAATTACATTTAAAACCACCTTAAGGTTAAATCATTTAGCATTCCGTTAGCTAATGCTTCATATTCATAATAAACTTTTATTATTAATAAAAATTATTCATTATTAATTCTATGAAAATTTTAATATTCATAAAAAACAAATGTTCAATAAATTTATTTTATAGATATGCTTTTTTTTTGTTTGCATCCTCTGTGATGGCAGAATAATAGTTATTATAAAAAAATTATTTGCCATTATTTATCCCATGTAGATGACTAGTATTCTAACTATTTTAAATAAAAACAAAACTCTTATATAAAGAGAGATTTTGTTATAAGTAAGTTTATGCCCTCCTATGACAGGATTTTAATTTCTATATAAAATTAAATGAATATTTAGTAAAGATCTCTCAAAGTATAATTCTAATCAGAATTCATTATGATAATTATTGACTTAACATTAAGATTAGAAAACAGTTAAATGAATTTTTGGTACTGGAATTTTATTATTGATTTTATGTATCATAACCGAAACTCAATAATCAATTTCATTAATGAAAATGAAAAAAACAATAATATTTATTAGTCAAATAGAATTGAATTATTAAAATATCTAGCTATTAAAATAACTGAATAAATATTAAAATATTTCTTTCTTTTGGAATGAATTTCAAATTTGAAAGTGAAAATTTCGTAATATTGAGAAATAGAATAATATTAAATATGATAAACTTATAATTATGTTAATAAATTAAAAGTATATAATAATTATCTATTCAACCATACAATTGGCAAGCTATTATAATTGGAAAATTAATATACCTAGGAAGCTGAATAATTTTGAGCAACAGAACAAATAACTCTAAATGTAAAGAAAAAAATTGAATAATTATACCTAAACTCAACAAGATTATTAGAACTAAAATACAATTTAATGTAAAACATAAGATAGTAAACAATTATATAAAATCAAAAATGCAAAAAAATTGATTAAAAGCAAAAATTAAAGCCACAGAGGGTGGAACTAGAAATTACTGGTTTAAAATTTAAAGATTTATATTGATCGTATAAGGGATGATGTTGAGTTAAGTCCAAAAAAATATTGCTATTTGAACATCAGACAGACTTCTGAATGAGTTTGCTGGGTTTTTCATAAGGGTGGGTGAGTGAAAAATAAGTTTAAGGATGATAAATTCTAAAATAAAATAATAAATAATACATAGATTTTATAATTAATATAATATACGTATCATGGAGATTTTTACATTTGATAATTGTGACCATTCTAAGGAATTCTAGCTTCTTGTTTAGTATTATTCGGTATTTGATGAAGATTTAGAATAATCGAACAGGACAAAATCAGTTGTTGATTTATTAGATGCAGGTTTAGAAATTTAAGAAAAGTTTCGCAATAAAGCCAAATAAGAGAAATAGAGTAACTAAACTTAACATTTATTAGCTTAGAAGAATTTTAAGACTCCTTTGGATTTCCTTAGAGATTCCTTAAAAAATAAAATTGATAATACTCTTTCATTTTAGCAATTATTGATCTTTTCGAATCCGCAAGTGGTTAAGAGTTTTGGTAAGCCAAAGGTGGTGCATCATAACGGGGAGTTTTTGATTGTGGGTGGATCTTTAGGAAATATTCTGTATTACTCATAATAATAGATGGATATTATCATTTAGTAATAGAAAATTGGAGCTGTAACTGCTTTAGACTCTTTGAATGAGTTGGTGGCTGTAGGTTATGAAAGTGGATGGATTAGTTTAGTGAACATGAAAAAAAAGAAACATTTACACACTTGTTAGAATATTACTAAATCTAAAATAATAGTTTTGAAATTCATATTTTAATCTAAAAATTTTTATAATGTTATAACTTCAGATGATGTTGGAATTATAAGGATTGTAAATTTTCGAAAAGGGATGTTGGGATTCGATTACCAAATACAACTAACTATACCTAGATAGTAGTTTCCAATGCTAAACATAATAGTATTGGATAAAAGCGAAACAAAAGAGTTTATGGGTGATTTATATGAAAAATCAAGTCGAATAATTGGGTTATGTTCTCTGAGCAAGTTTTATCTTATTCTTACATATAAGGATGAGGAGGAGAAGTTGAAATCATTAATAGAAATCGAAAATCCACATATATCAGGTCCAGAGAAACCCTTCTATTGTTATCTCTCTTATGGTTATGGTGTTTTACCTCCTCCAAATTAAGAGTCAGAATAAAAATGGAAAGATAAACGATTGATTATTTTACTTTGTTGGAATTGCCATATGTTCATATTAGTTAGAAGTAATGATTAGGCAAGATACATGACACTCAAACCATTGATTTTTAAATAATAAATACATGCAGCTTATTTTGTAGAGTAATCCATCATAGAAGTTATCACTACAAATCAAAATATATACTTGTTTAATACACTTCATTTGGAATTGCATATTGCTCCAAAAGGAATAGGATAAATACCATATTTCAGATAAAAAAAGAATTGGCCTGATTCTCCATTTACTTCTCTTTATCAGGTTGAAATTTTGAATAAAAAGGAAAAAAAGGAATTGAAATAATATCCATTGCAAAATTAGATATATGCTTTAAATAAATTAACAAGATAAATCCATATTTTAGTTGAAGGATCAATAGTTATAGGTAGTATAAACAATTTAGAATAAACTATTGATATTTTTATTTAGAATAAAGATTGGGCCAAGGGAATGCTATTGATTCTAGCTTTAATGGATGGCAGCATGAAATCCACTCCAATCAAATTTAACATTTAGGTTTTAAAGAAAAAAGTACTGGAAATAGCCACTCATTATATTAAAGTAGTTTTGGAGGAAATCAAAACTACTTTAGATAAACACAAAACTTTGATTTATACTCCAATATCTTAACTTAGTCATTAAAAGGATGTGGAAAAAGTGAAGACACTTCTGTCAATGCTTGTGGATTTTCTTTTGAGAGTTTCAAGTGATATCTTATTTAATTAAATATATTGTATCATAAAGAAATTTTTAAATGGAGATGTCAGTATATTATGCAATGAGTTAAGTTTGTATCTAAAGAATGGAAAGGTAAAAATGATTGATGCAAATGAAGAAACTATAAGTAATCTATTTATTATTATTGAAATTAGATGAAATTTTGCTATATTATGTCAAAAAAGGAGAATCATAATGTATTGATGCATTCATCTCTAAAATTGAATATTCAAAAATTAATACTGAATAATTAATTCAACTCTGTCTTTTAAATAAATTGACTACCAGTTTGAGTTACGTATGCACAAGGTCTGGGGATTTCTTAACTCCTTTAGCTAAACTATGGGGAATCATTTAACAAGACATTAAAAAGAAGAATCCATAATTGGTGATAGAATAAGGAAAAAACATCATTTTATATTTGGAATATACTTTGCATATTGAGGAATTAATAAAAGAGAAATCTGATTAGATATCTTTATGGTTATTTGAAACTCCAACTTTGTTTTTATTAATGAGCATAGATTTTGCTGGTTGCGTCTAATTATGTTATAAGTTTTTTATACCACCATATGACTAATTTTTAGATAAGGAACGATTAAAGAAATATTATGTTAACATGACGTAAGCTTTTTAAAAACTTAAAACTATAAAAGATTAAAATGATTTAAAATTTTAATTGACCTAATTATAAATAAAAACACTGCCTGATGCAATTGGATGGGAAAAGATGATCAATTAAGTTGGTAGATCCATTCAAGCAAACATTTTGAGTAAAGGATACACAGAATAACTATAAAATAAATAATTAACTGAATTATTCTTAGATTTAGTCAGTGAACATCGACATTTATTATTTTTACCACTTCAATGTTTACCTCTACCAAATATATTACATAATGATGAACCAACTCTTAAATATTGTTTGATTTATGCATACAATCAATTTATAATCAATCTATTTAAGAAATATCCAATGGTTGATAAAGAGGATATTTTAAATTCAATGGCATCAGATGGATAGTTTGATTGGGTCAAAATGTATTTAAATGAAGAGCTTAAAAATTATAGTAGAACTTTAGATTTGAGAATCAAAATTAAGAATCAATTACAATATTTCAACCTCAAAGTCAAATTTGAAATTTTCACTTGGATTTCCAAAGTTTTATAAAAAGATCCTCCAATTCCTCAACTTGATTCTTTTCGAGACAGAATACTACATCATATAGGATCTCTAGTGTCTTATAGTGCTATTCACACAAGGTCATTGATCTCAAAATATTTCTAGGCAAATGATCTTAGTATTCTGAATAAGATGGGTGAATTACCAAAATTGCAATTAGAATATCTAGAATAAATAATGTAAGCTGATAGAAAAAAGTATTAATCCAATACAGAATTTTTGAAGTTGTACATAAAGTTGCTTTGCTAAATAAAACCAGAGAAAGTGTTAAAGGAACTTTAAGAATAGGAATATCCTTTAGATGATATAATCGTAGTATTGAAATAATATCCTGTGCCTAATGCTTTGGTATATTTACATGAAAGATCAGGAGCAATAACAGAAGCAATCAGTGTAAAACTAGACGACTTTATTTAGAAAATACAATAGAAAGCATTTTAAAGTAAAGTATGTATTTAATTTGAATGATTTAGAGTGAATTTTATTGTTATTTTTTGGAAATTTGCAACATTTGCTTTAGGAATAACAAATTAGATGAATTGGATGAATCTTGGGATATGGTGACCTAATGCATATTGGAACTCTCATAAAATAGATATACTCCATAACCATACCCATCTTATTTGGAGGAATATATTCCAATATTGTTAAAGAAGTGGGCAGAATGCAGCCATTTGGATGCCTTTCTTGATAAAATTACTACTAAATACATGAGATTAAGTTCATCTAAACTTAAAATGACTTTCTAATCTATGTATAATCATTTCAATTTCTCCTCTACCGTTTATACCAAATTGGTAGATATCAACTTTATTAAATGCATTAAAAACATGAGAAACCTGGTTCATTTATAACTGTAAGGAAAGGGTTTCTTGCCTGGTTGTTATTAATGTCAAAGCTATTATGAATATCATTTACAATTGGAATCAATCGTTCTTCTAGCTTGTGGTCACACCTTCCATTATAATTGTCTGATTTTGGATGAGAAAGCACATTATCATTGTCCAGTTTGTTTGAAGAATCCTAGAATCGCTATGGTTCATTTCCTTTATCAATTGAAATCCAAAAAATATTTACTTAAGACTGAAAATTAACAAAAATAATAAACTTAACAGAATCAAAACCCTGTGGTTGTGAATATCATTAAATAAGGATAAAAAAAACAATTGGAAATTGATGAGAGTCTCAAGCTTATACAACATGAAAGTTAGGAAGAAATTAGCAGAATGAAATAATTTGAAAAGTTAAAAAAATTTGAATAATAAAAATTGGGTAGATTGAACAGAGCTTGGTAAGGAGTTATGCCTTATTGAAATAATGATATAAGTAATTTAAAAATGAATTTAGATTTTTAAATGTTATGAATGTTAGTTATATAATAAATAATGAATTTCATGAATTAAACTTTTAGCAGAATCAGACCTAAAACAACAGATTCTAAGATTCGAAATTCCTCCAATCATTAATTGATCTCTCAATTGTTTCAACAAATCAATTCTTATTATGAGTAAGAGGAGAAACCAAGACCAAAAACTCAATCTAGATAAAGAAAAATGATTCCTTTGAATTATTCACAATCTGATACTTATGACCCTACAGACAATTTAATCGATCGATTGTGTCCTACTATTTAACAAGATGCAAAATTCATTTTTATCAAAACAAGGGAAAGAGCCTTGCGCTAACCATCTTCGGGTTCAAGAAGAAAAAAAATGATCGAGGAACCAAAATTTCAACTTAATCCAATAAAGAAAACCACCATAATTTAAGAAATCACCGAATAGACTGCTCCGCCTAAAAAGACGATTGAATAAAAGACTGATCATTCATTTTATCTTGTCAAGTAGTTGCATATTTATATTTAGTTCTATTAATATGCTCTAAACAATGAAAAAAGATAAAATGAAATTATTTAATTGCAGTTTTAATTGACTTTTTATTTTGCTATTAAATATACGTGTTAAATTTTAATGAGCCATCCTTCAACCCTTCTTGAATATCAACCAGCCAAATAACCCAATCCCAACATAATAAAATTGCTCACTCAACATCAAGACTTGTTTCTCATTCAGAATTAACCCCCTTCTACCTTAGGAGCTCCATACCCTTTAAAATTGGATGCCAAGGAAATGCTCATAGAAGTTCAACCAGATCAAAAATTCACTCATCCAAAATACTTCTAAAAAGATAACAAAGTTCAAAAAATTACAAAATAACCTTCATAGCCTGCCTCCACTATCTTTGTGGAAAGTGGGCTTTGTGATCCAAATAAGAAAGCTTGGTATTACTTGGACGAAGCTTAAAAGTCACAAGGACCTTTCACCTCAGCAGAAATTGATTAATTGATCACTAAAGGCACTATCAACATGCAAACTAAAGTTGCTTTGGAAACATTGGATAAATTGGTGAGAGTTGAAAAGATTATTTAAGCAGTAAATAAAAAAAAAGAAGCTGATTAAAAATTAAAAGAAGCATAAAAATAAAAATAAGAAGAAGAAAATCAATAAAAATCACTTGATTCACCTACCAAAATCGAAAAATAAGAAGAACTGAAACTTCAATAAATTAAATAAAAAGAAGAAAAAGGAATCGATTTCGAAATAGACTATTCAAAGATCAAATAAAATATTGAAATAGGATAATGGGCTAAGCCATTAGTTGCACAACCTATTTAAGTCAAAGTTACTAAGGCTTTTACAAATAATCCATAATAATCAAAGCAATAATAAAAATAAACTAATAAACCTACTGAAAGAAAGCGAAGTGACAACAAGAGCATGCACGTGGAAGGAAATAAAGGAAATTTATACTAAAAAAAAGGATATGAAAAGTAATTTAAATTTTAAACTTATTAGATAAGAGGAAGTAATTTTGGAGGCTAAACCAAAGGAGGAGTCAGATGCCACTCTAAATTAAGAAGTTTAAGATTATTTAAAGAAATTGGAATCTAAAAAACCAGAAAAGGCAAAAGAAGAAACCTAGTAATAACCAGAAAAAAAACCGTAATAACAATAATCTTAAGTTCAAAAAACACAGAAATTGAAAACTGAGCCTCCTAAATAAGAATAGAAATTATAAACTAAATAATAAGCTGAGAAAGTTGATAGTGCTGATGAAGAGTGGGAAATTGTTGGAGCAAAGAAAAATACACAAACTAAAAAGGAATAATAATAAAAATAAACAACAAAAGTAGAATAGTAGACAAATTAACAAAAAAAATAGGAATAATAATAACAACAACAATAATAATAATAATAATAATAATAATAACAATAATAATAAAAATAGGAATAATAATAAAGTGAAGAAGATGATGATGAAGATGAGGATGGATGGTAAACTGTAGGTGCATCAAATAAAGATAAAAAAAAGCCAGTCAATAAAAAGATTTAATAAAAAAATTCACATATTCCTGGATTTGCTGTTGAAATCAAAACAGATTCAATCACAGTATCTTCTGGTTCAGCCAAGAAGCCACCTCCTTAAAAATAAAAAAAACCTGAGGCAGTTTAACAATAGCAACCATAATAATCGCAACCTTAAAATTAACCTTAAAATAATTAAAATGATGATGATGATGAGGGTTGGATTGAAGTAGAAGTAGGTCAAGCACCAAAAAAGGTTACCTAATCTAAAAAAGGAAAATGATACCTTTAGTATAATATGTTAAATAAATAATAGTAAATATAATTTAGATTTATTGAAATCGTAAATCTATATATATTTCTTTTTATTATAATAAATAGAATACCCTTTTTTCAATGAACTGGTTTCTTCATAAGAAAAAATGTTGTTTTAGTATAAATAATAGACAAAATTATTATATTTCTTATAGGTTTTGAGTATTATTCTCAAATGATCATCCATTTATGAATAAAATTCAATTTCTAATTTCAATAGGAAGTGGGAATTTTTATAGAAATTTTTGTAAAGAAAAAGAATCTTCGAATAATTAAATTATTAATTCATTAGAATATGATAAAAAGTTATCAACTCATATTTGCATACATACGCAATCGGTTGAGAGTCTATTTTTAGATTTCATAATAATCTCGAAAAATAATTATATTAGTTGAGCAAAGGTATATCAGAATGATAAATCTTGAGTTTCTTAACTCTGATTTATCGATTTGATTTATCCGACTTTTATACAAACGAAGTCTATTGGCTCTTTGGGAAAAATACAGTCTATTTATTAGAGAAGTGCTTCTTAATGATTTATTCCACTGGTGATGAATCAGTGTATTCTTAATTTTATTTTATTTTATTTATGTAAAATGGATTCTCATTCATATGCACAGTCCTTTCAGTGTTATACCTTTCCGTTTTTATTTGGTAAACCCGTTTTTATAATTATTAATTTTTTATTTTAACCTAAGGGACTCTTATTGGCTGTAATGGAGCAATCAATTATTTCTTTTCTTTCAATTTAAACCATGGACCTAATTCATCGAAATTATGACCTTGGAAGTCTAATATGAATTAATTAGAAACCTTCTTACTCATCAAAGAGCATTGATGTTTACAAAGCTAAACTACACTTGTTCATTAATTGTTTTATAAACTTGAAATTTATTAAAAAATAAAATTTACTCAAGTTCTTTGAAAATGAATGAAAAAGATAGTGTGGAGGCTTGGCAAGTTATTAATAATACAGAACTTAATATAAAATTAAGAGCTTGTAACTATATTAAATGATTAATATTATACTTAAAATATATATAAGAACTCGGTAAAATATATAGTAAAGGACTAAATATAAAGATACTAAAATCGTCTTTATAATTTTTTTCTATTATTATTCAAATAATATTTTCAGAAAATATTTTAGAAATAATCTTTGATCTAATAATTATTAAAAATTTTCAGGTATTTGATCAAGTTGCTCAAAATTTTTATTAAATCTGAAAATATTTAGAATTTAATAAAGTTTTTGAAAATTTAGATATACTACTAATCTAATAGAGTAAAAGTAATTAACAATTTATTATTTCAGAAGATTAATATGAAAAATTACTTTCAAAAATTTTAGCATGAGGATTACAAAATCAAAGTTTTTTTTCCATTGAGTAAAATATTTAGTAATTCAAACAATCTTATATCGCCATCTAATTTTTAGGTTTTAATAACACCAATCAAAATATATAACTATGGGTCTTATATTTCTTCATTATAAAATGAAATAATTACTTTGATTCTTTTATTCAGAAAATATAAGATGAATTTATTCTCTCAATTCTTTCATTGTCATAAAACAAGACAATTGTGAGAGGTCAAACTTAAATTCAAATTCCGTATCATTATGCAAAACAATGATATCAATCAAAAAAACTGATTCCTAAATACTAAAAAATTATACTAATTATGCATTCGTAAATTTCGATAATGCTTTCCAAACTCTAACTTATAAATCATTCATTTTCAAATATTGCTAAGGACTAAGAGTATAGTTAATAAATTACTCATGAATGGATTTGATTTAACTGACAGAGATTGACACGTCATTAGATTCAAAAGTAACAAATGAATTTCTCCTTTATTACCTAGGACTTTAATTATTATCTCCTTTTGAGGAAGTGGAAGTCTTACGAAATGATGAAATATCAATAATTCTGCCCAATTAACTTGATTCAAAACTTGTGGTTCTTTCAACATCTGATGTCTCTGATTCCAAATGAGTGTGATTATGATTCATAGACACTTTTTTTAATATTGGTAAGCCAGACATTTTCTTCATATATGAAATATTAAATTTAATATATATATAAATTCAATTACAATAATTTGATGATTACATTTACGTAATTAATTAATTTAATTTTTTAGTTTAGAAAGTATCTCATTTGCTATGTATGATTCCAGTTAATTATGAACTAAAATTAATTCATTATTGAAATCGAAATGCAATTACAATACTTATCATTTCCACTCAAATAAATATCAAGATAATTAATCGTAAATCTATAATTGATAACAGATATTAAAATGATATATTTATCTTGTTGATCTACCTTAAATAATTCATAAATATAGATGAAGAATGAAATGTAAACATTTTCACTTTTGTCAAAATTGATATAATGGTAATTATCAAGTAAGATTAATTTCTAATAAAATTGAAACATAAATTACAACTCTGCTCAAATAATTGATTAAATTGATTTCCAATTTTTTCGAGCTTTTGAAGTTTTAAAAGCACATTCCACTTCTTAAATCTAATTTCCTTTTGGTTCTCTCATCTATTTAATTACCTTTCATAAGGTTAAAGTATTTATATCCTTATTTTTTAAAAGAATTTTGAATAGCTCATCATATTTAAGATTATTTTATGATTAATTATTCGATAACTAATAAAAATAGTAATATTATTAATGAGTAAATCATAACCAATATTTATATATGGGATTCCAATCAAGGATGATAGGGGGAAGTTGAAGAACTGTTAATTATGTGGAGCAAAATTCACAATGTCAGTTAAAGAACATTAATGTAAGAGGTAATTAATATTTGTTGATCCATAGATGCAAAAGAGCAGTTTGTGATAAATGTGCTCCTAACAAGGCTCAAGTTTAGAAGGCAGATGGCCTATCGAAGAAATCTCATCGTCTCTGTAACTTTTGTAAAGACGTAATATCTATATTTCAATATTTAGGAAAGTGACTCACTAAAAAGATTCTTGGAACAATACAAAATCAGCTTTAACAAGGATTCATTCTCTCAATAATGGCTATAATCATTTGGAACTGATACTGCAAAAGCCAAAAACGTAATAATTTGAGACTTAACTAAAATTTAGGATTTCTTGAATGCATTAGATGATGCAAAGCTATCTAAAGATACAAATGCCTATGATATCTTCAAAGCCAAGTTAGAAGTAGTAATAAATGACATTGATGGATTTGTGAACTATTCCATCAAAGATTTTATGGTCGCTGCTTTGAAAAATGTGGAATCATTTCGGCAAAAAGAAGTAGTCAAAACTTCAATTTTGAGGGTTGCTGGCACACTTCTATTATTGTATCCTCAAATTGGATATTCGCACGAAGTAGTACTCATTACGTATTTTCTCCTTTGCTTTGCATCTGAAGCATCTGCATATATACTCTTAACTGCTATATATGCCCATATCCTCCCATCTCAATTGTATCCAAAGGCTAACACTAAATATGATCTCGTTAATGAAAATGCCATAGTGGTTGGCATTTTGAGAGATGCCCTTCAAGTCGATTCAAATGACATGAGTGTGATTAAGAGTTTCCTCTCATAGAAGCTCAGATGCTACTTAGTTACGTTGAGTATTAATCTCTTTTTATTTGAAACTACCTTTTTCATTATAAGTTCTGTATTAATGTCTGGTTCAAATGGTTATATGGATTTACTGGCTCAGATGGCTGTTTTATGTTAATTATCAAATCAGGAGATGCAGAAAAACAAATTCAATCATGAAGAAACAGAGTTGTTCATGCTCAGATCACTTAGAACTAATCAATTAAGTGTACTTTATAAATAAACTTAAAATTGTGATTTTGAAAGTTACAAGAAAGTTTACATCACCACACGATCAGATTCAATCAAAGTGGATAATTTGAATTTGAGTGCTCGTTAATCTATGATAAAACCAGATATGTAGAAAGTAAGTGAAATCAATTAGAAACTCTAAGAATAAGTTGATAGAAGGGATTTAGAGAATAAAAAGTTGAATGAGGAGATCATTTAATTAAGAGATAAAGTCAAATAATTACAAAAGGAGAATTCTATACTTTTAAGTTAATAATAAAATAATGATTCTGAAATGTATAAAATTAAGTTGCATGAAATGAGAATTGACAATTCAGATTTGAAATCATAAATTGAATAATTGAAAAATGAAATTTCTAAGTATAAGTTATAAATTGAGGGTGGTGCAAAAGAGAAAGCAACAAAATAAAAAACTGAAACTGTTGATAGTGATTATGAAAATGATTTGTAGGAGATATCTCAATTCAAATAAAAATATGAACAATAAATAAGAAATCTCAAAAAATAAGCGGAGGAGAAGAAATAGTAAAACCAACCTAATCAAATTTAAATTGATGAATTGAAAGAGAATTATGAAAATAAAATTAAATTACTTTAAAAATAAGTAATCTAATTATAATCGTAAGATAATACTGAAGAAATAAGAGATTTGAAAATCCAAAACCAACAATTGCAAAAAAAATTAGAAAAAATGAAAGATGAAAGGAATAAAAGCGAATTAATTTAATAAAAAAATGATGAAATCGAATTAATAACTGAACTGAATGAAGAATTAACTAAGGAAAATTAAAGATTAGCGAAACAATTAAGAGATTTAAAATCACAGAGTGGTGCTTCAAGTGCCTAATAGATAAAGGTATTAGAAGAGTAAAATAAGTTATTAGAGTTAAAATTGGAATAATATCAAATATTGATATAAGAGTTGGTTAATATAATTGATAAGGTAAAGTATCAAAAATAGAAGTAATTGGAATTCTCGGATATGAAGTTTAAGTAAAAAGAAGACTTAGAAGATGTCAAAATGGTTGCTGAGATAAGAACAGTATAAACTCAATTATTGAAGGGAATGCTTAAAGAAAATCAAGCTTAGATAAGTGATTTGATATCCAATATAACGCAAATGCGCCAGGTTCTCGAAAAATCAAAATCATTAAAACTTTGAAATATAATATATAACAAATAATAAATATAAAACATTGTTTATAATGAAGACACTATTAAATAATAAGAAATAACTAGGATAATAGGAAACATAGACCAAGTAATTGTAGAAACATGAATCAGCTGCAACAGTTAATCTAGTCTACCCCTAGTTGAAGCAACAGAATAGAATAACATCTGCATATTACTCAGCGAAGTTGATAAAAGGTAGCATCACCTTTCGATATTCTTAGGTCTTCCATTAAGTGCACAACCTATTGCGAGACCTATAAAAAAGGTTCCGCAGTTGCAATATCCTTTTTTTCAAGAACCCCCACAATTTTAAATGCAATCAATACATGATGAGGATGTATAACAATCAAAGCAAACTCAAGAACCTGAATTTGAGATTAGAGCTACAACAGCTCCTGAGGGGGCGCAAAGAAAGCCAAAACTTGTTTAAGATTTCAGACAATTAATTTAACAAGTGCCATAAGCAATTAAGATGGAACCGACAGTAGGACAATTTGTCATTTAAAATAGATTTCCTGAGTATATTGTAAGATATGGAAAATTAAATATATTAGAATGATTTTGATGAATTTACAGTGAATCCCCATGTTCATAAACATATGGAAAGATTAAAATCATCGAATAGATTAGTGCAGTATCAATAATTGCCTCGTAATCAATCTTCTAAATTGGAGAGACAGAGAGAACTAATTGAGAAAACAATATCAAATAGGCCAGTTCAATCATAATAAATAAAGAAAAGAAAGTTATTACCTGACAATAGACCAAAGACAACAAACTATAAAAGAGAGAATCCCTTAGGCGATTGTTGGAAAGACTTGGCATAAAAGGTTGTGATCTAGGCAAATGAAGCAAATAAACCTAGGGAAGAATCACTACATGAATAAGAGAAGTCATTAACTCATTTGGATTTAGAAACAAACGTATTGACACAGAAAGAAAAAGAATACATAAAGAAGAAAAGAAAGCAATTTTTAGATGATTTGCGACCATATTTGGAGATGAAGCAAGCTTAGGCAGAAAAAAAGAGAGCAATGGCCAAAAGAGAGGTATTATTAGACAAATTTGATTAACATAATTCATTATTAAGTGAGTTAGAAGATGATGGGGATTTAGCAAAAGAAGAAAGTTTTGAAATGTTAGATGATGAGATCTAAATATTTAATAAACCTTTAGTTGAATAATAAAATTTTTTTGCTAAAGTGGATCCAATAAATAGATCATTTGAATAGTAATTGAAGGAGACTCAATAGAAATTTGAATAAATGGTCAAAGAGGATAACAAATTATATGAGGATGCTTAGAAAAATAAGGTAGATAAACCAGCACCATTTTTAAAGGTCGGAGATCATTTCTCATTAGATGAAATCAATTTAGTGTTAAGAGAATTAAAGAAATCAGTAGATGATAGGAATTATGAATGTAAAATATATAAAATGTATAATTTAAGTGTTGGATGGCATTTGCAAAAACTTAAAATTCTTTTGGTAGTTCAGTAAATAAACAAGAATTCTATTGTTGAAATTGAGTTCTTTGGTTTTTTACAAATGTGGTGAATATATCTTTTATGAAGGAGATGTTGGAGAATAAATGTACATAATTCTTAATGGGGGTTGCCATGTAAGAATTAAGAACCCACATGTGGCTGATTGTAATCCGATTGTGAGCACTCTTTACACAGGATAACAATTTGGTGAATTGGCTTTGATCGATCCAAACACTAAAATTAATAGACCTGATCAAAACTAGTTACATTCAAATAGCAAATACACACTAAATATGATAAGAGGGGAGATGTAGAGATAAGAATAACAGAAGGAAAAGGCTAAGAATTGGTGGAAGAAAGATTACAATGAGGAAGAGAAATAAGAATAAGTTAAAATCTAACCGAAGAGAAGTGCTTCAATTGAATGTGCAGTTGACACTTATTTATTGGCTATCTCCAGAGATTACTTCAAAAGCATCATCCTGAATGTAATTACCTCAGAACTTGAAGATAAATTAAAGACATTATTGACCATGCCATGTTTTGATGTATTACTGCAACTCATTATTCTAGTTTCTATCTTAAATGGAATTGATACCTATAGCAAATCTATTGGAAAGTGAAACCTATAGATTGGGCCAAGTGATTTTGAAAGAAGGGGAACCACAGAAATACTTTTACATTGTTGCAAGTGGGAGATGTAAGTGTGTGAAGGAGGAGGTGTTTATTAGAGATTTGAAAGTGATGAGAGCTGATGATCCAAATAAGAAGAAGCCATTGAAATGTGGTTTAATAGATTGTAATCAAACATCAATATTAGAGACGCTTAAATTAGGGAGGACAAGAAAATGAGAGTGAAGAATACGTCCTTAGATTTAGAGAATGTGCCTGGATTAGGGATACCCCAATCATTTTAATATTAGGAAATATATAAAAATAAAGAGTATATGGCATTCAAATATCATTTTCTTTATAAAGAATTTGTAAGAGGTGATTTCTTTATGGGAAGAGTGCTACTGAATGAATATAAGTTATTTGATGAGGATATTATGGAAATGAAATATGATCTATCGGAAAGAAGTAGATTGACAGTGATTAGCGATGCAGCAAAGACTGAGGTGTATAAATTGGATAAGGGACTCTTTCATTTGGTTAGCCAACCTTTGAAACAACATTTGATTGATGGAATTAAGAGGAAACCTGAATTTGATCATATTTTTGATGCTGAGGAGGCAAAGAAAGTTAAGAAATGGGATGCCTATAAGATGAATCTATTTAAAGCTGTGATGGAGTAAAAGGAATTGAAAAATTGATTTTTTTTTAATTAATTCATTATTACGATGAAATCTGGATTATGGGACAATATGAGAAAGATGGTCACTCTCATTGATGATCTAAGAGATTGCGGTGTTTAAGATTACATAAAATTGCCAAGAATATGTGTTGTGGGAATGTAGAGTGCAGGAAAGAGCAGTTTATTGGAAAATATTTGTGGATTGGATTTCTTACCTAGGGGTGATGTAATTGATTAATTGCTATTCAAAAAAGGGTGTTGTAACTCGTAGACCTTTGGAATTACGTCTTGTACATATTCAAGAAAGACTGACACCTTGGGCAATCTTCAAGGAAGTACCAGATAAAAAGTTTACAGATTTCACCAAAGTTCGTGAAGAAATTGATAGATTAACAGACTCGAAGGCTGGATAGAAAAAGAGTAAAATCATTGTTTGAGCATAGATATCTTACCTGACCCTATCGAATTGACAATATGGTCACCTGATTGTCCAGATCTTACAATTATAGATTTGCCAGGAATTACTCTGATCCCATTGAAGGATTCTGATCAACCTGACAATATCGAAGAAATTACATTAAATATGTGCAGAAGGTATATCTCATTCATGAAACTATAGATATTGCGAAGATGAGCGAACTATCATTCTATGTGTAATGCCTGCAAGTTAGGATATTACGACATAGAGATCTTTGAAATTAGCTCGTCAACTTGATCCAGATGGTATCAGAACCATCGGTGTAATCACTAAAATCGATATTATGGGAGAAGGTTCGGATGCATCCAAAGTTTTGTTGAATGAGGAAGTCAAATTGAAATTAGGATATATAGGAGTCAAAAATCGAAGCTAATAGGATATCATTAATAAAGTTCCTGTTTAAAAAGCACTTCGTCAAGAAGAGGATTACTTTGCAAGTGATCCTAGATATGCAGGAATCCCTTAAGATATTTTAGGAACCAGAGCCTTAATTGAAAAATTGACAACTGTCTTATATCAACACATCAGAAGGTGTTTACCTGATATTATTAGGGAAATAGATACTAAGGCTGATGAATGTGAAGATAAACTCAAATTGCTTGGTACCGAATTACCAAGAGATTAAAAAGACAAAGTCTAATTAGTTTTTAATTTGCTTTAAGATTATACAGATGGATTTAAAAATACTATGGATGGAAAATACGATAAAAATGAAGCTACTATTACTGATGAGGAAAAGAAAATTGAACTCACAGGAGGAGCAAAAATTAAACAAATGTTTAACGAACTCTATCAAGAATATGCAGATGAAAAATATCATGTCACTGATTGTTATCTAGATAGAGATATTGAATTAGCTGATCAATTACATCAAGGAGATAGCATTCCAGGATTCCCATCTTTTGATAGTTTTCTCTACTTAATTGTGCCTTAAGTTCAAGCACTCATCAGACCTGCTTAAGATGTTCTAGATCAAATATTCTAATATATGGACGAAATCAGTTAGCAAATCTTAAGAAAAGTATTCAATCCTCTTTTATTTAGGTATTCACTAGATTCCCTTCAGTCCTAGACGAAATCTCAGAAATGAGTCGCAAAGTCATTGAGTCTCAAAGAGCCAAAGCTGAACAAGTTGTGATCAATTAAATTGAAGCAGAAATGAATTACATTTATACCAACGATGAAGAATACTTAACAACCAAGGCAGATCTTGTTTTTAAACAAAACTCTAAGACAGTTGATCCAAAAAAGATCTTAGTTAGGGAACTCAGAAATAGAGTTGATCTCTATTACAAAATATTAATCAGAAACCTTAGAGATAGCATTCCAAAAGTAAATAGCTTCTCTAATAGTTTTAGTATATTGGGTATTACTTGGTCAAATAAACTTTGGACAAAATGCAATTGGTTTTATACGATCAAATGAATAAGAGTGACAATGTTTTCTAAATGTTAGAAGAAGTAATTGCATTGTTATTTATGAATTCTAGCCTGTCTACATCCTCTAAGAAAGATAACAACACCAAAAAACGTTGAAAGCATTGAAATAGGCAAAGAAAGTACTTAAATAAGACCCAGAGTAATTATTTTATCCATTATGCAAGTCTTTCGAAGGGCCGTGGTTGATTGAACATATTATAACATATTAAAATAATAAGTTAACATATTAAATAAGATTTAAAAATAATTAAAAAAATATTTATTGACCAATGGTGAAAATGAATGTCCTCAATGATTGCCTCCGTTCTATTGTGAACGCTGAAAGGTTGTACTTGTTGTCCTAACTTTTTTAAGACAAGGAAGAAAGCAAGTGCTCATTAGACCCACATCCAAATTAGTTGTGAAGTTCTTATAAGTTATGCAAAGACACGGCTACATTGGCGAATTCGAAATCGTTGATGATCACAGAAGTGGCAAGATTGTTGTTGAATTATTGGGTATCCAATAATCATTAAATTCAAGGACGCATTAATAAATGTGGTGTAATCTCTCCTAGATATGATGTTACATTAGGAGAATTTGAAAGATGGGCTAACAACATTCTACCTGCTAGACAATTTGGTTGTGTCGTCCTTACAACCAATGTTGGAATCCTTACACACGAAGAAGCCAGATAAAGACATATTGGAGGTAAAATCCTTGGTTTCTTCTATTGATATCATTATAAACAAGTAGTACAATAAATATTTATGTATTTATCTAAGTAACTGGATATAAATTAATAGTTCATTTATATATTCTATATTTTTAATCTTATTAAAAAAATCTCTTTTGTCATTTTAAAGCAATTTTACAACATAGTTCCCAATCTCTACTCATCCACACATAGCAGTTCAGAAAAAACAGGAAGGTGTAGCGAATGCTTTATCATGTTACCTCTTTGATTTAATACATTTATTTATGTATAAAAATTAAATAAATTCTAAATTGAGATATTTTTATAACATTACGTATCAGAGATTAAGAGTTTATTTATCAAAAAATTATGAAAATCGTAAGAAATCTATAATAAGAAATGCACTATTTCTAATAAATTTAGCTATATGTGAAGAAACTTTTTAAATAATAATAATTTTAATGTTTTGTTGGTTTTTCATTATTTTCCTTTTCTATTTTGAACAGGTGCTTGATTACTAACTGCATGTTCCTCAATAAGGGATTCACCTACATATTCATTAACTCTCTTTTTCAAATACTCATTGACTGTTGCAATCTTCTCTCTATAGATTAAAAGAGATTCCTCTAATAATTAGTTCTCTTCATGTCTCTTCTCTTTTTCAGAATTGTACAATTTCTTCTTGTAATTATATTCCTCTAGAAAAGTATAGTAGTGAATCGTTACCTTGAGTCAAACTTAAGATTCTCATGCTTTATTCTTGGAGTTCCTTCTTTTTGGTTAAAATATCTGAAGCTAATTCCTTATCATTTTAGAGTGAGTTCAAGAATTTAGCTTTGGCGTCGTATTCTTATTTAAGAGATTCTTATTCTGCAAGCAAGTTGGTTTTGAAATCAGCAAAGTCATTGGCAGATTAGATTTCTTATTCTTCTAAGCCTTTGATTGTTTCTCTCAATTTTTCAATTAATTATTGGATGATTCCAACTACATCCTTTTCGACTAATGAAGCTAATTATTCTCCATTGCCATGTGATCCTTAAATTTTAATATGGAAAAACTACTTGTTTATGCAAATGAAGTTTCTTGTTCACCTAATTTAACAAAGTCTTAGACAGCTTGCTCTTCAAACAAGTTTGCATACTTGCTCAATTTCTCTGCATAATCTCCAATGTGACTCTTTTCTACAAAGGTGCTTTATTTGCTTTGAGCATCACTTCTGACCCAATCAAGAACTGAAAGAGCATTTTTGTATTCTCTAAGAGTATCAATGAAGAGAGCATTGGCTTCGCATCGTTATTCAGCCAAATTTTCAAGCTTGACTTCATTTGCCTTATATCGCTTGTTATTCCAATTCAAGTAATCAGTTGTTTATTGGATCTTAAGACTTGATGTTTTTTAATGATAAATAAATACTCGACAGCTTCTAAGTCCTATTAGGCTGCAGCAGCACTCTTTGAATTCACATTAACAATTCCTGAGAACTCATTGATGTCCTGTAAAATGGCTGATTCAAAACGTTAGAAGGTGAGGTCTGCTTTATCTTGGGCTTCAACATTTGCGCCCTACAAGTCTTCAAGTAAAGTTAGCACTGATTGAATGGCATCTTGAGAACTTAAGACATTTGTTTTAGAACTAAGTAAATTCAAAAAGTCTGTATTGATCTTCTTGGGACTGCAAAATACGCTCTAACTTAAAAGGAGAATGACTAACACTCCTGAAATACTCTTCATTCTTTATTCAATAATAATAATATTTATATAAATACCGTTTTTATACATTAATATACTTGCTCATTAGAGAACACAATTCAATCTCTGGGAAAATTAAATTTACAATAATTGGAGTTCATTAGACATAGAAGATATTCGAAGCAGAAATTAAATGGGGAGAATTAAAATTCAGATATATTCCATGATATTTGAAGAAATGATAAATTTCTATTTATTAAATTAATTAAGAGAGTACGTAATTTTATTCATTCTAAATTTATCCGAATATGAAATCTAGTAGAAATTAAACCAAACTTAAAGGAATATGCCTCTTAGATTTTGATTGAAGTATTCAATAAAACTGTTTGATAAATAAGACAAGTGGAGATTATAAATTACTATATGATTTATGAATGATAGTAAAAATAAATCTTAAGTTAAATTAATAATTCTTTGATAATTTGTTGTTGTATTATTCAAATATCAGGAAGGGGTTGATTGCATCCAGACCATTTGTTCATTACCTTCTTACCATCCTTAATGTCAAACCACAAATCTCCAATAATACCAATGTCCCTCAAGAATCTACCACTTGGTGAATGATAATCTTAATAAGTATCAGTATCATCAGTGTCCTAGATGTAAATATGATAAGTATTACTTCACTATCAGGGAAATTGAGAGGGGGTGGGTGAGTGATTCTCCAGTGATCTTCATCTGGATATCTTTGGTAAAGGAATTCAACCCCTAAACAGAATAAGATGGAGAATATTACAGAAATAGACAAATGGCATAGTAGCCATGGCAGCCCATGGCCACATAGGTCCTCTCTTTCTGAAATGCTATGTCCTGAAGCTCTCAGTTTAGAAATCACAATCTTCTGATTCATAATCAAATTCATGGTTCACATCAGCATCTTAGTCTTGTTAGGCTGCAGTCAAATGTTAGATTGGTTGTCCTACTTATTTGTTTTCTGGTTTTAATAGAAGTGAGGGGTTGTAAAGATGATCTTAAGGCAAGGCTTCAGAGGGATTGAAATGAACAAGCTTTCCTTCGAATGGCCATACGTATGTTTTTGGATCTGGACAACCAACATGTTTTGTTGGGGTGATGTAGTCTGGATTGTATTTTGGATCGTCTCTCCAGTCATAGGGTTTGCCATGAGCTTCATTGTAATTGACACCTGGATAATGCATATAGCCAGGACCCTCTAAGATTCAATAATGAATTATTACACTCAAAATAGGTATACAAATTCTGGTGATCTAAATGTTGAGTAATTGTATTGAATTCCACCTTGGGTCTGCCTCTACCATGAGGTACTCCATGTCCATGATCACCATGTCCATGACCATGATCTCCATGTCCATGATCTTCATGACCGTGATCTCCATGATCGCCATGATCTCCGTGGTCGTCATGATGTGCAAAAGGATTGGGTACTCTAGTAGAATTAGCAAAGGTTTGAATTGTGACTTGTCTAAGTTGATTCTTCAATCCTCTAGATAAATGAATCATTTAATTTTAATTATACACATTCAGAATATCTTAATTATCTGTTAGATGAATTCAAACAATAGCACGGTTTCGCATTTGTCCGAAAACTACGAAACCAAATATTACCTTAACGATTAAGAGAAAGAAAATAAGAATATTTAAATACCAACTTTTAAATAATACTACGAACTTAATAATACAACAACTTTGAATACAATCACATAAAAATTAACTAACACCTTAAGTGAAATTTAAGAAACTGAAAACTCATTGTATGAAACCCTATAGAAAACTGAGATCACTGAAGAACAAAGGTAACAGATTAAATTAAGAATAATAAAATTATAAATGTTGCAAGTCATTGCCTAGTTTAAGACAGAAACCAAATCAAATTTATCTGCACTTTAAAGAGAATTAAGAGAAATTTAAAACTACATACTTAATGAATTGCTTCAATTTTGATTACTTCATATAACATATTAAGTTAATAAATTTTCATTTAGTAGTGAATGCATATTTTGAGGATGATCTCAAATCAACTGCTGATAATTTACTAGCACTTAATCTCAACTATTTTTTGTATCTCTCCTTACTCTCTACCAATTATTTAGATTGTCGATAATATTTCTATTGACTTAAAAATCTAGCCTAATCAATCGGGAAATTGCTCAATAAATCCTTCTACCTAATGATCTCATCAGGTTTATGAAGAGCTAACATTTCAGAAAACTTCAAATCTGCTCTCGGATTAATCTTTTTAAAGATTTCATCAGTCTTATCAATATCTGGTTGATTTTGTAAGTCTGATTCGCATTTATCAATAGCCTTACTATATTATTCTCTGAAGTAACCTACAACTTCATCAAAAGCCTATTTTAAATATTTCTATCTCTAGTGATTGACAACCACTTCACCCTCCCTTTGCAACTTCTCCTTCTCCTCTATTTCTCTTAAGACTAGCTATTTATAATCTGGATTAATCAAAGATATCTCCTTCAATATCATTTCATCCCACTCAATCTTTCTAACATCTATAAACTATAATTATCCTGCATCGATTATATACAGATTATCGAAATCATCCCTAGCAAAATCCAATCTCAATTTCATTATCTTTCGCTGATGATATGCTTCAAAAAAATGGACAATCTAATACATATGATAACTAATAATATAATAAAGTATTACTATAAATATTGTGACATACTCTTCTTCTTTAATTCCTTTAAGTATAGTTCATGTTGACGGATGTGATTGCCTGTCTAAAAATTTGGGTTGTTTATTTAGCAAATCTATTCCAAGGCTTTATCATATTAGTCTTAATATTTGATATCATCCTTGATGTATGTGATACGTTGATATCTAGTCTTATTTAATTCATTTAGTTTCAATTTCTATTCTTCAGTTAACTTCATACTATCATCAGCTATTTTTGTCCTGCTTAACTTCGCTTCAGTTGGCTTTTCTTCTTCCTTTATTTTCTTTGGGTCTTTACAAAGTGATTATTTTGATATCCTATTATTCTCATATTTTTCTGGATTCTCCTTGGCTTTAAAAATAAGCTTTCCATAAAAATCGTATGGGTAGGCTTGAATCATAACTATTGTATCCCAAATTGAATCTATTTTTCTCTTTTCAAACAATTACATTGCTGCTAACTAAGACATTATCTATTCTCCACCATTCTTGAATTTAACCAAAATGAAATCCTTCTAGATTCCAATATTCTAAACATACTTCTTAATTCCTTATTAAATTTCAGCGCTCTTCTAATCAAATTCCAAATTATTGAAATCTTTATTCTCTCTTTTCTCTGTAGCTGTCCTTAAGTCTATATCATATTCTGTTCTCCTTTTTACTAAAAACTATCCTAGTTCTTATAAATTTGTTAATAAATGTCTGTCTCTTATGATTCTAAGACCTTTGTCTTTATCGTGATAAATCAACACGCAAGGTTCTCGTTAATAGAAGAATAATGTATCCATGACTCTCATATTCAAGGTCTTACCATTTTTTGTTGGCTACATCATTTTAATCGAAAGACCCAAGAAATCAATAGGATCTCTAATTTATGGTAATAATTATGATCCTCCATCTTTCTTCATAAATCTCACATGAGTCTATTCATCAGGTAGATATCGATCACTTGGTTAATCGTAGAAATCATCATAAATCAAATCCTTTTTTAATTGATTGTCAGTCATTAATTGATGGTGACATATTGAGCAATCGCAATTAAATTTGGAATGTATGTGATAATTCTTATTAATTTTCTCCTCTCGATCAGCATAAAGAGTAAGGATCTATTACATAAGTTCTTAATCTGATTCATTATTATTAATCATTTTAATAAAACAAGAATATATAACTTATCGAGTAGAATTAGATAGTGAATATTCCCTATCAATCAATTCTTGGTGTTTTACCTTTTTGCCCATTAATGATGATAGATATGAATTCTATCCTATAAATTGCAATAGTGTTTAAATGAAAGGAGTATAAAATAAAATGTTTAATATAATGAAGATTAAAATATCAATAAAATAAAAATTACTGAATAAAGTGTAATATATTTTACTATAAATTTAAATGAACATGTCAAAATTGTGATTGTCATTCAAAAAACAAGATCAAATATATTTGAAATTGTTACCTATATGATGAATAAATGTCAAAGATTACAGAAATTAGGCTAAATTTAATATTTCAAATAGCAAAAATATAAATATTAGTAGGAAAATTAAAATTTAGGCATCAAAGTTATAAAAGAATTTGAATCAGAAATCAACAGAGTAAGATTATTAAGATTTTGGAATAATTAAAATAAAACTTAAATATATTTTAGTGACATAAACGATATGATAGGTTAAGAACACATTTAAATGTAAAAGTTCTTAAAAGAATGCGATGCAATTATAATTACAGCAGGTGCTGGTATGGGAATTGATTCAGGTTTACCAGATTACAGAGGAGATTAGGGATTTTGGAAAGTTTACAGGCCTTTTTAAAATAAGTATGGATTCCAAGATTGCGCAAATCCTGAATTCTTGAAGAAGAATCCACATTTATTTTGGGGTTTTTATGGACATAGGTTGGAATTGTATACTAATACAATACCACACGAAGGCTTCTAAATATTGAAGAAGTGGTGTGAATAAAAAGATTATTTTATTATCACCAGCAACGTTGATGGATAATTTTAGAAGGCAGGTTTTAACTAGACTAAAGTCTATGAAATTCATGGTTCAATTCATACATTTTAATGTACTCAATGTTCTAAGTTATATTTGGCAAATAAATTTCCAAAATTAAAAATTGATTTATAAAGGTTTGAAGCTGAAGATCCTTTACCCAAATGTGAATTCAATCATATTTTAAGACCTAATATTTTAATGTTTTCAGATTGGGATTGGATTTCTACTATTTATACTAAATAGTGCGAAAACCTCGAGGAATTTATCAAGAAACATAAGAATAACAAAATTTGTGTGATTGAAATTGGAGCAGGAACTGCTATTCCAAGTATTAGATTAAAGGGAGAGAGGATCTTATCTGAGATTGACAAATCCATCTTGATCAGAATCAATCCATCAGAGAATGAGCCTGAGGAAAGTAAGAAATACTATAGTTTAAAGAAAGGAGGGCTGGAAGGAATAAAATCATTGAATTACTTATGAATTTTATATTTTAAATTTTATATGGCTTATTTTGGAAATAATCAATAGCGTGGTGAATTATAAGAGTTGTATGCCGATTTGAATGACTTGAATTTTGAGAAAAAGAAAGAAGTATTACATTAATAAAAGTGCTTTTAAGGCTGTAAAGAAAGTTATTGCATACATGACAGTTGGAAAAGACGTGTCCCAATTATTTTAATCGGTAATCAAGTGTCTTGAGTTTTAAGACATAGAGATGAAAAAGTTGGTAACAATATTGCCCATTAATTGTAGATTTACTTGTATATTGTGAATTACTCTCGTTAAAAACCAGATGATGCCATAATGGTGATCTAAAATTTTAGGAAAGATGTTCGTAAATCAGAAAATCCATTGGTGAGAGCTTTGGCAATACGAACATTCGGTTGTTTGAGAGTTCCCAAATTGAATGAATATTTGATTGAGCCACTTAAGGATTGTATTTCAGATGATGATCCTTATGTACGCAAAACAGCTGTCTTATGTGTTCCCAAAGTAATTTCCATTCATTTTTATTAGGTATTTGAAGTATCACCTGAATTATGTCCACCTGTACTGGACTAATTGCAGAAACTATTGGAAAAGGAATCAAATGCCTTGGTTTTGGCAAATTTAATTTAATCCATGAGAGAAATTGAAGTAGTTAATGGAAAACAATTAATTCTAATGAATCCAAAAATTATTCAAAAACTCTTATTGGCTGTTGATGAGTGTATGGAATGGGGATAAATCTTCATTCTTGATTATTTGGCTACTTATGATCCTGCTGATTCAAAATAAGCTGAAATTATTATTGAAAGAACATTGCCAAGATTGAGTCATATCAACCCCACTGTAACCTTTTGTGCAGTCAAACTCATCCTTAAATATTTAGATTATCTTGACAATGGAGATCTAGTCAAGAATCTTTGTAAAAAGATCTCTCCTTCCCTTATTTCATTGCTTTCTTGGAATCAATCTGAAATTTAGTATACCATTCTAAGAAATATATCATTGATATTGTAAAAATTCCCCATTCTATTTGAAAACGAAGTCAAAGTCTTTTTCTGTTCATTCAATGAACCATATTACATTAAATATGAAAAGTTAGACATTATGGTTAGAATTTGTGATTCTAAAAATTTTACTTAAGTTCTGAATGAATTAATGATTTACATCAATGAAGCAGATCCTCACTTTGTCAGAAAAACCATTAAATCAATTGGTAAAATTGGCATGATGTATGATAAAGCACTTAATGAGTAATAATTACCTAATAACTTAGAGCTGTTTCAATCTTAGTAGAATTTGCAAAAAATGTCTAATAGGCTACTGAGCCTGTTCAAGAACTATTCATTCAAATGCAGATTCTCTACAGAAAAAATCGAAATCTGTATAAGACTAATGATAGTCTTAAAATACTATTTAACATCCTTGAATACGCAAATGAAGCAGAAGCGAAAGTAAATTTATTTCTCATCCTAACTTCTAGAGTGCATGTGCTTGGATTGTTGGAGAGTTTGCAGAATTCATTCCAAAATCTGTTGAAAAGATGAAAGAATACATTGATAATTTCTTAATTGAAGATCGGTTGGTTTAGCTATAACTGTTGACATCAGGCGTTAAACTCTATATTAAATATCCATCATTATGTTCAGCACTGATTTAATAACTTATCAATTCTGCTAAGGATTCTTTCAATCCTGATGTCAGAGATAGAACATATATTTATTGGAGACTTTTGTCTACTGATCCTGAAGTAGTCAAGAATTTAGTTTGCTCTGCCCCTATTGGTTCTTCTCAATTTTAAAAGGATGTACGTTTATGGGAGACGAAGGATTTAATTATTGCCTTAGAAAATATGGGAAGTATTAGTAATCTATTTCACAAATTGCCAAATTAACTATACAAAAATATCAAAGTTAGAAATAAGTAAAATATATATCTAATTTAAGTCATCAACAAGAAGCAAAAATATATAAGGCTGATGAAAAATAGGAAGCACCATAAAAAGACCAAGAAATTAAAAAAAACGATTAAAATCAATAATAGCCATAATAATAACAATAGCAATAATAATAATAATAACAATAACAAAAATAAGATTTTGATCTATTAAATTTTGATGAACCTGTTTCGAATAATAACAATAATACAAACAATAAAATGGATGTGTATGATTTAATTTGAATATCAATAACATTAAATAGTAAATTTTCAACATCTTTCACAAATAAGGTTTATTTTATATGTTTCTTATAAATAATATGAAAATAATAGTGAATTTAAAACGTACATACATTTAGTTTAATAATTCAACTATGACCTCAACAAATTAGCCTCTCTTTTTAGTCAATTTCCAATTTTCTCTTTACCCCATCATTTAACCTTAAAGCTTCATTTTAATACTCATTTATTTATTATTATATTTGATGTGCCAATTAAAATTAGTCTTCCTAAATTATATTTTTTTATTTTACTTTTGCATATTTAATTACTTTCTCTTTTAATTACTAGATTTACTGTTGTATCTCAGGATAATCAGTTTCCTAATTATGCATCTACTATTTATGAATGCTATCCTATTCGATTCTTCGATTATTCTATCCTAATTACTCCTTTCCAAATATGTCTATTGGAATGTCTTAAGAATATTTTTTATTTGGATTAAGCATATTCTCATTCTTCTGTTATAATGATTTTAATTCACTACTGATCTAAAATATAACTATTTATTATACCTCTTAAATTAAAGAAGACAGGCCTTAGAATCCTAATTATTAAATTTATTTCAACTTTAACTCTTAAAATTAATATCTTAGGATTTCAGTAATTTAATTCAATTATTTGAACTACTATTATTTAAGTAATAAATTATCTTCAATTTCATCTATTTATTGGAGAAGCTGTGATTCTTTTTATTAATTTTGAGAAATATTATTTTCAAAGAGAATTATTTACTTTTAAACATCCTTTATTTGTTCATTGATCTGTGCAGCTCCCTTAAAATTTTTATTTTAAACAAATTGTGCCTTGCAATCAATCATTTTTGGGAGCTTAATTTGAAGCTCGCTTTTTTAATTTAAAATTTCATGCAATTGTTACTAACTAATACTTCTTAGGTAATTTAATCCATCAACTTATCTTTACACTTTTTATATCTCTTATAATACACTGAAACTGACTTGCTTTTATTCTTAATACTTATGAAATACTTTGATTTCCTCTTAACATTAAGCTGGTATCAAGTTAGCATTCTCTAAAAGATTAGATCTCTTTTCTTAGATGTTATTCAAAGAATCTTATAAATCCTAAAGTTTATTTTTGTAATCTTATTATCTTCTGATACTTTCATTTTCTAAGGTTTCAATCGATAGTTTTTCTACAGATAACCCTTTTAATTCATCAAGTAATTTCGCTCTTTTATTTTAAACTTTTCCTAATTGCTGATTGAATTTCTATTAAACTTATTATATCTTATCTTTTGTTTAAATTAGTTCTTAATCCGTCAACTATAAGTCTAAAATCTTTTAATTCAACATCAATTGTAGTTGTGTTATTTCAGAGTTTAAGTTTAGTTTCTTTTGCAATAAAAGATCCTATGATATCCTATAATCTTTAGTTTGATTATCCATTATTTAATTTAAATGTTATTCTTCTTCATCTAAATGCTTATAATCAATGTCAATATGAATCTATTAAATTTTGAGCCTTTCATTCTCCTCATCAAGAATTTGCAATAATCTTTTAATTTAAGTTGAACTTTCTTATTAGTATTGATTGATATATTTCAAATGAAACTTCTCAATTTCATCCAATTTTTATTCTGTAATGTTATAGTATTTTAATTCTTCTGATTTGATTTTTAGCTTTTCATTTTAGAAATTGATAAATTATAATTCATAAATTTTAATTTCCTCTTCTATTTTTTAAATTTTATTTTAAATTTAAACACATTACTCTTATAACGATGTTTCAACTTATTCAGATGAAGCAAATGTCTATTACTCTACGGATAATTAATTTAGTTGATTCTGAAAATTGCTTAATTTTTAATGATTTGAAGCTATGATATACTAAATATTATTACATATCAAAGATTCAATTTTTTACTGTTGTAAAAATATTTCAGACTTCCTTTAGTCCTATTCCTATTAAAAACAGTGTAGCTACTTTATTAAAGTTGAATATTGTTCAAGATGGGAGTCATCGATTTGAGTGTGCATATTTTAAATTAAGTTTTTGTAATTTTAAGAATCAGCGATTTATTGTGTATCCTTCTACTCCATGGAGGAATGGTTAGTGTTGAGTTATGATTATTAACAGCCTTCACTTGCTTACTAGTTGGTCATATCATTATTTTAGAAAGAAAAGACAATTTAATCCTGAGGATATATTTATGTAGAATTTTGTTGACTATTCATTCCACATACTATAAAACTTTCATTTTGATCTTAGGTTGATTCATCTGTTGATTAGGATGTTTCCTATTTAGTCCGTTAAAGAAAACTAAAACTAGAGGTAGCTTTCTTAACTTGTGCAACATCAATTTTGATTTCTACATTTTAGTCTACATTATGCTAATCCAAGGGGAATTCCATTATTTGGGTTTACTAATTAGGAGCTGAATCAATAATGGAAACAGTAGGGGAGCTAGTTTACTTTTATGTATCCTGAGTAATCTATTGTGGTTGCGATTGTGATTATGGAGGAGTTTACAATGGGGTTTTGACTTTCAGACTTCCTTTAAACATGGATTCTTTGGGAGTAATTAATGAAGGAACAATTTGGTTTTGTTCAGAATTCGATGATAATACTTGTTTAGGGGGAGTGGTTGGAGTGGATTGTTAACTATGTTAGTGTTCCTTGTTCTTAAATTTGGAAAACATTTATTTAATTAAATTATATATGTCTTGTCAAAGAATCACAGTAACTAAAAGGGGAGTCGAATTGTAAGAGTAATTAAGAGAGATTTTGAAGAAGAACTAAAAGATTCTCAAGTTGGAACCTCAGCAAGGTGTATTAAAATAATTAGTATGGAATAGATAGTTCTAGTGATTTGTTGAAGAGGTAGAATATTGGCAAGGAATAATTTGGAGGGTATATTGAGCTTCTGGAGCAGAGATTGAATTCCTAAGAGAAAATTAAAGTGTTTCTGAACCAGAGATTTAACAACTAGCCAAAATTTATATAGAAAGAAGTCGAGAAAGTTAGTTAGAAGATCTATAATTATGGAAATTCATAGTTTAGGTCACACCATTCTCTGCCTTCCCTAGATTTTAGATAGGTGCAACATCTAAAGACTAAGTATAGCGATGGATTTTGGAATAGTTAGAATCTCTCAATGTCTGGAAATACGTGTAATATATTTGTATTTGATTAGTCTACAAGCCTAAGGACGAAGAAGTCAAAACGAGGAAGATCAATTACCTAATGTTTTAGGAAGCAAAAATCGAAAGAATGATCACAAAATACGATAAATTTAATGAAAAGGCTTAATTTATTCCTAGTTTTGAAAAAGGAAAAAAGAAAAGCTAGAATTTAGCCACTGAACTATTGAAGGCTATGGAAACTAAAGATGCAGAAACCAGAGTGGAATCCATCTAAGAAATAAATCAGAAACACGCTCAAGATCTTGATTTAATGGAATACAACAGTTAAAGAAGAGAAAGGTTTCTTCAAACTATGACTGAATTGCATAATAAAAAATATAAGCGTTATTGGCGCAAGTTAAGAGTGGCCAAATGATTGATCATAAATATTAAAGTTTAAAATATATTTTTAAATATGGGCAAGAGAATTAGAAGTAAGCATCTCCTTTTATATCCTAATAGCATAAAGAAAGGGTAAATCCAACAGTGTCTTCAAAGCACATTAAAATCAAAGAGTTGGAAGTCCTTAATATAGACATCTTGATTATGCTGAGAGACATGGTTATGTGAGAGGTGTGATTTCTGAGATTATTCATGATCCAGGAAGAGGAGCCCCATTGGCCAAAGTTGAATTTAATGATCCTTACAAATACAAAAAACAAACTAAACTCTTCATTGCTCCTGAAGGTGCTTATACTGGATAATACATTTATTGCGGTGCTAAGGGTAATCTAACCTTTCATTCAATTTCTAGCTTAATTAGCAACAGGAAATGTTTTACCTATTGGATCAATTCCAGAAGGTACAGTTGTTTGCAATTTGGAAGAGCATCCTGGAGACAAAGGTGCTTTAGGAAGAGCTACAGGATGTTATGCTACTATTATTGGTCATTCAGATGATGGAGCATAAACTAGAGTTAGATTACCCTCCGGTACAAGAAAAACTTTAAGTTCACTTTGCAGAGCCACAGTTGGTTTGATTTCTGGAGGTGGAAGAACTGAAAAACCAATCCTTAAAGCAGGAAGACAATTCCATAAATATAGAAGACTTAGAAAGGTATGGCCAAGAGTCAGAGGTGTTGCCATGAACCCAGTCGATCATCCCCATGTATTTCTTTTGATTAATTTTCACTTAGGGTGGTGGTAATCAATAACATATTGGACATCCTTCCACTTTATCCAGATATGCTCCTCCAGGTCAAAAGGTTGGTCTTGTAGCTGCCAGAAGATCAGGACTTCTTAGAGGAGGTGCTTAACTCAAACAAATGGACGAAGACTTGGCTGCATAATAGGCTAAGAAATGATATTTTATTTATTATTGTACAGTATTAGGAACTTATAGATGCATTATTCTCATTTTAATGAATAACAAGTAATTAATAAAATAAAAAATAAATGAACAATTATATGAATTAAAAGAAATTATAAGTTGAATAAAAATCTCCTAGACTGTTGATCTTCCCAAAATAAAAACAGAATTAAGTAAATAGCAGAGCAGCAATGAACTATTTTACAGAAATGAAAAAGGAACACTAATAAATTAATCAAAACAAATAAGTCTTACCTCCAGAATTCTATATATCATTATTGTCATTAGAGCCAAAACAATCACAATTACATAACCCAAATATCGAGTTGATCCGAACCTTAATTGATAGCTATCTCATTATCATTGAATAACTAAATGGACAAGATGGATTGATGATTTATTTTAAGGATAAAATTAATAGCTTATTAGAACAACCATAAGTTAGATAATGCATTTAAAAAAGTGATGATGCTTAATTGCAACAAATGTTAGAGAAAAGCCAACAATCCTATTGTAAATAGTCAAATGTGGAAGAAATGGAAGCCTACATGAATATGAACAAACCCCAGGTTAGAAACTCCTTAGCAACCTTTTTAACCATGCACGATAGATTAGAGAAGGAATATGACAAGGCATAACAAATTTTGCAGGATTATGATGATCATGTTGCTCAATTTGATGAACTCATGTAAAAAGATCTTGATAATCAAAAGAATGCATTGGAAGATAGGCTGAAAAAAAGAAGTATATTCTATTAAATAAAATATAATAGGTGATATTAAAAAAAGGTATTCCGGTCATGAACAGAGACCTAATCCTAATGATTTTTGATAATTTATTTGTATAATTTATTGTTTATTCTGCAATAATTTCATATTATTACTAAATTATAATCAATCTTGATGAAGGATTATGTGGGCATAATCATTGCTTATAATATTTTTCAGATGCAATCTCAGCTTTTTTATGTACTTGAAAGATACTCTATAATCAATCTTATCAACATCAACATTACAATATTTATATTACAGCATCACATTGTAAATTGAATATAAAGAACAGTCGTAAGTATTCTTCTACTATTCAACTTAAACACATTATAAATTGAGTTATATAGGAAATATAGATGCTACAACGGATAATATTTGTTTATCATTTTAATTATTATAGGAGTTAAGCATATACAAGGTTTTGTTTTAGTATACTAAGACTAAAAAGTGTATTTAATCAGCATTCAAAATAAATATGATTTTTTTATACTTTTAGCACCCCTTAATTACTTATTCATACCTTAATGGTAATTTAATATTTTTCTGATCTATTTAGCTGATTTGGCTTGTAAATAAATCTTGCGACTAAGCCGTATTGAATAGATAGATCTATTCCTTATTTATGTTTTTATAATAATCAGTTAGGAGACACATATAAAAGTCTATTAATATTTAATTTATCCAATTCTCACTAGTCAAACCAGCAAAAAAGTGATTATTGATTGAAATATCTTTATGATTAACTAAATATCTCGTAGAGATTGTATTTTCATCAAATTTATATTCATACCCTTTCTCTATTTGATCATTCTTATAACAGATTTTCTATATTTGGGTTCCATTCTAAGTTGAAATTACAAATAATCCTTATTTCATACCATTATAATAATATCCTGAGGTATTGGTTTAATTGGGATTACTAGTTATCGAATTTCCATGTTTGAGTCCATTCTAAAAATTACCTTCAAACTTTTGTTTTTAAAATTTCATATCCAAAGTACCTTTTCCATTTGCTAATCCATCCACAAACTTGCACTTAAATTCAAAGGTTCCTTCACAATCAAGGACTCCTTATCCATTAGGTAGATAAGTTAATTAATCAATTGGTCCTGTATATTTGAACACTGTTTAATCTTGGTCTCCTTGGAGAGGATTACAAAAAGGAATTCGAGTGGATATGTAGACATTAGTATCATAGAAATTATAAATATCATTGCTTATTTTTGGTAATTTAATTCTATTTAATATAAATTGATTACATGTCTCCGCTTGGTCTTAAAATGAAAGCGTTTCTAGTTAGAATCTTTAAGGCTGTAAATTGTTAGTCTGTATTACCTTTTTTTTATTCATTTTAAATCACTATAGCAATCTTATGATACAATTAATCGATTTGCTTATAAAAATTGGTATCAACAATTTCTTCTTGGTTGTCTTAAATGTTTAAATTACTGAGACTCAACAAAATGCCATAAAATTATTTATATGTATCATCTGAAATTTAATTTTTATATTTTATTTCTGAGGTTAATGATTCATCTATGAAATAAACTTCTACTTCCTGTTTTGGGTTTTTCCATATATAAAAATTGCTTAAATTATTTTTTATTAGTTATTCAGCGTCTTGTTTTAATTGCAATTTATTTAGAAAATGATTGATGATGTTTCTGAATTTTTCTTTTAATTTAGTTCTAAAAGTAGTAAACAAATCGGCATGATCTTTATTATTCTATTTTCCAAACAACATATAAGAATTCTCCTTCTTCTCCTTATAAAATGGAAATAGGTCTGCTAACATAATTATGTAATCCTTTATAATTTATTATATAATTATTATATAAAAAAAATGAATTTTCGTTTTTTAATTCTTCTCCTAACAATTACATTCGCCTACGATCGAGTGAAAGCGGAGTAATAAATTGAGAAAAGCATCACGTTAGAAGAACCCAAGTTAATTCAAGAGATCGCATTTTCAGAAACCTTTTAGGAAACACCAGTTGTCTACATCACCTTAACAAAACTATCAATGGCTAGCTAAAAATATGGATTTGAAATTGATGTTACCGAAGTGAATACCAAAGGATTCAAAATAATATATAAAAAATACATTGATGATCCAATAACACTACAAGTTTAATGGTTAGCCATTTTTGATCCTAGAGTTGAAGTGGCCTATTACACCTCTTTTAAATAATAATTGATTGTTCCAGTGTACGAGGATAACTTTGCTTATTCAATTATAGGTGTTCAAGGAAGTTCTAATTAAGTTGGAATTTAAGTTGAAAAAATTGATAATGGAAATGCATATTTGCAAGTCACAAACTCTGTGAAAATGATAAAATTATGTATAATATCTGGGTCTAAACATGCTTTGTATCCTAAATTTATTCCATTCTCCGTATCTAATAATCATCCTTGGGTTAAAGAACAGAAGGGCAAAGCATTTATTAGTTTTTCATACGATTTAAATGTTAATAAGCCTATCTTGGTTGGCGGTATAACTGAATTTCTATTCAAGAGTTAAGCAATCAAGATCCAATTGCAAAACTTAAAATACGAGGATAAAGTATTAGCAGAAATTGGAACTTGTAATTTAATTAAATGATTATTAGGGAATGATGCACAATTAGTTTAAGCCCAAGTTTCAATCTTGGCTTATATCATAGATGAAGACTTGATTATTTCAGATAAGAATTGTGTTGAGTTGTTTGAATAGTGCTACTTTTAAGGAAAAACTACGAAGATTTGTAAAGAAGGAGATGGATAAAATTTGGGAACTGAATTTAAATTCAAAAGTTTCATTGTTCCTAGATTCAAACAGTTTGAACTTGTAAACAATAAAGATGTTCAATAATTAATGGGAATAGAATCCTGTGTTGACGAAATGATATTGAAATGAAAATCAATTTTATTTTTGATTATTATTATTATTAAAAAATTAATTATCTTCTACTTCTTCTTCATCATCTACATCTTCATAATCTTCATCATTATCTTCTAATTCCTCACCCTCCTATTATTATTACTTTTTAACAATAATATTTCCATCTTAATCAATATTATCAGCTGTAATCATTTCATCCATAAATTCATCTCCTTCTTCTTCCATCTCTACATTTGCAGTTGCTAATTCTGTAAAAATATCATTTATTTTCTTTTTTGTTTCCTATGATTATTTACTAAGATCAAAATAAATCTATCTCAAAAGGTATAATTACTTAATATTCACCCTTTCCTAAATTTACTATTTCAGCTGGGTTTTCTTATTTAATTAATTCGATTAATGCTTCTTACTCTTCTTCTAAATCCATTTCTTCCTCCTCTTGAGAACCTAAGAAACACATAAACTGATCCCCTTATTAGCCATGCGAGACCAATGTTTCATAACTAAACATAAAAGACTTTCCATTAATATTAGATACACATGATGCATTTTCTTCTGCTTTCTCTATTAGTATCTCTTTTTATATTTATTCATTTGTTGATTATTCATTATTTTATGGTAAACAATACCAACACAATCTCTCATTTGTAATAAGAATGTTTCCTGAATTCGAAGCAAACTCAATTTCATTTCCATTTTAACCAATTATTTTCACTTTAATGTTTTCGAATAAGTGAAATTGATCTTCTGATAACATTGGTTAAAATGGATATTATACCTCGTTCAGAACTTCTTTATTATTATTTTAATCCATTTATAACCAATATATATAAATTATTTAAATAAAATTGTATTGTATGCTCCATAATGAACATTATTTCTTAATTGACTTCTGCATTTTTCATATATTATTTCAAATCAAAACAATTGTGCCTTAAAATAAAGAAAATATTTTATATTAAATAAAATGAATAACACTTATTTGCAAAGGTCCTTAAATAATTATGAATGTTTGAAAATATTAATACGCCCGGATAGCTCAGCTTGGTAGAGCGAGAGACTCTTAATCTCTAGGTCCAGGGATCGAGACCCTGTTCGGGCGTAAATTTTTTAATTTTTAAATTTATTAAATGCACAAAATTTTTTAATTAGAATTTTATTTTTTATATCAAATTAAAGGAAAAAATTACCTCCATGATTCTTAAATTGAGACAAGAATCGAAGTAATTAATATCATCCAATTATTATAATTGACTTGCTTTAACTTTTCTATTTATTATAACTTTCATAAAACACTTATGATTTTCAAAATTTTGTCATCCCTAAGGTAAGAAAATGAGGAATTGGTTTAAAATATATCATTAAATTTTAAACATATTAATTATATCATTTTTGAAAATCACTCTATCCAATCATTGAATCATCGTTCTGTCCTTATTAGTTTCCATAATAGTAATATTTGCTATTTTGGAATGATTGCTATGTCAAAGGAGCAGTCTTCTCATAATTGGTTATATCAGCTAAATTATTCTTTTTTAGGACAGATATGTTTGCAGAAGATGTAGAAGTGTTATTAGAATGAGTTGGACTTAATTTTTAAAGTCCAATAGCTTAAATGATATAAAAAATTGCATACTTGAAATATTATTGATTGGATTTCGGTATGTACTGCCTGTCTTGATATTATTACTTGTCATGTTATGGGCAGCAACACTACGTCTGGTAGCTCTTTATTCATTTTTTAACTTCTCATTTTCTCTCAGTAACTATTCCTTTTTCTCTCCTATTTTTTCTAATTAATCTGATAATTCATTTTTGATATTATTTAAGTGATCTCTATCCAAATTCCATTTAGCTCTCTCTTTTTCAAACTCAAAAATAAGAGTTGACCTTTTACTCTCAACCTCTTTATATTTGGTTTCCAATTCTACTATTTTAGCTTTCAAATTCTCTCTTTCTTATTCTAACATCTTTTAATATTCAAAGATCTTATGATCCCTATCTTATTTAATGTTTTCAATTTCTTATTATAATCTCTTTTCATTATCTAGCATTTCAGCAAACTTCTTCTCTGACAACAATTGATTACCAATTTTTCCATGTTGATCAATTAAAATCTTATCTTTATGAGTTTTAACTTCTTTCTATAATCTTCTAATTTTATCTTCGTAATCTTAGACTATTCTTTAATGAGTTTGATTAGCTTCTTCAATTTATGATTAATATTTTCTTTCGACACTTAATAGTAACTCATTTAAATTGTTTTCTTACTCATCCTTCTCATTTGATCTAGCTCTTTATAAATGCATTAAAGTCATTTCAAATTTTTTTAATGCGTCCACTAAATCTTGCTTTGCCTATTCCTTTTGTTATTCCAAAAATTAAAATTTACCTTCCCACAAGGCTTTATCTCTTTCATAACTAGTATGGATTTCGCTCTTCTCCTATTCCAATTAAAGATTAAATTATTTATATTTTTCTAATTCTTGTTGCAATGATTTCTTCTCTGTAGCTATTTATTCCCTCAAGGCAGCCTATTATTAAGCACCACTAGCAGATTCATCCTTTATTTTTGATTCTAATTCATTCTTTCTTGATTCTAAATGTCCTAGCTTTTCAGTTAGAATTGCCTTCTCTCTCTCTAAAGTTGATGCTTACTTATTATATTGATATTCGCTTTCTTTCAATTATTTCTTGATCTTCTCATACTTAGTTTCAATCGCTGTTTTTTCCTCTTATGCTCTTTCCAATTTCTATTCTAATTCAACTGAATATTCATTCTTTTATTATTTAATTTTCTCATCAAATCTTGATTACTAAGTATCTATTTATTTTTATAAATCTTCAATCTTCTTCTACAAAAATTCATTTTACTATTAAATTAATGCTGTTTCTCTACCATATTCAATCTTCTTCTCTAAAAATTCATCATTCATCTTTTGGAGTCTTTGCTTTGTCTCTTCTAATCTATCTATCAATTCTCTCTTTTCTTCCTACCATTCTTTCCTTGTTTATTCAAATTATTATTCCTTCCTTGTTTTCTCATTTTCCAAAAGATCTTTCTTCTATTATAATGCCATGAATTCTTTTTGTAGATTATTTAACTAACTTGATAGAACATCAATTTTCGAAATTAAGCTTTTTCTTTCTGTAGTGAAAGAGTTCATTTATTATTCTAAAGTAGCGTTATTGTTATTCTAAAGGGATATGAGTTATTCTTTAGTTTCTTTAATATGTTTTTCAAAGATCTCAATAGTTTACTATTTCAAAGCAATTTCATGATCATATTATTGAATTGTATTTGTATATTGTTATACTTGATCTCTTAAGTCATCCTTTAGAGTTTCAATTTCCTCTTCGTAATTTTATTCAGTTTCTCTAAGTTTATGATAGAATTCTTCTTAAGCTGCTTAGAATTTCTTTTCGCTCTTCTCTTTCTCCTCACATATTCTTCTTTCCAATCTTTCCCTTTCAATTTCATAGAAATTCTTTAACTAAGTCAAAGATTCTTCTGCTTTTGTTTGAGCCAAATTAACCTCCCTTGCTGTTTTAGTGTCAGCTTCATCCATAGCTTATTCCAACGATTTAATCTTCTTCTAATATCTTAACTCTTATTCTTTCAATATTGACAATTTCTATCCATCTAAAGTTTTGTTTTGTTCAAGCAATTTATTTTTTTGTTCTTCTGTGCTTTAGAGTTATTCCTTAAGGTTCTCAATCTCTTTAATGAGATCTCCAGTCTCAAATTTAACTTTGAGTTCCAATTCACTATTTCTCTCATTCAATTGATCTACTTGTTATTATAATCTCTTCTTAACACTTTCATATTCATTCTCTATATTTTTAAGATCTCTCCTATGTTATTCTCTTAAGTCATTCATTTTGGCAGCATCAACCTTATAAGTCGATTCGTTGCTTGAATTCTCAAAAGCCTTCATGATAGCTTCGTGAGACTTTTTGTTTTCTTCAATTTACTTTTTGTATTCATCCAATTGAACCTCCATGAATTCCATCTTTTATTACATCAGAGCTTTATCTTTTTCACTATGACTCTTAGTTTATTTCAATTAATCATCCTTAGCTTTGATGAGATCCTCCAATCCTTGAACCTTCTCTAACAATTCATTGACTTAATTATTAGCATCATTCTTTAACATTTATTACATCTATTCCTCATTTCTCTTGTATTCTCTGAGTTCTCTTGTCAATGCTTGTATTTATTCATTCAATTCAAAGTTTTATTTGGTTAAACTTCTTTCTTTATGTTCAAACTTTTTGAAATCATTCTCAAAATTGGATTCCTTTTCAATCAATTCATTCTCCATTTCATTAAGTTTTTCCTGCAAATCATTGAGTTTCTATTATAATTATCTAATCATTTAATCAGACTTAGTTTGTTAATCCTTTGATTGCAAACTATGTTCTTTTCTGAGATTTTTTATTTCATTTTAATATTCAACCTCCTTTGCATTCATCTCATTGACTAACTTCTCAAAGAAAGTGATTTTTTATTCCAATAGAGCCCTCTCTTTTTCAAACTCAGAGTTTCCAAAAAGAGTATTCCTCTCCATATCCTTATTGAATTCTTCTGCTTTTAAGACCTATCCTCTTAATTCTTAAATTTATCTAGTCAATTCAATTTTTTCATTTTCAGATTCTAATTTCAAATCCCTCTCTACCTATTCCTTTTGTATTTTAAGTTCTTCTAAGTTATCCCTGGCAACTTATTCCCTGAGTTCTATTTCACTTTTTTCACTTTCTACCTATGCCAATTTCATCAAAAGATTATTTTTATCTTTCAAACTATCCTATCTAACCTCTTTCAATTCCTATTCTAATTTTTTTTGAGTTTCAGAAGCAACATTTTTCATCATATCTGTCTCTTGAGCATATTATCTAATAAATAGATTAGATCCTTCAATTAAGGCTCTTTAGAGATATTCTAAAATGATTTGATTTCTAGTTCCTACTTTAGGTCCATTTTCAATAAAAAAGTTGTAAAACATTTTGATATCTTTTTCATACTCTCCAAAAGATTTGTATTCTCCTAGTTTAAGTTTTCTATCGATAGGCTAGAATTCTTATTAAATAAATTAAGAGCACATTCTTGAACCTTCTCTATCATTTTCCTATTTCACTGCAGCAAATCTCTATTTGATTCTTCTTTATAATTCTAATTTGTATTCATCAGCATCCCCAACACATTTCTTTTTGAATAAGGCAAGGGCCTATTCCTTAAGACTTTTATTAAAGGCCTTTAAATCTTCATTAGAGATGGGGAATCTATTGTGCAGGTTTTCCTTAAGGATTTATTCATAAGTATCAAATGCTTCAGCAACAGCTTTTTAACATTCATTCTTGCAAATATAGGTCCAAGCAGATTCAATGGCAGGGACAGCTCCATTATTAATGGCTGTGACATAGGAACGAATTAAATCACAATACATTTAACCTGAAAGAGTCTTTCCATTCAACATTTTTGGTCTGATTCTATTGAGTATTTTTTTTCTTAGATTGATGACCTATTCAAAAAATTCAGGTCTTAACTTATCAAAATCCAAGTTTTCTAAATTTTGGAGACTGCTTTCTTCAGTCAAAGGTCTTACTAATGTAATACAATCTCTATCTTTAAAGAATGTTGTCAATAATTTTCTAATTTTATTCTTTTGATCAATTCCTTCTGAGGATCCCTTCTAGACGACAAGTGCATTTTCTAAATAATCCTTGGATGTAATTTATTCTCTGTTCTTGTCAATTAGTTGAAGTGTAAAGTCTCTCACAACCCAATAAAATTATGGAAAGTATTGTGACAAATCCTCCAGATCTTGAAGGGATTACCCACTAAAAATAATAAATTATGATTTACCTCTTTAATTGAATATTTTTAGTGAGATTAACAACGAGACTAAGGTTTTGGAGGGCATTTTCATCGATACTGCCAACGGAATTGTAAATGAAACATGATGTCAATAGAATGGTTAAAGAGAAGATTCTAATATCATGCGTAGAGTCTTCATCTGGAGCACCCAATCCTTCGCTATCAACGACTAAGATTGAGCAGCTTTCTCCATCGCTAGTTTAACCTAGTAATGGTTTGCCCCACATCCAAAGTCCCTTTGTGCATGGTAGTACAGTTGGACCAACACCAAAACCATCGGATCTATTTAGAAGCATTCTATTGAGGAGGTAGGATTTCCCAGTTCTATACATGCCTGCGACTCCAACAATTCCGATGGGTTATGGGATATTTTTAATTATTTCTATCGCATCAGGGTTTACTTGATAAGCTGTTGTGATTTAGCAAATATTTACTTTGTGTTTCTTATTAGTAAAAAATAAGAGGCATTGCTTCTTCTTTGAATGATTTCTTCATTTTGTGTAAAATTTGAATTTAAAATTAATGAAATGCGTAAATAAATAATTAACTGCTATTAAACAGTTGAAACTTATTTACCAAAAATATAATCCCAAAGTTTCATTGATTAAATTGATTACTAATATACTAAATTGAATGAATGTTGTAAATTCAATTTTAAATAAGTTACTACCAATTGTGAGTGATCTAAATTTATTAATTTAAAAATTAAATTTTATCATACATCTAAATGATTAAGATAAGATGATTATCCAATACAATTTATATCTAGTACAAGAAATTTCATTTAAATTCACATACCAAGTGTCTTACTCTATCAAAAAGAGGATCAAAGTAAGTTAATTGATTTTGAGATCATTAAATTTAATAATAAAATATTAAATAATGAACAATCCCTAAGATTAATTAAGAAAGGCTTTGAAACGTTACAACAATAATGATAAGCCTAATAATAATCGCAATTGTAGATCTTAATAACTTTAAATGCCTTAAGTTCCTAAGGGAATGCTGAGTATGAATAGCGCATAAAAATCTGAACGAAATGCTAAATTAAGCGATACAGGTAGCTAGCAATTATAATTTAGATACCACCGATGTGACTCATTATAACCTCAATTTCTCATAACCAATTCAATCCTCATATTAAGTAGAACATCTAGACTTGAGTTTCTTTAAAATTTAACCTTGTAAGATCCCGGGCAGTCATAGTCACAAACATTGTCCCTTCTACCATAATGCTAAAGATAGAAAAAGGTATAACCATGATAAAAATTAGAAATAATACGTAATATTCAGCAGAGTTATGTGCATATGTTGAAAGCAATTAATAGTGTCCATACGGGGATAATTGCAATAAGGCACATAATAGAGTAGAATAACTTTATAGACCAGACAATTACAAAACTAAATTCTGCTCATACTATCCAAATAACATCTCTTAATGTGATTATGGAAAATTTTGTTCATTTGCACATTCAGAAGCAGATATAGTAATCGAATTGATTCATAATTTGGAATATGATGATGATTTCTTTATGTTTTATTATAAGAGTGTGTGGTGTCCTTTCAACCTTACCCAACATGATAAAGCTTTGTGTGTTTATGCTCATAATTGGTAAGATTTTAGAAGAAAACCATAAATTTATCAATATCATCCAGTTCCTTGTCCGAGTTGGAACACTGCAGAATATATCTTGGAGTATTATAGTGGATGCTAGGAAGGTTTCAATTGTGGGAAATGTCATGGTTGGAAGGAACTTGAATATCATCCCATGCTGTTTAGAACTAAACTATGTATAAATTAACAATGTTCAAAGACTGATTGTTCATTCTATCATAATAATTAAGAAAAACGGTAATTGAATAGATTATGGTAGATGTATTGATTAATTGTCTCAATTCAGAGTATTTAAAATAGTTCCCAGAAACAGAATTGTGTAGAACATTTTCAAAGTTCGAGATAAGAGCCTACTAAATTCTCAAAGGAATGCGAGTAACAAATCATAAGACCTGACCTTGAGTTATTAGAAACACTGCAGCACGAGTGATCAACAATGGCTTGGACACAATTTACAAAACAGTTTTCAATATGACCAAGATTTGGACGAAGGCAAATAGAACAGTAAGGGATAACATTACCAAACTACCTTGATTTCCATTTAAGAAAGAACGGGTATACATATTTTATTAGAACATTAAGATTCCGATGAGTTAAAGGATTTAAAAGACTTAATGAGGAAGAAATCAAATTCAGTTGTTGAAGACAAATAAAATAATGATGATAATGAACATGTTCGTACAGTTTTGAAAATGATTGACATGGACCAGTGAATAAATATATTTTATATAATTCAAGAACTCCTCCTAAGAAAACATTATACATAATTAAAAATATATTTGAAATCAATGCAAGGCAATTAAGGTTCCTAGAAGAAAGATATTGAATTTGGTTCTTGCCCGTTTTCAGAAGCTATGAAACCCCCCAAAGGCCATGAGAAGTATACAGATAAATCCAAATGTCCTTTCCAACAAATGCAGCAACAACCAGAGATCAAAATTGCAGATGGAAGTGCTGAAAAGAAAAAAGAGAAAAAGGAAAAGTAACCCAAAGGAGGATGTCCATTTATGTCAAGTGAAAAAAAGAAAAATCCGCCTCTAGCCCACCTTGAAGAATAATATGACACTTATTATATAAGTCCTTTGAATTATCTACTTGATACTCGTGGATTGTGGATGTTGGCATTTGATTCTAAGGAAGTTAAAAAAGGTAAGGCTCTCTATTATTCAATCTTAGGTCCAATTAAGGATAGAAGGAAAGTGTTCGATACATATCCAACTTATTTGAAAAGTACACTGTTTCATGATGACGAAAACACAAAAAAACTTAGACAATGTGAAGTGGCCTAACGATTTTTTGTTTATGATAAGTTTAGAGAAAAAGGTATTAATAATTGTCATTAACAGGAAATAAACTATTGCAAAAATAAGAATATGATGAGGCTATTAGATATTATGAAAGAGCATTGGGATGTTTCCGTTACTTGGAAGTAGTAGAGCCTCCTGAGGAAGAATCTGATGAAGACGAGGCAAATCAATAATAAGATACTTCCAATATGACTGAGAAGGAACGAAAGGAACTTGAAGATATGAAAAAATCAGCAAAATAATATAGGAAAGAATAAAAGGAATTCAAAAAATAATACAAATCATTAATGACTATTTATACTGATGAAAATGTTAAATACAATGGAGTTGAACACATTCAAGTACTCATTTCATTCATTCCTTTTAGGACGAGGCTGATAAAGAAATGTGTAATTCCATTATGTACGGTCTGTATCTCAATATGTCTGTTTGTTATATGAAGATGTCACATTTCGATTTAGCAAGAAGGATCTTGGATGATGCAGGTGTTATTTAGAAGGAAAATTCATAATATTTGTTTAGGTATTCTTAAGCAATCTTATATGATAAATGGTCTACCTATAAAGATCTACTTAGAGCAAAAGAACTTATTGAGAAAGCTATTAGTTTATCCAACGTTGAGAACATATTCAAATAAGGCCCTGGAATATTGAAGTTGATGGGCTTAGAAAATGCTAAAGAAATCTATGTTGAACATGCACACAGAGTTATGGAAGCATTGAAATTAAAGAAATAGTGGGTTTAAGAAATTGTAGAACCATTATTCTTAAGGGCCAAGGAAATTGATGAAATTGAATAAGAGATGATTGAAGATGGCAAAGTTCCTTATGAAGAAGGTGTTACAGACGTAGTTGATCCAGAAGATTTGATTCAATAGCCTAATGAAACTGATAAACAATTCTTATATCGAGTATGCATGCCACAATTGGCTTAAGAACATCAGGAATACGAAATTGTTAAGGAAATGGTTAACAAATATTATAGAATCATAGAGTTTTATGCTGTAATAAAAATAATCATATCTTTAGGAACAAAAGAAATATGATTAAGTAAAGATTGCAAAGTAGGAATTGTAAAGACTCCTAGAAACAGTATAAACAATGTCATTCTATATGAATTTGGATCTCATTGATTATGAAAATGATGAAATCCTTAAAGAGCTTGTAACCAAACATTAGATAAACTTTACTGACAGAAAATATGTCAGAAGATTGATTAGACTTTGTAGAGAAAATGTGACTGAAATCTTTGGTTAAGGAAAATTCAATTTCGAAGTACTATCATTATTCAATATTTCAGGTGTTTGAATATGCTATGACTGATTACTTCAAGAAAAAGAGAGAGCAAGAAGAAAAAGAGAGAGAAGAGCACTTAAAATAACATCCTGAACCTGTGAAACCAAAATAAGAGTCTTCATTCTTGAAGAAAACCTTATTTTCAACTGAATTTTGGATGCAAGTATTCTATTGTTTTTATTATTAATAGATGTTCGTTTTATTGTTGGTTATGGGAGGAATGTTCTATTTTAACAACAACACAGGTTTCCTTGGTAAACTCTTCTCCCTCAAAAAATGAGAGCATACTTGAAAATGAAAAAATAGATCATTATTATTTTTATATATTTTATTATATTCCCTTTTCACTTTATTTTAATTATTATGGATTAATATTAATCAAATTAAATAATGGCTTTTGATTTATTATTATTATACAATTCTAAATGTAAATGTCAAAGCAATAATGAATGCTAATAGTTTTTATGTAATTTTAATTGTAAATGAAAATTAACGATCTTGTTATTTAAGTTTAATTATTCTACTGTCAGGACTTCGTTGTAGAAATTATTAATTCCCAAAAGGTATCAATTGTTGTATTTTTGAATATTACATTGTATGGTTAAGAATTTTATATAAATATAAAAATGTTTATATAATGAATTACTCAATTCGATTCAAGCAATGTATTTCTCACTTTATATATATAAAAAATTTAAGGAAAAATAATTATAGATTCGAGTCTAGACAAATTAAATTCAGAACAGAATATACAGAGTGTTAAGGAGTTTAATCTTTAATTCCTTTCCCCAGGAGCTCATCCATTTCGCTTAGATTACTTTACATTTTAAATAACAATAAACCTAATAATAGTGACTAGAGAACTTTGTGTTGAAGTTAAAGCCAATCATAATCTTCGATTGTAATAATAATGAAGACTTATGATAACAGTTAAATAATGGGCACAAAACCAATACATTACCAGAATATTTAAAGATGAATTATACATCTAACAAAAGGCAATAAAATTAATAGAAAAGGTAAATTTAATTTGAATATGATATATGGTCAGAAACATTCAAGTCACTTAATGACTTACATATCTGTTTCTACCAAGAATAACTCCCAATCTAATATTTTATTACTTATCTCTATCTGATTATTATTAATATAATAAAAATTTTAATTAATATGGGTGTAAGAAAATTAATTTTTTGATTAATGAAATTTGATAATTAAAAAGAAATTTTAAAAATCAAGAATGTTTGAATTTCTTTTTGGAATTTTGAAATAATGCAGAATACCAAGACTTTTAAATTTTAAGATACAATGAACTTTTAACCTAAAGGTACAATTATAAATTACCCAAATCTTCTAGATTGTATTCTCTAAACAAATAGAATTAAAGAAAATACCAACCTAGACTATTTAAATCTAAATTAGAAAGATTATTATAAATAATATTTTTACTTTATGCTTAATTACACTAAAGACTGTTTTTCTAACTTTTCTGAGAAAAGAGTGAAGGAAAGAAGTGTTGAAGATGCTCTATATCGAGTAAGGGAATGGAGAAGAATTTATGAGTCCGGTTAATAAAAGGGTTCTAATAAGGAATCGAGAATCACACTTTAAGAGGCTGCTAAATAAGTTAAAATACCAAAAAAGACATTAGAGGACTACATATAGATTTTCAATAAAGTTAGTTTAATAGCTCAAATTCAAGATTTTTCGAACAAAAAAATGGGATTTCTGAGGACATTTATAAGGAAAAATAAAGCTAAGATTAGGAAGGCTGCTCAGGCGATAAGATAGAACCAGCGCGATTGTCTTGATGTCAAAATTGAAGAATCCCTTCCGCACTACCTAAAGAATCAATTGGAAAACTCAATGACTTACGAGATAAAGGAAGGAAATTTAAAAAATGATTTTAATTTCGATATCAAAATAGAAAAATAAGAGGAGGAATGAGAGCATCTTCCTCCTAATATCTAATTTTGATTATTAAATATTTATTCTTAATGATTGAATTAAAAATTATCAAACCGAAAAACAACATCTATCTGATTGTGAGAATAATAACTTACTATCACCAAATTTAAACACAAATTAATATAAATTAATATAAATTAATTCAAAAAAAATACTACAAAGGAATTCTAAATTTATTTTTATTGCGTAAAATTAATGTCTACATAAGCTAATATACTTATAATATATATATATATTGACTTCACCATTCACCTTCCTCAAACAAGCTATCATCTTCATCTTCGTCCCTATTGCGTCTATGTCGAGCATTTGGATCTAGATTTACTCGAGGATCAGCATTCATGCTATCACAATCCAAATTTATGGCTGTTAGTAATTACTTCTTCAAGATCTAAATTTTAATATATCTAAATACATCTTTGCTAGAATAATTGGGTAATTCTAAATTAAAGAAACAAGTATCTGCTTTTGGCAGTGCTTTATTAGGCTATTTAGTATTAACAGTAGAAGGTTTAATCATAAATCTGATTTAATTTCGATCGAATTCTTCATCATTGGCGGGTAATCTCTCTTAGCCCCAACAGAATTTAATGAATCTCAATTTCTCTTATTCTGATAGTTCATAGAGTGCCTCCCAAAAGAATTTAATTCTATCACTGTTTTCATTTAAGTCTCCAGAATATCTTGTATGTCTCTTAAGGAGATCCACATCTACAATAGGTCGTCCACATACCCATAATTCCAAATCTTCTGCTGATACCCCTAGAATTTGATATAAAATGTAATATACAATTTAATAAAGGCGAAGGAATTATTTTGATTAATCCTTTGATCAGACTTTCGCATTGTAACTCACTTTCAGTACATTTGACTTCTATCAATTTATTAATATATTCAAGTCTTTCCTCATATTTGACTGGTATTTTGCTGCCATTCTAAAATATAAAATATATAAAATTACTTCTTTTAATTCTTGTACACTTTTATCAGTTCTCAGAGTAACCCAATTTTCGAAAATATTCTCTTCAAATGTCGATTCAGGACATTCCTACATAAAATTGATTAAGTTGCACATGGTTGCATCAATTTGTTCAATGTCTTCAAATGTGATTTTCTCACCTACAATTTATTTCCAAAATATTGATGGTAAATCCAAGGAGAAGTGAGTGGCAGTTCTGATTGCAATTGCCATCAAGATTCCCAGAAATTCATATAAGTGTAAATAGAAATTCGATCTTGCACTGGGATTTAGAACAAATTTATCTTTATGGTTTCCTAATTTAGCTTGATTATTGGTTGAAGGATATAATAACAATTATGAAGATTGTAATTCTTTGCTAATATCAGCAAAAAATTATCTATAGGGTCCACTCTCTCCTTAGACATCCTCACCCTTGAAATTGACCTCGAAAGCTAAGAATGGATCAGTTCCTTGTGGTTTTATTGGTCTTAATAGAGTAGGAGGTATATTTTTCATCTGTTCATAGGCCATGGTGAATAAGAAATCCTATTGGTTTGTTTTTCCATTACGATTTGCCAATCGGATACGTTCTACATTGATCTTGGGAGGCGAGTCTCTGCTAATACTTGTTTTATTCAGAACTCTCTAAACTATATCCACTTTTGTAGGAGTCATACAAAACTGTCTTAAGACCTGCATATAATTTCCCATAGATAGGAAGATTGTGCGTTATTAGAATTCTTATGATGTACCAATAGGAACATCCATATTAATAAATTGTCCACAAGTCTCTAAGTATCGATTGAAGAGTTTAATTATAGCCCAAGACTACCGAATAACATATATTGGAGCATTAACAAGATCTTAATATTTAGTCAAACAGTTGATGAAATCTTGATAATTAATAGCCTGTTCGTCTATTAGATTTCTAATTCTTTTTGGATTGTAAGTTCTTACAGCCTTGGTTTCTTTGCAAATATCGAATTCGATTAATTTAAGGAGATGCTTCATCTATTAAATGGGTAAGATTTGAATTTTATTTGGGTTTTGTACTAATTAATAATGGAGATCATAACCCTATGTTTCTAAATATTTCCAGCTTTCTATTGCATCCATGCTACCCATTTCTTCTAAAAACTTCGGATTTATTTGTGCTCTGAAATATTCTAATCTGTGTTACAGGAATACTTGTAAGAAGGATGCAGCTTTTTCAAGGATTTGTTTGCCAGAATAGATTTAGAAAGTGTTCTCAAGTTTAGCATTTTATAATTCTTATAATTCAGATGTGAGTTATTGCAATTTTTATTGACACTCTTTTATTTTTTATTATTGCAATTGCAATTGTGGTTATTTAGGTTATTGTAACTTAGATTTATAGACTTACTATTTCTATTTCTTTTCTTATTATCTATTGAGTTATTTTAATAGATTTTATTGAGCCTCGATTGCTTGATTGATTTGCTTCATTTTTTATTCCTTCTCAATTTGTTTTTCAGTATAATACTTTTTAATCTTATCCTGAATCCTTTCTATTAGATCTTCAAAGAACTGCTTCTCTCTTTTGTCAGCTTTTTCGTCTTCTTCATCAACGTTGACCTAAACTGATTGCTATTCTAACTATTAAGATTAATCTTCCTTTTCTTTATAAGGGACTTTGTTGGCTGGTGCTGGATTTTCACATATAGCACATTAAGAAGAATCCCAGAAATTATGAGCAAAGGTACACATTTCACATTGCCATAGTTTGACAGCTTCCTAGACAGGTTCAGGAGGCAACTGTATTTCAACATTCTCTAGATTTAATTATTAAAATCCATCAATCAGGATAATAGCTTGATTTTATTTTCTAAATATGTCAACAGCAGGATTTAGTATTCTGACTAATTACTCTTGTAATACGTCTTGAATGTCACAAGGCAATCCTTGCATGTATATCAATTGATCCCATTGATTGGACTGTAACATTTCATTAATTTGATCAATCTATTCATTGTACAAGGGTTTTCCGCATTTAATAAAATCAGCAATCTAAATAAAGTGACGATAGGCATTTAACCAATCTGGAATCTAAATTTTAGTCTTATCAGGGATGGCAACAGCTAAGAGTTCAGTCAAATCTTGGAGATAGGATGAATACAAAACATTAGGTTCTACTTTTTGTATATTATAGATTTTGACAGCATCATTAACCAAATGTGTTAGTAGATCATCAGTCAAGGTGTCATTAGAAATTGATTACAATTTGCGAATGTTCCTAATTAGTAATTTTATTATAGATTGATTAAGAATGTGTGGTTGTTGTTCGTAGACTTTTTCCAATAGATTATTGATACTCTTTATATTTGGGATGTCTTTGTTTTTAATGAAAATGGTGCTCATCTAATCAATTACATAGCAGACAGTATTCCACAAAGTAGGAATTTTATAGACAACACAAGGTAAGCGAGATACACACTGTTTCTATTGGTAGATTGGCAAGGCTTCTCCATTGAAATAGTACTCACAATAGACATTCTTTTAATTTAGTATGATAGGAGATAGTCTGCCTCTTGTTTCCTTGCCACTGCTTATGGTGTAAAAGTCGTTGATACCCAATCGATCTTTATAGAAATTGATGCCCGAACATGTGCATAGAGTTGCATCGTTGTTGAATACAATAGCCAAACCAGCAATATCTAAGTCAGAATTCAGTTCTAAAGGTTTCTTATGAGATTTGAATAAATCCAAAAATAATTTGTTTTTATTGACAAATTAGTTAATCTATTCAAATGACTTAGACAACCAACCGAATATTAGTTCAGGTTACTACAAAAATTGATTTAGTTTCTGATTTATCTTAGTATTCTCATCAATCAATTATTCAGTAAGCCAGCCATTAATGCATGAACCTTCAAATTACATTGCCAATTACAAATAGATGATAGGATCAACATTGATAGTTTGACTCAACAGAATGTACAATTATCTGGCTTATTTGCTGAGTTCTAAGTCTAATTCTCTGTTGTATTCTTTTAAGATTGTCTCTTATTGATATGCATTAGCATTTGGAGGAATATACAATTACACCTATTTAAGTGCACTGACAGGGAACCAGGTAGCATAGAGTTAGGAATTGTTAATATCCATATGTGTAATAAATATGGAAGACGATCTTTGATCCACGCCTATGATTTATCCACAAATGAAGGTTTGACCTTACTTCTTGTAATGTAAGTATTCCTTTGAGTATAACCATTCTGATGTTTTATCAATGAGTCTACAAAGAACATACTGTCCAGCTTGGACTTCTTCGATTGTTAATGTACTCCAGTCGTGGTTAGACTCAGGTATAATAACACCATTTGGCATTCTTTGATCACATACAATGTAGGCTATTTCCAAAGCTTTGTTTTGTTCTCCTTTTCTCAATTGCTATCTAATTTACTCAAAGAAGTCCTCTATCTCATATGGTTTCAAGGACCCTTTAACATAATCATATATTTTAGGTAGTATGTTCTTCTCCCAATATTGAACTAATTTCAACTCATTCGAGACTATGCAAGCCTCAGGCAATGACTACATGTAAGTGCTGCCAACTATGATTGTATTATCGACGTTCTCCACAAAAGGTTCAATCTTGCAATCTTCTTATTCAACTTACTATGGTTATTATAAGAATTTAATAGTCTTAGGGATTTCAATGGGGAAGAAATAATTGGGTGACAATTTGCTATCAATCAATCGTTCCCATGCTTGGTTAAATTTGTTGTCTCCTTAATAGAGAGTGGCCAAATTTAATATCTTATTTACAATTCTCTCTACATTGTATCCCTTCCATTCCAACTTACTTGCAATAATGAAGAGGTTTCTCAGGATAAATTTGTCACTCTCTTTGTCTATCAAATCTAGTACCTGTTCTTGAGTTATCAATTAAGGGATATCCTACTGTATTAATTCAATTTCATCTAGATTCACGACCTGCAAGTTAAGTTTATCATCATTATTAGATAGTAACCTCAGTTCTTTCTATCCACAATAGTCTCCTCCAGATACAACATATTATTTATCATATGATTTGTGTTTCTTAATCTAAACTGGGATTCCAGGAGCTATC